CCACAGAATATAGTTTTTTTTGTGTGCGTGTGTATCTGAAATGTATATATAAAGAAAAATTGGGGGTGTAAAGGGAACCCAATCCATTTTATAGATTTTGAAAGAGTTGTAATTCCTAAAGAATCAAAGCAATTGCTGTAATCAATATATATATATATATATATAGTTCTGACGGTGCCAAATTCCGGATTTTAAAACCCTGTGGGGCGGCTCTGACATTTTCAAATGACACTTTAGAAAGCGGCCGATTGTCGCTTTTTGTAAGCTCTATCGACGTTTTTTTTTTTTTTTTAGAAAAACCAATTGACACTGTAATAAAACGGTAATCCTATGAGGCCATCATTTTCTTGTGGGACACGACCTTTCTGTCCAACCAGATTAATCGATTCTGACCACCTCTCCTGTGCTCGGTGTCCTTTTCTAATCCTTCAGGGTAAAATAATGTGTCCAATAATTCATACAATTGATAGTGTCGTTAAAAGCTGTAATTTATTGCTCGCAAAAAAATATATAAGGACAAATCATGTCTCACATGGTTTTCCTGACATATTCTGTTCATCTTTCCTCCATGATACATCGAATAAATAGGCTGTATCTCCATGAAAATATATTTACAGTAGCTATAAATTATGCACAATATAGAGAAGACATACGTACATGTTTTGCCTATGAGCTTTGTCTTATTTAATAAGAAAAAAATAGCATAGCTCTTGCAAATTAAAAGTTGGACAAATTTTCCAGATTTTAAGAAAATCTTAATCTAAAAAATGCAACTTTGGGCCTGTTTCAGATGTCGATTGTTAAATATACCAACTTGCAGATGTCTCCATTTTTCTAGCGAGTTCAGAACATCTAACGAAAATATCTAGTATCTATTAATTCTAAGAAGAAAAGAACGTCTAAATACCACAACTTCTATGACATGACCGAAATAAAGATAATAATATGGGGACAATGATGAAATCAATCCAATTTATAAGGAGTTTGTATAGCAAGAGTGTCAAAACTAGTAATCTCTGTGATTATCCAAGATTGGGATATATTTTTTTTACATAGGAATGTAATATCAAAGTATGTCTCATATGTTGACTTGGTCTTAATTGTTTAACTTCGGCGAGTTTCCCAATACTCGTCCATAAATCGAGGCGGTATCAATTATAGCGTGGATAATTTTCATTGTAAACGAGATGTCTCTGACACAACGTTGTATTTGCTCCGCAAACGCGCTACTTTTCTTTTTATTTATTTCATTTCTACATCGATTTCCTGAGTAGCTTTGGAAGCAGAATAAAGCTTCAATTGCTATGCCTGTCATATGTCCAGCAAAACCAATATTACTGTCCTGTACGTATCTTCCTCCACCTCCACGAAGTCCATTGCCTCACTTCCATACTCATTATATACCACTCCTAGTATGTCTCCCTTTATAAATCTCAAACGCATAATAATTGTATAAATAGAAGTTTTTCATGAATGCGTCTTTGGAATTGCAAAAGCGTCACTTGAAAATGTTAGAGCCGCCACAGGGTTTTGAAATGCGTCATTTGGCACCGTTGGGGCTGTAAAAATGGAAATAACGATATATAGGTCTTTTTTGACTTGACATATCATACATTTTCATAACCGTATCGAAACTTTATTTATTTATTTTTATGTTTGCTGCCAAGGAAAATAAGCTTGGCAACCGCTTCAACTTTTCTAGGGTCCCACAGTTAATCATAATATAAACCTATCTTTTATACAAACAGTTTTTTTCATAATCGATGAATTTACTAAAAATCATTCAAAGTTAACAGATTACATGCAACCTTTATTATTTTATCTTATTTATTTATATTGACAATATCCATGAGGAGCGCAAGGTTTAATTCTAATTATATGATTTCTGTAATTTATTTATTTATCTTGTGAATTGGATATTTATTGCTAGAGAAGAAGAAAATAAAATATGCTTGCAAGAAACATACTACTTGTGACGATTAACATGAAATGCTCTTCAAATGTATTGCATTTGAGCATATATACATACATACGATAATAGACAGCTGGTAAATCTCTTGCCAGTTTAAGCAAACCATTAATCATTTCTTTAATTTCTTTAAACAGGAAATGAAGTCATAAAAATAATATATGACCCCACCTATTCATACACCCAACCTAGTTGAGCTAGAATACTAGGGCATCATAAGATATATATATATATATATATATTCCCACAATCGCTTCAAACTAACCAGAAATTTGATGAATCGAGCAACTATTAAAAGCTGTTCTTATATTTTATTTATTTAGTTAACCTTTGGGCAAGAAGACGTTTCTCTTTTATTTTATTTTTACTAATTATTTATTGGTCTAATTCTTAATGCAATTACCAATAGATGAAAACCGCCTAACATTATTAGTCTGAATGTTGCTTCCCTATATCAGATATTCTGACCTTTTATATATATATATATATCTGTGGAACCAAAAAAAGAAAGAAAGAAAGAAAATGATTAGGTTCCCCCAATTTTTATATTTTTAAACGTAAAATCTGTACATTTAGACATGTTATGGAATCTTGTGCGTTGTTGTTGTCCCATTTGGGTGCTTCGAGAACAATAGAAACCGCAAAAGTTGGGGGAGACATTTTCTTTTCTTTTTTTTTTACTTGAGACATAAAAAAAAATACAGATTGAGATGACTTGGACTATTTTATTTCGGTGCATATTGTATATTCAATATATACAGTGTATATGTGTAAGTGAGCGTGTGTGATATTTTTACTAGTGTTTTAGCTTTAGTTTTAACCTTTTTTTGGCTTGATATACAAGAGACCAAGAATATCTATGCCTGATTAATAGCACCCACACTACCAAAAAAATTCCTATAGCAACAGTAACCATAGCAACAGTAACCATAAAAGCAGTAACCATAGAAGCAGTAACCATAGCAACAGAAATAACAATATTAATAGATACATGGTTTTTTTGTACAACAGAATATTGAATGGTAAGTTACAGATCAAGACTGATAAATTGTTATAATTTTTTATATATTAATAAACAAGTACACAAGTACACAAGTACACATTACTCATCAAGGTAACAAGCATTCTCTTTGTATTCAGATTACCAAATCTAGTCTAACCATGGGCTTTTTGTGTATGATTTGATTGACCGATTTTTTTGTCTTTTATTTATTCATTCAATGTAATTCTTTTTTCCGTATACACATTTTCTGAATAGTAATACTAGCACCAAGAGATAGAAATACCGAAAGACCGAGAGGTTAAGAAATGGAGAAAATGTGTATATCAAAGCAGTGTGATAGCATATATATGGATATTTATAGATTAAAGTCTTCAACTATCATGCATTAATATCAAAACCAAACCAAACCAAACCAAACCTTACTTTAGCTATGGATAGAAAGATAGATTGTTATTTAACTGACATATTTCTGTCCATCAATTCTTATTGTTAATATTATCAAAGGGTTTGCAGACTGAGATGTGTATTCTAGCTATTTTTCCAAGGATCCCAGTCACTAGTACCAAACCAAAACCAAAAACAAACAAACAAACAACAACAACAACAACAAAAAACTAAATGAGGAACATGGCACCATATTCACATTCCAAGTAGATGATACCAGTTACCACAATTGACTCTACATGATTTTGTAGAAGAGCCAGATATATATATATATATATATATATATATACGTATTCAGCGATTTAACTACTAGCCACCGCAAAATAAAGCAAAACAAAAGCCCGGATCCCAACCCGATTGAGCACGGACTGCATGCTCTAAAAGTCAATGATGAACAAGTAAAATAAAATAAAATAAAATAAAGTAAAATAAAAATAAAGATAATGTTGATCTACTAAACAATTTTTAAAAAAATACTTTAAAAATCTTTATCCTTCAAGGGTAGGAGTCATTTGGATTGGTTTAGTTTGGTTTGGCTTAGTTTGGCTTGGCCTGGTAAAGAAAGAAAAAAAAAGAAAAAAAAAGAAAAAAAAAGACTATATACTCCTGTGGCAAGTATTCCCAATAGAACCAAAACGACGATCAAAGCTCGTGGTATCAATAACTATATATTAACCTTTTTTTTATATCTTTATCTTTATCTCTTATTCTTCACTTTTATTTTATGCTATATATAAATATATATATATATATAATATTTAACAAAACGAGGTTTCAGCTCATTTGTTCGCCTTCATTAGAAGATACAGCGTAGACTTCTTTATGTATAGTTTATTCGGAATTAGAAATCAAAGAATTTATCGGTAATTTCTGGTTTGGGAGTGTATATATATAATAGATTTATATATAAATGTATGTATGTATGTATATATGTATATATGTATATATGTATATATGTATATATGTATATATGTATGTATGTATATGTGTGTATTACATGAATCTAGATTTCCTTTATTATACACACAGATGCACAATAAATAGTTATTAATTATATTATATTATAAAAAAAGTATATATATATATAGAGAGAGATAGAGATAGATGAATAGATAAGTAAGTAGGTAGGTAAGTAGATAAATATATATATATATATATATGTGTGTGTAGAAGGGACAAGAAATAAATATTAATTTATAAACCAAGCTTCCATTTTTTTACCATTGAAAAAAAATACGTTATTGTCATTGCTCTTCCCTTGATTTTATCTTTTTTTTTGTTTTGTTTTTTTTTTCAACTTTACAGTAGTAATAAATAGAGGGAGGTTAAAGAAGGGGTTTTTGCTTCAAAAAAATCTGTGTACGTGTGTAGATGTAGGTGTAGATATAGGTGTAAGTGTAAGTGTAAGTTTAGGTGTAAGTTTAGGTGTAAGTTTAGGTAGATAGATAGGTAGATATATATGTATATATGTATATAGATAAGTAAGTGGATGTTGTTCCTTGTTGTTGTTTTTTCTTTTCGTTTGTCTTTATGGAAAGGTAAAGAAATATATATATACGTGAATTGTCGGTCAAGGATATGGCATTATCGTTTACGTTTCTTCATTGGTTGGAGTGAATATTCTTCAGTTTCTGAATGTGATTTGCAGGAATTTGAGGATTGACTCTTGTAAGAAGTGGGATAGAGGTGGTAGTCATGCAATCCTAGTGGAGGCAGGTCACGGCTTTCGTGAGTATCAGACAGGTGATGGGAGTATGCCGAAGATGCCGAGAGGTTGTGGATTGAAGGGAGACGGAGATCATGAGGTGTACTCGGCCGTGCGGGTGTTGAGTGTGGCGGTTGGGATATCGGTTGCTGGGGTGGAGAGGGTGACAGATGTGGAAGTGGATAGTGCTGGGGAAGAGAGGAGGACGAAGGGGCTGGCGAGGGTGACAAGGGTTGCTGTTGCTGTTGTTGTTGTTGCTGTTGTTGTTGCTGTTGCTGTTGCTGTTGCTGTTGTTGCTGGTTGTTATGGTTATGGTTGTTATGGTTATGGTTGCTATTGTTGTGATGTTTGTCTCTGTTGAGAAAGTTGCTTACTGCCACAGGATCAAGATCGTTGACAGGAAGGTGAGATTGGAGGATAGTCTTTAACATATCTTCAATTGTCTTTAGTCGGTCTTCAATCGCTTCAAGCGCAGCTTTGCTGGGTGCGTTCCGTCTGTCGTCGCTGTGGGAGGAAGACGGGTAAACACACGGAACTCCCGACTTTAGACAATTCCGACATGGTTGTTCGCCATTACACTTTGTTTTCTTGCGTCGACATTCACCACATGCACTGACGATCTTTGCGCGCTTCTTACGAGGCTCAATAGGCTGTTCGTCTGCAGGCATCATATAAATGTATAATATTAATGAAGTAAATAAATAAGAGTAACAAGTGTTGTATTGACAATACGATTGGAAAGAAGAAGAAAGAAAAAAGAAGAAGAGAAAGAAGAGGAAGAAAAGGAAGAAGATCCGGAGGGAATTATAGGGGTTACTAGGGACAAAAGTATATATGTATATATATATATATATAATATAATATATATTATTAGATATAGATGTATAGATAGAAATATATGATATATACAAATATAAATAAATCAATACACAATACAATACAAAACAATATATTATATTATATTATATTATATTATATCAAATTATAATATACTTATATATACGTGTGAGTGTGGGTGTGGGTGTGGGTGTGGGTGTGTATAAATGTGTATATAATATAAATGTAAATATAAATATATAAGCAAGAGAATGGAAGGGATTAATGAAATTGAATGGAAAAAATAAGTGAGTGAGTGAGTGTGTAAATGAGTGAGTGAGTGAGTGCAAGAGAGTGAAATAGAGTGAGAGAAAGGAAAGGTGTGGGGTTGGGGAGTGCAAAGAGCGAAAGAAACAGGCAGTCAGTAAAAAAAGAAAAGAAAAAGGGAACAAGAGAGGGAGAGAGGGAGAGAAAGGCCGATTGAGCGAAAGTAAAAGAAAAGCCAAAAAAAAAAGTTTTTTTTTGGGGGGGAGGAGAGAGGAGTCAATTTGATGGTAATATGGCGGACGACGGACGACGGACGACCGACGGCGGATAGTAGACGGTAGATTACAAGCAATAGGGCCAGTGGTTATGTATATATTATATAATAGTATTATAAAAAATGCCTATATATATAGAGAGAGAGAAAGAGAGAGGAGTGGAGGGTAAGGGAGATGAAAAAAAAAAAATAGAAACAAAATGATGATGAGAGGAGGGGGAAATGAGTACAGACGGACTGTGATTGGCGATCAAGCCGGACGCGCGAACGGCAGAACACCGACAGAAAGACCCACGTTCCCACTTACTCGTACTAGAAAGTCAACTCCTGCTTACACTTTGCTTTGCACGCCAAAATAGAATAAAAATGTGCTATAGAAAAATATCAAATCAAAATCAAAATCAAAATCAAAATCAAAATAAAGACACACATACACACATGTAAAGGAGAATATAAAAGAGACACTAGATAGACAAGCCACTATAATAAAACAACAAAAGAAAATAAAAAAAGATGTTGGTTTCAATTTTATTTATTTATCTTTTCATTAGTCATTGGCGAGCAACCTTGGGATCTAATGTTAAATTCATCAGAATCATAATCTTTTTCACAATTACTCTTGCTCTTTTCATAATTTTCTCCAAACAAATCGATTCATATCCATTCTAATTCATTCAGTTGAGGATCTGCAAAGAAATAATCTTTTGTTGCCAGGATGTATTCATTGAGAGAATCATACATTATATTCAGTTAATCGTCTATTTTCTAGCATTATATCTTAACCCTCAAACTCACCTTATAATCGAATATTTCTTATGTCTTCGGCTTCCATATAAAAGTCCATGGAAAAACCATGAATACCTCTAGCTTAAATTGAATGTAACCGTTCAGAAGTCCATCTCATAGCTGTCACGAGAAATAACTTATTTCTTTATTACAAGCACACCCTACCATATACACACTTATATAAACACATCATCCTTCACCTGTTTGGTGCCTAGTATTTTAAAAGTGTTTTTTATTAGTATATACATATATATATATATATATATATATATAATCACGATATTAAATATATATATCAATCAAGACATTGATAGAAAATATACAAATATATAAAAATTAGCTTCTAATCTTTGCATTGGTCAAGTGGGATAAGAAATATGTTAAGAAATGTATATATATATATACACACATTTTGGATACCAATTGTCATCTCGACCAGGACTGACAAACATGCCTCTTACTTACTATCATTAGCATACAACCAAAAATAATAATAATCAAATCAAGTCCCAGCTTTAATTCCCTGGTGTAGAAAACCCCTAGGCTTGTCTTTTAAACATACAGACCAAAAAAGAAAAAGAGAGAGTGAGAGAGACAAGGCAGAAAATTGTTAATTCTTCTTTTTCTTTCATTTCAATTTACCTTTTTTCCTCTTGATTTCTCTCTAGCGACCAGCTAAATGCAACCGTTTATTTGTGAATATGGTGACAATCCTATCTCGCAGCAAGACTACCAGGCGCCTATCATGGAACTAACAACAGCCCCAACTAACAAGCCTACGCGCTTCTCACTACAGAACCGTCGACTGAGAAGCTCATCCTCAGTCGGAATTGCATCCTCTTCACGCTTCCGGCTAGCAAGAGAAGACCCCATACTATCTTGTGGTATCAATACTCTAACAAGCTTATATCATCGTACCACACCTAGCCGTACACACGTCAAGCCGCATCTAAGCTCAACTTCCTACCAGTCTACCTTATCATGGTCTCCACCAGGAACCTTAGAAGCAACAAAACACTCTACCAAAACCCTTATCGAATCTTCTCTACAAGAATCTTTACAATATTCTATCTCTGGATACTCGTCACACTCAGCCTCTTACCATCCACAGAACATCAAGGTTAATAAGCCTAATGATCAAGCCTCTCGATGGTCATCAAGTGCACATGATCAATCTCAATATATTACCCTACGTCTGGAAAAACCTGCAGTGTTGCGTATGTAATACACAACGGAAATTTATTTTATTTTATTTTATTTGCTATAACTCTGTGTTTTGCAATGTAGGATCCATTCTATTTGGAAAATTTCATCGAGGTAAGACAAAGGTATTGCCTCACAATAGAATCCTACATACTTTAACCCACAATTGGCGTAGATCATGTTTGCAACCTAAAAGAATTTAAGATATTCGGAGGATTGGATCCCAACGATCTGACAGAATTATTACACCACAGTAAGTAAATACAGTACACCATCAAGACATATATTTTAACAAGAAAATAAATACTCGATCTTCAAAGAGCTCAAGAATGATGCTGTACCAGAAACATTCGAGCTTCGATATTCACATGATGAATTGGTAAAAACAAAAATAAAAACCTTTATATTATCTATTTAACTAAAGCATTTATGATATACACACACATTTAGGTATTTCCTGTCCAGTACATCAAAATAGCCCCACTTTCAACATTTGGAACAAATTTCAACTACAGTATATGGTATATCGAACTCAATGGCGTACAAGAAGAATCAATTGTGTCAAGAATCAGAAAAGAATTCGAAAATGTATGTTATGTTGTGTACTTGAAAGAAAAAACTATGTACTATAATATATATATATATATATAATTATATAATTATAATTATGTGTGTGTGCATGCATGTATAGTATAAAGAGACAGAGACCATTAGACTTTGTTTGAAGCATCTGAGACAGCGTAACCTGATGGACGTATTTCATGTCCTCAAAAGTCGAACCAATGTCGAATTGGAGCATCCACTTTTGTCAGAGTTACATCAATATCTGGTCCAAGATGGAAACTTTGAGGCAGCAGAACAAATATTAATTCAAGCCAATTCGAGTAATATTTTTGAGCTCTTTTCTACTCACGCAGACTACAGACCAACTTGGAAGAGAATAAATGTAACAAACCAAGGTGAGATTCTACTCTCTACAAAAAAAAATGTATTTATTATATATATTTATTTATTCAGAAAAAAATATTCCTTGTCCAAGAGGTGGACATCAGATGTGCATTGACGAAAAGGAGGGGAAGATATATTTACTCGGGGGATGGAGTGGAAAATGTGATATGTCTGATTTCTGGTACTACAACATAAGAGAAAACAGATGGCATTTGTTGAGTTTCAATACAAAAAGGTAACAACTAAATACATAAAAATAAGAAGAAGAAGAAAAGTGAAATAGAGATAAAAGGATTCTGTATTATATTTAAGATTAAGCGACCTTTCCTTGTTGAATTTAGGGATGGGGGTCCAGGTCCTCGGTCTTGTCACAAAATCTGCTTTGATCCGGTCACAAAATCCATATTTGTTCTTGGCCAGTACTCTGAAGGACAGCAGGAGTCTGCCGATAGTAATATTAAGCCAGACTTTTATCGTTATTTCATCGACTTTAATTTGTGGAAAAAGATTAGCACTGACACATCGGTAAGAGCAGCTGTTTGAATTTTTAAATACCCACAGCTTGGTAATATTCAAATTCAACACACTGTATCTCAGAAGGAAGGTGGTCCTGATTTGGTTTATGATCAACAAATGTGCATTAACTCCATGGCCGGTGTACTATACGTATTCGGTGGAAGAGCAACCTCTATCGATTCAATTTCACACCATTACAGCGGATTGTTTTCGTACGAAATAACAGCTAATAAATGGACACTATTAAGGTAATATATATATATATATATACAAACAGAATAAAAAGACATATTACAATTGATCGCATACGCTTATTAAAATCTCTAATATAATACAATGGAACATTTTCATTAGACGTGACAACGACACAATGTCCCCGTTGTCTGCTGAGAGACTACCACAGTCTCACAACCAGCCCGTAAATCGTATGCCATTGAAATCCCGTGTAGGACACTCGATGGTTATGGATACAATGCATCAGAAACTGTTTATATTTGCTGGACAGCGTTTGAAAGAGCATCTGTCGGACCTACATACGTACTCAATTGAACACGATCGAGTTACTCAAATTACACAGGACTATTCAAAAGACTCTGGCCCTGAACCAGGATTCATGCAAAGAGCAACAGTTGACGTAAACAGACAGGAAATATATGTCCTTTCGGGGTCAGTTTCTAGCCAGAGCAATAGTGCCGTTGAGAGCAAACTCTGGGTCTACAATATGCGAGCCAATCAATGGAAAAAAGTGTACCAAAGCGAGACATCGGATATTGTCGAGACATGGAATAAAAAGTTGGTCATTGAACCATCACCGCGGTTTGCCCACCAGTTTGTCTACGATAATACAACCAAGGTACATTATCTATTTGGTGGAAATCCAGGTGGACCTGAAGGCTCCACAGAGCGTCTTGGAGATTTTTGGGAATTAAGGTTAACAAAGTAAGTTTGATTATAAAAAAATACAAAGTAAGGTATTTATGTATTATTTTTTTCTATATTTTTGTTGATTAATAGGATAGGACCCGAAGATGTATTCCGAAGATGTGTATTTATGACTAGAGTACACAAACTACAGGAGCTCTGTAATGTTGCATCAGATCAACACAACCAGAATAACAAACATCCGAACACTAATGCGAGTATTAACAATGAAACTTGTAATGACACATTGTATGCTTTGGACTATCTTCGTACCCATGTCCAGCCGCTTGTAAACCATGGAGATAAAGAAGAAGTTCGGCTATTCCGAGAGCTGTGCACAAAGTTGCTTTTTGCAGAAAAAATCTTGCCAGGAGAACGAGAGTCCAACGAAGAACTCCATGAAAGTAACTCCGGTAACTATTATACGAAGAACTTTCAAATAGATCAAGAACTTTCCTATGGAATTATTAATCTAATCTATAGACCATTTTTCAGATGATCTTTACAGTAGTCGGTCGCAATTATTTGCAAACTTACTCGAGTATTTTCCGTGCCGGATGAAAGAGCCTCTAGGAAACTTGGCGAGTTTATCAGGGTTTGGGTGGAAATAGGCTCTTTTGATAATCGAGTAACATTTTCTATATTTAATGAATGTTGCGTTTGACTCTTTAACAAGTATTGGTCACCATCGTGAAAGTCTTGTAAAGAGAGCCGACTTTATATCACAGATTTCTGACGTTTTTTTAGAGTACTTGTTAAGGAGTGCTTAAATAAATTATTTTCTCTATTTCTTTTTTCTTTTTTTTTAAAAAAAAAAAGACATATCTGTTAAATAAGTATTGCGTAGTATGGATATATGAAATAGCTTTCTTGAAATGTTGAACATTAGATATATACCTTTTATGAGACTGAGAAGAATACTGTATTGTACTTTAAATGTAGCTGTGTATATTTGTAACCCACGTCTTTGAATTAGAGTAGTTATCTGATTAATCTTGGGGTTATAGCTGAAGATCAGACTTTCCATTACCTCCCCACCTATTTTTTTATGGTATACATCTTTAAAGATAAACCATACATTCGTTTACTGCTTATACATTATATATATATATAACAAAAGACAAATTAAAACAAATTCAAGCCGCAATCAAGCTCAAATGTAGACAGAATTTAGCCAAAAATGAACACAAGGGACCTTGGGCACATCATATAAAATATTTTTGAAACATTTAACCATACACTCTTTCCGAAAAGTAAATTCGCACAATAACGAGAACAAAATTCAGGTTGCACGAAAAAGCAATTCGCCCTGGTGGAAAATCAATTCGCCTGACGGGAGAGCAAAATTTGTATTGTACGAAATGTAAATTCGTCCTGGCTGACAAATCAGATGTCCTGCTGCCTAGAATATTTTTTTTTGGACAAGACTTGGCATCTTTGGATATTTAAGAGCGTACCAAATGCTCGCCTTCGCTTTATTTCTTTTTCACAATTCCATTAGAAATCACAGATTATGAACATTCAATTCATGTTTGAAAACAAGAAAGGCTCTGTTGTCGACAAATATGGTAGATCTGAACCAATGGATTATATTGTTGATGAGGAGCAGTTTCGTCTCGAAACGTTGATCTCTCATACACAATATAATCCTTCGGCTCTAAAGAGCGAGAAGGAAATAGGGACAATGCAGGTGGAAAAAGAAGTGGTAAAGCCTTGTAGTGATATTATTATGAGGGAAACATAAGTGAAGCGAAATTATATATGCTACTGTGATCAGGACAAAGGTGAGGTTCTTTAAATTGTTGTTTGAGAAGTGTCTGAGTGCGGCCACTGCTGCAAAACAACTTGGGACTCACGTTCGTACAGCACAGAAATGGGCTAAACAGTACGAGACGGATCCTGACTGGATCTTTGAGAAACGGAGAAAGACTGGTCGTCTTTGTATTCTCCACGAGGAACACAAAAACGCTATCATTGAGTGCATTGATGGCAATCCTTCCGTCGTCCTGGACGAATTAATGAAGAAGTTAAAACAAACATTTACAGAATTAAAAGTATCCAAAACTACCTTTTTCGATTTTGTAAAACAACATTGTAATTTGTCTCTCAAAAAAGCTCGGCTTCAACCCATGGGCCAACATGTCGTTCATCATACCTTACCTGCAATTTATGCTAACCACTCACCTTCGACACTCATCCGCCCGATCTCTCTACTCTTTCCTGGACCAGCCAGCTCCTGCCCATCCCCACTGCGATCACTGCTACAGGCTTCTGCCCACTTGCGCACCTCCTCTTCAGGTTTAGACTTTCGTCTCCACCCCTCAACCTGCCTCGGCTTTCCTCTTTCCTATACATGGCAACATTTAGATATAGTTATGGTAGTCTCTGTTAACCTCGCCAACCTTTCTGTAGAGGATGTATTCTCTCTCTCTCTCCAGGTAGTTTCTTAACCCTCAAGACGAACGACGTATTGGCTGAGCATGGGAGACTCCGAATTAGACGATACCAAAAGGCGATTTCCGCTGAAAATATGCAGTATACGTTATGGCTCCATCACCTTCTGGAGAGCCAGGCTCAACTGACTGACACTTCTATGCCGGACCCTCTTGACCTCTCTCCCCTCACTAAAGACATTATTATAGGCAAAACATCTCTGTATAAGGCATCTAGTTCGGATTTTCGAAGTCATATACAGCCACACTCACTTACAACAAATCTTTCTCGCGCAGCATGGATCCGTTTTTGGAAACTCAAAAATTCCTCATGACAGTCATACCATTCGGTGGAAGGCCCTGTGGGGGTACCTGCCTACTCGATCCTTTGTTTTTCAAAAGACTGTCATTTTTTCGACGATGACATTTGCCCCATATGCCTGTCAGCAATAGACACCCCTGATCACTTCCTCATCAACTGTCCCAAAAAACGATTGGTATGGAGTATCATCCTCTCTCAGGTATATCCGCGCTGGTCGCTGGCAAGGATAGACACTCTCCTGACCACGTTGACTTTTGCTGATACTTCCATCTCCAAACACACACAAGCTTAGGTTGTAGCCTCTACAATCCATGCCATCTGGCGAGCTCACTGAGCGTTTGTCATGGACGAACAGCCCTTCCTTCCTAGTGTGATAGCAGCCAAGGCACTAGTGGTGATAAGGCGCTTCTTGGAGTAGTTTTTTCTCTTAGTCTCTTTTTTACCTTTTTCCCTCATATAAATATTGAAATACAAAAATTTAGGCATATTCAGTCAATTGCTCAGTGCTTTGCACTGTAGCCGACCAATAAATACAAAAAAAAAGTTTTCTTTTTAATCCGATCTTATTTGCGGCCAGTTAAATCATTTGTTTATACAGCCAATGGGAAACAATGTAGGCTGCAACTAACACTAGGAAATGGCCTGTTACACTCCTGCTTTTTCTTCTTTTCTTTTTGTTACATGGGCTGACAAATACGAGATATTGTAATTCTTTATTTTATTGAACGAACATTCATTGAAAAGTGAGAGATAAAAAAAAGGGAAAGGTATCAGAGTGAGAGTAAAGTATTTTGTCAAGGAAACAAAAAAAAAGTTTTGAATTCATTTGTTCGTATATTGTTCGAATCGAACGCGCAGGGATTCCACTTTCTTATAGTGAATCATATTAGGTTTCTCAAGCAGCAATGGATGGCAGGCTTTCCAATTCATCCTTTTTCGAGTTTTTTTTTAATTGTTCGGTAAACTCCATAGTGCGCTGATGCTTTTGTTCATTAAATGACCGAATGGATGATTCTCGGTTGGTGTCACTTTTTGCAGCAATTGTATCCTGATCCTCCTCCTCTTGAAACTGTCGTTTTACTGATCGTATTTTTTTTTAATTCCTTGCTACGCATGTTGATCGATCGCAGATAAGTAGGCTAGTCACCCGCTGGTATTCGATATTTCTTAATAAACTTTGATGTTGGCATTGCAAATTGCTTTGACTGTATCCAACAATTGAGTTTCTCGATCAAATGATTTTACCAAGATTTGTTGCAAGATATTGAACAATCTGACCACCATAAAATCTTTCCAACCCTGACTTTCCAACAGGCACGTTTCTTGGTCAACCAAAAGCAATGATATTGATCGATTGACAAAGGCAAAGTTCACTGAATGCTGTACTTCAATGATAATTGGGGAATTCCCAGGTGATTCAACCTTGGGAGCGTATAGTACATAAGATTGTGTGCCGCCCGCCTATTCAGAATCTCCAATTATGTAGGCATCGCCATCAACACCTGCGACTGCCTTAGTTACAATGTCTTTGACTTCTGGATGTTCCAGAAGATTTTTAGTTGTCATGTCCGTTCCCTGTCTTCGTTCAAATGGAATTTGAAAAGTTGGGGTTGTCATGGGAAAATAAAAAAACGTCCACCACGCCTTCATGATCGACTCCCGAGGTGGCCTCTGTCGGGTACCTCCCCACGACATACGACATTCGCGCAACTGCATTATCGCCTTCTTTCGCCATCTTGATGATGCTAAAACTGTTCTGTGGCCGTGGTTTATTTCCTTGCTCCTCCCCTTCTCGCCAGATTCACCCCGACCTGTGCACGGCCTTTTCTCCCTTGTCTCCCTCATTCAAATCGACGGTCGCCCTCTCCACAAGGCTTTGACTGGTTCCCTCCGATGTCACCTCACGTCTCCTTCCTCTCTACCTCACGCTGATATTTCCTGAAAATCGTTCTGGCGGTGGTCCATGCCACACAACACACGTTCTCTCTGATGGAAAATCTTCTGGCAAAAAGTCCCAACCACTGAGCTCGTATTCAACTGCATCTCCTCTTTCCTTTCTAGTCCGAACTGTCCCCTCTGTCTCTCTGCAGTGGACTCTCTCCAACCTTTCGTCTTTTCCTGCCCTTGGAAGTTTCCTGTGTGGAAATTAGTACTGCAGCAACTGTGTTCGTCGTGGTATATTTCGGACGTTGCCTGGCTTCTCACGCGTACTCGACTCTCTCCTTCCGTCTCCTCTTATCTTCAGATTGCAATTGCGCCCATCACGGCTCACACCATCTGGCGCGCGCACTGGGCCTTCGTCTTTGACAATTCCCTCTTCCTCCCCGATGTAGTCGCAGCTAAGGCAGTGACTGCCATACATATATCCCATGACCTCAACACCAGCTAACTTTTTTTTTATATGGAGCCAGGAAGAAAAAGCTCAAACACCAGCTAACTAGCGTCCATATCTTTTTCTTTTCTCTTCTGTAACTTTATCTTTTCTCGATTTTCAATTGCAAAGGCCGTGGACTGTGTGCGTCGGCAGTACCAATAAATATTTTCTCTGTATGGAACTGTGATAGACTCATATTTATTGAAATTCTCTGAATGAGTAGGACAAAAGAGAAAATTACAACATTTGTTTTGAGGGTTTATGGGGGTTATTTGATGTTTTTGGCTTTTTGGAGTACCAATAAACACAAAAAAAAGTCCCATGTTTCACGTCCAAGGTTTCCATATACGATCAAAATGTGTGATAATTCACTTATCAGACATGTTAATTTGCTAAGCTCGCGAACATAAAATGATGCAATTAGTACAATCCAAAGTTTGTTACTTTTTGCCATAAAATTGTAATAACTGATTAATTTCCTATATATTAAAGCAAATACCTGTTAATTAGTATTTGTATACCTAGGGTGCTTGTGCAAATAGAGAAAAAAAAACAGCTAATGTTGGGGTAATATGAGCTTCTTTACATGCTTAAAAACATAATTCTCTTTATTTCAAGTTGTATACCATCGTTAGTTTAACAGCAAAAAATACCAAAATATGATTGGCTAACAAATGTTATATCATCTTTTTATATCATGTAAAAAATGCGATTTTGAAACACACTATTTTTTTTAAGAACAAAATCTTCATTAAATCAATTTTATATTATGTGTTCAAAGTCCCTACTATGTGAACGTCTACTAACATCATCTCAATCTCAAGTAGAAACACTATAATATACCAAATACTCATATATGCGTAAATAACTACATAACATAAAATTAGGTGCTGTTTCTTTAATGTATTATAGCGCCATGAAGTCAAGTATAGAGACAATAAAGAAGTTGAGACCTTTTCATTATCATTATTAAAAAAGAAATATATTAGTATATATATATATATGTGTGTGTGTGTAAATGAAAAAGAAAAAAGAAAACTTGTAATTAAAAAAAAACGACGAGAAAATGGTTTGAGATCGATTATACAATCCACATTTGGAAATATACTGTCACATCGCAGCGAACGGACCCTCGTTTCGTGGCAAGTCTTGGCGATTTTTTTTTCTTAAAAAAAATCAGGGCAATACACCTCAGTTCTTTCTTATGACATAAACAGCTTTTTTGGCATCCTCTATCGTCTTATATAATCCAGTTAATCTAACCTTGCTGAGATTTTCCTTCATTCTACAGTCCTTTCTTTCTCTTTGTTGTCGAAAACATTCCCTGGTCAATGGCAACTACATCGGTTGTAACAGAGCAATCTGAATCTATAATAACGCAACCCTCAATCCCCTCTCTCGAGCTTCTATCTCCATCCCTTTCTCTAAATTCAAATATTTCATCATTGCTTCCGGATAGAGCAACACATTCAATATCTAAAAAAACATACAGTGCATCTATTCTTGACGGAAGTTGTTACCTTGCACTCTCTGCGATCCATTGCATCTACCTGGCCTGCATTGCGATTGCTACCATATACATTCATGTAGAAAGTACAATAACAAGTCTGTGGGTCGAACAGCGCCATTCGATTCCAGATCTCATTAAGCACGACAAGAGTCGACTTACAAAGATCCCAAAACATCTTACTATTGCAATCTCACATGAGTTGATTCACGAAAGGAGTCTGGAAGACTGGCACGCCATTGTAAACGATATATGCCTAGCATCTTGCTGGGCATGGGAGTTTGGGGTGAAAGAATTGTCGGTGTACGATAAATCAGGTAGAATATATAGAGACTAAACGCTATAGCTTACAAGATTAATATTAACTTATGGGTGGTGACAGGTGTTTTGAAATCTATGGCTATAGACGTTTATAAGCAGCAGGTATCCACTTTACATCAGTGGATTAAAAACTCTACTAATACAGAAAAGTCGGTACACCCAAGTATGTTTGGAATATAGTCACAATATAAAGCTCACTTTAAGACAAACTTATTTTCTTATTGATTACTATCTTTTTCAGCTCTTCAGTTTTCTATAATATCGGCAGAAGATGGTCAACCTCAAATGGGTCGAGCTGTCCAAAAGATTGCTAAATACATTAAAGAAAACAACCTAGGTGTTTCGGATATTGATATAAACCTTGTGAATCAGTTTGTGCACGGTAAGAGTTTATTATTCTTTTCCAATATTTTTCTTCTTTTTTTCTCATTCAATGCGTATAGATGATTCATGCTCAGATCCGGATCTAATGCTCATCTATGATGGTCTGCCACATAACTATATTTCGCTTGACGGATATCCTCCATGGCATCTTAGGCTAACAGAAATCACGTAAGATCCTTGAGAAAAATGCTTATCTTATATTAACTATCACCTATAATGATTATAGAAATGGCTACACATACCACACATTAAACTATCCATTCTTCTCCAAATGTCTTTACCGCTTTTCAAAGGTAGAACAAAGATTTGGCCATTAAGAAAAAAAAAAGGTCTTTTTCTCTATTAGATAAGATACTTTCCAATACTCCAATAAAAACCGATCGAGATCTTTGCATATGCGCAGCACACAAATGCTGCTCTCAAAAGCAGTATATATATAAGATGATGTTATTTGGAAGATTATTACACTATGGTAAAAAAAAGGGAGAATTCTAGTAAGAGAATTTTGCAAGATTCTCCAGGGACTAAATGTATTCTAAAATTGAATATTAACAAAAATCTACTTGAAGAAATGGTTAATGTGGAATAATTGTAAAATATTATGTAAATATTTTGGGTCGAATATCCTTTTCCTAACTCAACTACGTATCAAGTTACGGTGAAATTAAATACTTGCTCCGTTTAAGGGGTTTAAACAGCCAAACTACCTTTCATTTAAGCTGGTAAAAAGAGAGCCAACAAAAAATCAAAGGACTTGAGTGCATTAGTCAAAAGGCTGTCTTGATCGCATAAAGAATATTCGCTAGGATGAAGGGCTGGATTTTTGAAGCAGTATTCTACATTCTATTTTTTTAAAACAATAACAACAAAAACAACTTGTTACGACTAAATTATAGAAGACAATGTAATGTAGTAGCTCCCGAACTCACTTTTCAGTTAACCCGTAGTTTAAAGTTTAGGTGCCAAGCCAGAATTAATGCAAAATGCATAACTACTAACATTTCACATTTGGGCATATTTATTTTATTCCTTTCATATAAACGTATTAAATTTCATTATATCAAATTTATATCTGTTCTTCTTTTGGTTCCGGATACACTACTGTCCGTTAACTATAATTACAAAGGTCGTGATACAGCATACATCAGATTCTGAAATGATGAATAGTTTGTATAAATATCGATTGTTTCAATTAACTATTCTTTTGTAGAAATATCCTTAAAAGTTACAACCCACAACATAATTTGCTTAACTTCAAGCTTTAGTACCATATAAGCAATTAAAGGTAACGCGAATAGCCCAATAGAGCATAATACTACTAATACTATATAAAGTTCAATGTTTCATATGGGCATATACGATAGCTATTAATAATTGTCTAACATATTTTCTACATCGCCCTCTGGATTACCCCCTTTCTTTTCCCATAGTATTTTTCACTTGTATTATAGTATATATGTATATATCATAGGGCTAGTTACAAAATCTTCTGATATATGCTTTTGGGCGCAAAATGATGGAAAAATTTTAATGTTTTAGCATAAATATTGACCAAGAATTAAAGGTCTAATTTCAATTTGGGAATAAAGCTAATCGTTTTTCTTAGTATTCCTAGTATTTTTTGTAGCTGCCAAATTTCCATTGCGCCACTTTGATCTGCAAAAAACACAAGTGACGCTTCCATGGCGTGATTTTTTCCACATATCAAAGCAAACCTATTCACCCAGGGATATTATTAGGTGTATCTGAGAGCGTTATGAAGTATATACTATGAAACCTACTTCATGGATATTGTTTCCACATGTCCAGCAAAAGGCGACAGTTGTGATTGTTTCCTCTTCAAACTCTTCGAAACAAATGGGACAATCAGAGGTGTCAAGAGATCGTCTAAGTAAAATTCTTTGTTAGACTTTACCACATTTACATCAGATAATAATAATATAGGCTTACCTTTGTGGGGGTACTTTCGTTTTAAGTGGATCTGGAATAGCTGTTTTCAATCGTTCCTGGGACTGGTAATCACTCTGTCAAGAATAACAACAGGAATTTTTAGGTGGTGGTGATGTTTTTTTTTTTTGTAAAAAAATAAAATAAAATAAAACTAAATTAATAAAACGGGGTTTATGCTGTCTTCAATCAATTTACCACGCTAACATCAGGTATACGTGTCTCGAATACTGCCTCGATTTGCTATATATATACATACATACATACATATATATATATATAAAAATAATATTGTAAGATGGGTTATTAGCTCTGGATAGATATCAGATATACAGATTTATACTATTCTTTATTGTTTACCCTCTGAGTAACTCCTCTTCCTAGAAATATAATTGAGTTTGATGGGAGACGAAAAACTTTAAGAAGGACCATAATAATGTGTTTGCACATCGTACGTCTCATACGATGATCGAAGCAGGTGCACGACATTTTTCTTCCGATATATACGTTGTAAACCTATAGGTAGCTTCCTTTCTTTTAAATATAATATCTTCAGGCTACAAGCAAATACCCGCTACTCATACATTAACACCACTCCCTAGCACTGAGAAATTGAAAATATGAGATATTTTTGTTCACTGCCATCTAGGGAAAGTAAAGCCATTTACCAGCAAACATCTCATAAAATGGTTCAATCATTTCTCTCAAAACAACCATCATATGTTCGTCTCTCGAACGGGATATACGATCAAGGGTTTTCTGCAACATATTCTTAATGATGTTTTCTGATATTTAGTAAATATACTTAGTACCTGTTCAATGGAAGATGGATCAACCGTTTCTAGCAGGACATTTTCATCGATTGGCTCATTATCAATAACCTCAATTACTTCAGGCTGTGCATTCGCATGCACAGTTGAAATTGGATTAACTGATTGAGCAGATAAAGAAGTTGAAGTATATGGACTAGCAACAGCGGCTGGGATTGCTTCACCAGTTTCAATAGAAGAATAAACGGAAGACTGTACTTTAGAAGGGATAGAGATCGGAACCCCAATTTCTGTAGCCTTTCTCTTATTTTTCCTCTTGGTTGATTTGTTATTTGTATTCGTAATAGCACTATTATTCTCTTTAGGATTGGTTTTCGGTTTTGTCTTTTGCACTATAGCTCGAGTTCTTTTCTTTGCAGGCTCTGACTGGGTGGAAATAGATACATCCCTTTTTCTTGCATTCTTGGCTTCATTCACATCACTAAGCTTTTCTTTAGCTTTCCCAAGAATGTTATTCATGTATGCATCTGTTTTCTCTCGTGCCCTTTTTGAATCAGATCTAGTATAATTAAAAATTAAAATCTCATGTTATTCTCAGTACTTGTAGAAATATTAGTAATGAAGTACACATAGCTAGCCATCACACCTTAAGCAGTATGTTAATGTTTTGATTGTTTGTGGCATAAGAATCGGATGAGATGGTCAATATTTAACTGTGAGTTTGTCCAAGAAATTGATCAGTTGAAAGAGTTGTCAAACATTTAAATCTCAGAGTTCGGGAAGCACGAAAACCTTTAATTTCGCCTTTCTTTTTCTTTTTCTTTTTCGTTTTCTTTCCTATAGTTTAATGTCGCCTGAATTCTAAATAGAAAAACTGTAGTAGCTTTATTGTATTGATATGAGAATAATTCATATATTCCTCTTCCTCCCTCCCTCCAAAAGAAAAAAATGCGATAGAACGATAGATTTTAGTGACGTAACTGCACTTGCTCAGATTGTCCCTTCAGCTTACGTTATCCTTACAGACAAGATGACAAGACAAGATTTCGAAAACAACATTTTTAGAGCAATGCTAAGGACATGCAAAGAAACCAAAACAGTCAATTAAGCGTTACATCACATTTAATTGGCTTTTAGGAGTATTACTGGAGGAACCTTACGGACAGCCTGGTGGGACAGCCTGGTGGGATGTCTAGAAGTATGTTACGTCATCCAGTCACGTGCTTGGACAAATGTCATACTATATTTGCACTAATGGTCTTCTCCAGCATACGAGCCAAATTATCCCAAGTAGATTGGCTTTTCAATCCAAATATAGAAGTATAAACTCAGAAAGCAGCCATTTTTTCCAAAATGTAAAAAGCAAAGGTTACTACTAAACTGTCCTGTAAAAGTTATATTTTATAAATTCTACAGATATGAGATAATGCGTAAAGGCGGTTATATTATTGAAAGAATTGAAAGAATTGAAATAGGGTCTTTAGTAGACTGCATATGATGTTGAAAGTATCTCTAAAATAACGGCAAATCTTCTTTGGGACATTTGGATTTTATTTAGCAAGCCCTTTTAAGGTGCTCTCCAGCGTCCTCAGTGTATTACCTAAAAAATCGTCGATCGGTTCAATTGACAAATATAGGAATGTCAGCTATTATTATAGTATTATTGTGATAATAGATGATAATAAATATCCAATAATTTGGTGAAAAATGAGCATTTATCTAAGCAAGAACATAGTAATTACTGAGCTGGATCAATTCGCGGAGAAATAATAGAGTAATATTAAGAGCAAAAGATACTAAATCCAACCTCTAAAATGACAAGAACTATATTACTTATTATTATATGAAAATTTAAATTTAAATTTGTCTTTATAAATGATTGGGTTTTTTTGTGGCATTTTAGTAATATATATTTTATAACTAATGTACCTATCAAATATTAGTTATTTTCTTTTTTATACCTTTTACTCTTTTAATTTCACAATACTTAAAATGAGTAACAACACCAATACCAACAGCTACATCAACAGCAGTAATTCTGTTTACAATGATAGTGACGATGAAAATGAGACAAGTGCTGAGTGTGAGTTGGCAACTATGCAGAAAATATTTTATGTCACTTTTCAACGTAACTCTAATTTTGATCTTGATAAATACAATTGTTTAGAGCTTGAAGTATCTCATATAACACAGATTAGAGAGCAAGCAGTAACTACTCTATTCTCTCAGGCTTACAATGTAATGATGTTAGCCCAGAATGTCCAGACCGTAGACGATTTTCAGTACGCTTGTTATTTGGGTTCTCCTGTCCACCTTGTGGGACAAAGTGGAATTCGAAACAACCTGAATGAAGGCACAAACCATTGGTGGACATATCGCCACCCCTACCTGCACGATGGAACTGGTCCCAGTAGCTTTCGGGCACATTATCGAGTAAATAGAGAGACATTTAATGTGATTGTGAATGTTCTCAGACGAGACCCTGAGTACCAAGCCTCTGAGGAAAGGAGCAAAGTCAGCCACCCTGTGTGGAAGCAAATTGCTGTTGTTCTTTGGCGTCTGAGCAATACGCACTTTGGGTACAGAATAGCACTAGAGCTGTTAACGGTGAGCTATGGATTCTACAGCCGCTTTACCAATAGATTCGTAAATGGCATGATTCGATCCTTTTTGAAGACAACAATAAGATGGCCAGCAACACTTGAGGAAAGTCAAAAAAGTATGGATAGATTTGCTGTTCCTTCAGTCCGATCGGAACACCAGCACCTTAATGAATGCATCGGCACTGTGGATGGGAAGCTAATTGTAATTCAAAAGCCATCCTTATTTGGTAACAGCTGGTTGGATTGTCACAGCAACGCCTCCATGGCTCTTATGGCTGTATGCGATCACAAAAAAAGATTTACAGATATAAGAGTCGGATTGGCCGGTAAATATTATATAGCAATATGTATGTAATTACTTTTACTAAACTTTCTTGTATTTAGGAAGCCAAAACGATACATTTATCTTCAAGACTAGTAATTTATATCAAAATATAATTCACAGTCTTAGAGAGCTGTTTTGTGATCCAAGATCATACATTGTTGGAGGTAATGTATATTATATAAATACTCTATAAAACTAATTAAACTTACATATATTTGAAAAAGACTCTGCTTTTCCTATCTTAAAGCATTGTCTTATTCCTTACCGTAGAGTCAATGACATGACGGTAGACGAGAAAAAGTTCAATAATATACAATCAGCAACACGATTTAAAATTGAAAATGCTTTTGGATTGCTTGTCTCTAGATGGAGATTCATGTTCAAGCATCTTTTTCTCATGCAGTCAGAATCAATGGCAAAAGTTATAACTACATGTTGCATTTTGCACAACATGTGTATCATCTTTGGCGACAGCGAAGAATATCTCGAAGAGCTATTAAGAGCAGGTGAGACCAATCCGCAGAGAAACACGACTATCATGGATTGGTTTGTTCGAGCTGACAATACAGACGGTGCCAGCTTTGAGGCACATGATGCTGACAATGATGATGAGGATTTTGAGGATCCATATGCTGAAATGGATAATTCTCGTATAGAGACTGAAAGTGCTTCTGAGGGAAGAGCTAGACGTGATCAAGTGAAAGACACTTTAATTTCTTTTCAAAATATTTGTAATTTTTTTTTTTTATTAAACGTTTAATTTTTTTATTCAATATTTTATTTAAGGATAACCATAATAAGAAAGAAGATTTAAGATATTTTATTGATAGAATAAAGGAAGAAAAAAAGAGGGCATAAAAAAAAGAAAGAAGACATAAAAGAAAGAAAGAATAAGACATAAAAGAAGAAAAGAAGGCATAGAAAAAAGTGGAAAAAAATTAAGATATGTTGTTCATGTATATAAAGAGAAGAAGACATAGGAGAGAAATATGTTAGTCAGATGCATTATTGTGAGAAGTAGAAGAAGCAGAAAGATACTGTGTAATTGTATCTGCACTTTTTTTGAAAAAGGCTAACAATTTGCCTTTTGCTTCTCTTTCTTCTCTTGCGATTATTTCTCTGCTGAGAAGATCGTTCCTAGAAATCTGCTTTCTTGCGAGGACGTCTTCTCTTGTGTTATTGTCTCTTGATGCCCTGTCCAAGCGACGTGCCTCCCAAAATGACACAGCGTGTATATATTGACATTCTACTGAGCGGACGAAGGCATCTTTCACCTCCTCCAACTGCGAACTTAAGGAGCTGAAAGCCTCATCAAAGATAGCAGTCTGTCTCTCGGAATTTCGCAAGAAGGCAGACTGGAACTCACGTTGCGTCATTCTTCTGTTTTCCGTTCCTGCTGCCGATGATGATGGTGCTGGTGCTGGTGCTGGTGTTGGTGCTGGCATAGTTGCAGACACAGATGCGGAAGGGAGTCGAAACGAGGACTGGTAAGACAGCTGAGAGCTAGGCTCAAAACTGCCTTCTGAAATTAGTAGTAGCTCCTGGTCTGCTGTCACAGGGGAAACGCCGCGTTAAATTGCATCCATAATTTCTGGGACAAAATTAGGGTCAGAAAGATAGGTGTTGGAATATGTGATTCCGTCTTCTTGACAGACGGATATTACTGGGGCTGCATTTGCTCCAACCAACATGCTCGACGAACTGATGATCATTGGTGGGAAAAAACTAGGGTCCAACAACGTTATCTCTTTCATGGCATCAAAAAATTGAAACCTCCCATGAGGAGGAGGGCCACCGGATCCAGTTCTTTGTATACCGGCCACAACTTTGCGGAATTCCTTCTTGACAGTTTGGAACCTTTCCTTTACATATTTAAGGTCCCTGTATTTCAGGGAAAACTGGTGTCCCGCAGAAGTACCAGCAAAGCGTATCACATCGGGATTGATGCAAAACTCGGTGTGAAGATTGGTCCATAGGCTTGCCTTTCTTCCACTGTCACCGTTGAGGTGCTTGACATAAAATCCTGTCTCTATGATCAGGCGAAGCAACACCATTATAGTTGTGTCGTCCCATTCTGTATGCCGGTCCGCTCTAGAAGCCACTAGTGGAAAAGAGGTGCGGTTTTCTTATGTGTAAAACTGTAATTAATTATGTGAAAAGACCAGGTTTTATGATGCGATCAGATAGTTTTTACAAGTGTATGAAACTGGCTTACTCATAGGTGGTAAGACCAACTTTCGAACATAGGAAAAGGTCAGAACAGCAGGATAGTATGATGTGTTTGCATTTTCTGTATATGGGTTTTTACCACATGCACTAAAACGGCAACTCAGAATTACGTTTTGTTGTAATATATCCTACCGCTTTCCGATTAAAAGAACGATAAATGAAAGATCGATTATACGGATATGCCAGTTTTTACATTGTTTAATTTATGGATATGCCAGTTTTTACAGGGTTTTGTTGTCTTTGAATTTTTTTTATCCAATCTTAAAGACTTCTTCTTGTACTGTTTGCTTCCATACACTTCTCCGATCTTTAATTTATTTATAATAATTATTGGTTTATTTTGTTTTTATTAGAAAGAAAAGAATATTCTTAGGTTTATAGTACAGTGGTTATATTTAATATTCAGGAACGTTCTGGCTAGTGTTCTATCCTTCATACAATGTGAAATGGCCAATGTTCTGATAAAACAAGTATTCTCCAAACAATATCTCCCAGAGAAAAGCCCAGTTGTGTGTTGCTTGCTTGTAAATGGTTGTTCTATGAAATTAGAAAAGTGTTAGCTGTTTGAACAAGAAATCGTGGATATTAAGAATATATATATGTAATTATGCTTGAAATATAATAGCTTACCAGAGACAAAAAGAAAAGGCGTCATGAATGCGAACCATAGTACTCAATATACTTTATTTGGCTATAAAAAAGCTGAAAAAAAATTATTTTTTATGAACTGTGTGGTAGAATATTTCATTTACCTACCTGAAGCAAAATGATTTATTTGCAGACCAAGAGAGTACATAGGAGGCGCTGATATTGTCTTCAGTAAATGATATACATTAATATACAGAATAAATAATATTGTTATATGTACAAAAATAAAAATGAAATATTTAACATGTCGATGACACTCGTATGAAATGAAAGTTCTTGATTCGCGATGTGCTTATGAGAGGGAGGCTCATCTATAATATAAATTATGTTAAGCCGTGTGCTTATTAAAAAGAGATATATTAAAATAAAATAAAATATTACTGTGTTCATAACCGTGTTTAATAGTAGAGAGTAATTTCGGCGATATGGCCTATACGAAAGAAAGGAAAAAGTCAGAATAATTTTATAGGATGACGGCATAAAGTATATTTACTAACCTTAGCTAATCCGGATGGACATTGTGAAGGGGATGCATCAGAAGGTAACAAAACGCGAGTGTCTATAGTAATAGAAAACAATTATTATCATTTTAGTTATATACAGTGCCGTAGGTTGGTAAAGTGCACAGATTTAAGTTCCAAAAAAATGAAAATGTTTATACAAATGCTACCATCTATGTTTTTCCATTTTTACACTTATAACACACTGTCAAAATAACACACAAGAAAGCTTGAAGTCTTCTCTTCTATAAAAATTGGTTTTAAAAGTATATTTTAATATTTTGTATACAATCCTTTACTCTTCTTGAGAGCATGTAGCCTCTTTGGCATTGAGTTGCAATGGGTCGCACACACAGAGGCTGGTATTTTTCTCCATTCCTCTTGTAAAAACCTCTTCAATTGGGTAAGGTTCTTTGGGTGAGGTCTTCTAGCCCTCACCTGCTTCCCAAGATATGCCCACACATTTTCAATTGGGCTGAGATCGGGACTGCGTGCAGGCCACTTCATTACCTCCAAATTGGCAGCTGTTTGGTACTCTTCTATCATTTTTGTTCTATGACAAGGGGCGTTATCTTGCCGGAAAATAAAACTATCATTGTATGCTTGCTCCAGGCGACGTTTGAAGGAAACCAGCCTTTTTTCCAGGATGTTCTTATAACTCCATTGATTCTGGCTGCCATGCACGATTTCTAGGGGGCCAACTCCACCAGACCAAATACATCCCCAAATCATTACTGATCCTCCTCCGCCTTGAATCATTGGTCTTATACAGTCATATTTGTATTTTTCTGATGCCAGACGCCAGATTCGTACACTTTTGCACATAGGAAACAGCATAAATGATGACTCATCACTCCAAATTACGCGTTCCCAGCTCTGCTTGACTTTTTGGACATGGCGAGCAAATGCCATGCGGTTCTTTCGATGCTTATCAGTAAGCCAAGGCTTGTGTACAGCCATACATGACTTCATATTAAGTCTTTTAATAGCATCACGCAAGGTATCCTTGCAAACAGTCCGATGCAAGGTGATTGACATAGTCTGAATTAGGGTGTCCAGGTTGGCTGACCTGTCTTTCACTATTTCACGACGCAAAACATGCAGATCTCTTTCAGTAAATATCCTGGAAGGTCCCTTTCGCTTTGGTGTAACTGCAGTCCCTCTTTCATCATATTCTTTAACTAAATTGTAGACAGTTCGTTGTGATACTCCATGCGTCTCACAGATGACTGGTACTTTTTCTCCAGATTTAAAAAATCCAATAATTACGCCATTCTTTTCGCTTAAAATCTCTCTTTCAAGCATACGAGCTTCAGAAATGTTTTTGGAAGACATGGTTAAAATTAAATGAGAAATAAAGGGTGGGAAAGAGAAAACAAAACAAGGGATAGACATTTTTTTATTAAAAAAAAGTCGGGAATTCAAAGTGTGCACTTTCCCAACCTACAGCACTGTATATATATAATATTAAAGAAGAAGATATCTTACCAAAAAAATCTGTGAATATAATAAATGTTGGAAAGAGAGAGAAGAGAGAAAACTTGTAAGTGAAAAAAAAACAAAAAGAACAAAAGACCAAAGAGCCAAAAGGCCGAAAGATAGAAATCATATATTGGATTGAGTTGAAAAAAGCATGTTCAAAGCCGATTTGCACCACGTTAATTCCAGGAAGTATTACTGGTTTTATCCATTCAATTGGCGCCCATTTCCATCTAATTAGCATCCGTTTCCATCTAATTAGAACCCATTGACATCTGATTGGCTTCCATAGAAATTGAATTTGCATCCATTGCCAACTGAATTTGCTCCCATTGCCATCTGAATTTGCTCCCCCCCCTTTTACTATTGGCAGAAGGGTACATGGCACTCAAATTTTTTATCCTTACGTCTTACAATTTTTTTTGTATGGAGCCAGGAAGAAAAAGCTCAGGATTTTATTAAAGATCTCTGATTGAATAGGAAAAGAGAAAATTAAAATATTTGTTTGTAAGGTTTTGTAGATTATATGATGTTTTTGGCTTTTAAATTTTATGGTTGTTTTTGTTTTTGTTTTGTTTTGTTTTAAAAAAAATGGAGGAGTCATGGAGAGTCCAGCTCTAGTTCAGAGCAGAGACGAGAAATTGACTTGCGCACAGTGTGAAGCACCGCAGAGGGAAGGAAAGGGACAGAGTTAAAGTGGAAAGACCAGTGGTGATCCCAAATAGCCAGGATAGTTAGGCCAAAGACGGAGGAAGCAGGGATCGCAGGGTTAAGCGTGGGGGGAAGACGAAGGATTGGAAAGCATTTGAGAGGACAGAGGGCAGTGGGACGGTGCCGAAGAATTCCAACCAAATGTCTGTCCACACAGCAGATTTCAACGGGCAAGCAAGAAGAAAATGTTCTTGCGTCTCGATGGACACCTGGCAAATAGTGCAGAGAGGAGAAGAGACGGTGGATGACATGATGCGGTACAGAAGTGCTCGGCACGAAAGCTTATTGTGCAACCTGCAAAACCAGACATTCCAAGCCCGGTGAGGGAGGGCAAAAGACCAGAAGGAGCGAAGTTGTCGTGGGATGAGAGGAGGGTGGATGGGACGAGCATCAGACAGTTGATGGGAGCAGGCAGAACAGTAAGAGCGCGTGGTGAGCCGGGACCAGGTCTGACCGGGAAGTTGGGCTGACAGAAGTGGCTGGAGGTCAATGGACGACTTGTCGCGAATAGGAAGATCTGGCTGATGGAATGCCAGTACAAAAGAAGGAATGCATGCTTGAAAGAGAATAGGATGCAAGACCATTGTATGATCGCAAATTCTGTTGAGGATGCGGTTAAGTGTGACAGAACGGGGTAGAGGACGAGAGGGAGTGATGGGTGTGAGTATATCCAAATTGGACTCGATTTGGTATAGATGGTGGACTCGCAAATCACGCCAAGCAGGTCGATACGGAGGGTGAGAAGTCATACTGGATATCATAGAAGACAATGGCAGGATGAGACAACTGGAAAGGTTGAGCACCACTCTGTCAAAGTTTCAGGGAAGAGTATCCATAGCCTTCAGAACCAGGTGCAGTGGAGAATCAAGGGTGCGATGGTTGCGAGGATGACAGTCCGAAAAGAGTAAGGGAAGAAGAGGATCAACGGTAGGGACGTCAGAGCAAAGAAGAGTGGAGAACCATTGGGGAACAAGACCGTGAGGCAGTAGAGGATTACGGATAAGGGGCTTCAGCCAGCAAAGTTGGAGAGCACATTGCTGTATACCAGGATCCAAGATACCAAGGCCACCCTGTAGTCGGGGCAAGCAGAGAGTGTCAAAAGCAATGGGAGGAAAAGAGTTGACATGGAAGAACCCGCGCACAATGGAGCAAACTCAGTCAAGGAAGGCGGAAGGGAACAAAACCACATGAAGGACGTGCCATAGTTGAGAAAGTACAAGAGAGTTTATGATGGTTGCCCACCCACAAAAGGAAAGAGATCGTGATCCATGAATACTGCAAAAGGTCTCAATTTTTGACAGGAGGGTGGTCCCGTAGGAGTCTTGTTGAGTGATAGAGGAAAATAATGGAAAACCAAGATATTGGAGAGAGGTAGGTGACGTACGATCATGCCAATCAGTAACATCGTATGCACAAAGGAAAGTATTCCAGTCGGGGAGTGGCGATCCTGAAAGGGAGAAGGCTTGAGTCTTGTGCATGTTTATGCGAGCATTAGATGCAGCAGTGTATGTGTTGAGATGGTGGTGAAGTCAAGACATGTGATCTGTGTCCGGAAGAAACACCAGAAGGTCATTGGCATAAGCCAGCAGTTTGACAGGAGGTAAAGAGGGAAGAGTGGGAGGGACAGAAGGGAGGACACCAAGGAACAGAGGATCGTGTATCACGTGGCGAAGCAAAGGCTCAAAAGCTAGGTTGAAGAGAATTGGTGAGAGAGGATCCCCTTGTCAAAGGCCATGGGCTTGCGCAAGAGGGCGCAAGAGAAAGCCATTGACGTTAATCTGTAGCTGCGTAGAGAAAAATAGAGAAGAGACAGAATTAATGATGGAAGGAGGGAAGCGGAAATGAGCGAGCACTCGACGAAAATACTCTGGGTGTACTCGGTCATAAGCCTTTTCCTGGTCCAAGAGCAAGCCAATCCCTGAGGATCCATCCTTTGCGGCTTGTGCCATGACCAAACGAGTCAGCATTCCATTATCAGCTATAAATCTACCCTGAACAAAACCAGTTTGATACGGGGTGATAAGTGTGGTAACAGCAGAAATCATACGAGCATTCATGAGATGGGTAAACACTCTTGCATTGGTATTAATCAAGGCGATGGGACACCAGTTCTTCAGAGAACTGAGATCGCCTTTTTTTGGCAACAAGCAGACACAAGTGGACTGCCAAGAAGGAGGAAAGATTCCTTTTGACAAGGCATTGTTATATATCCAGGAAACAAGGTTGCCACACGCGGGATGGGCAAGAATGAGACAGAGAATCTCATATGGCAAACCATCTGGGCCCAGGCTACTAGAGCTGGGAGAGCGGGCAGCGCCTGACCGAATTGTGTTGAGAGCGAATGGCCAAGTCATATAGTCCTGTGCAAGTTCCGGCAAATGGATATCTGAAGGCAAATGAGAGAGCAGCTCATCCACAGCAGAGTGATCTATAGGATCAGGGGTGTACAAGCTTTCATAGAAGACTGCTGCGGCCTCAGTCATGGCGTTGGGTGTGGTGCAAATGTCGTTTGTAACAGGGTGACAGAGGCTTGCAATGGCTTTGTGGGATTGGCGAATGGTGATAGTGCGTTTGAGGTATCCTGCAGAAGTCTCACCCTTTTCCCGCCAGTGTTTCCCGGCCTTGAGAGCCATAATCTCGACCCGTTCAAGTTGGACTTGCTGCAACAATAGTTCCACAATTGGGAGTTGGAAGTTCTGGGCGGGTTGGTGGCAGAAACAGTGAATGAGTCAGTCCCGTCGTTTTTATAGGCGTGTTTCCAGGTCGTTCAGAGAGGGGTGAAGGTGGCGAGAGAAACATTTAACAAAACAAATGACTTTGAGCTTAATCGCATCCCATTGGGCTTGAGGAGAAAGATCAGTGCGAAGGGCAGGAACGAGGGTGAAGAGAAGAGTGTTGAGATCGGTATGGAACGAAAGTGATTGTGCTAGGTGAGGGTTAGCACACCAAAGTCCCTTACCAGAAGACTTTGTTGAAGGGAGGGACAGACTGACTGCAACCAGACAATGATCAGATCATTTCTGGTGAATATAGCTCACTTGTGGGTCTGTAGTGCAAGGGTGAAGGTCTGAGGACGCAAGGATGTAGTCAATGGTGGTGGAAGACAGGGCTCAGTGGAATGTAGACTGCGGGTGCTGGCCATGAGGAGTGATACAGTCAGTCATATTGGTATCTATAAACTGTAGCCTGTCAGCTGGAGCACAACATCCGAGAGCATAGTGTGAGTGAATTGCATAGTTAAAATCGCCTAATAGAATAAAGTTTGAAGGATTGGGAGGGATGAGGTCAGGAGTGGACAGTAAAGAGGCAAGAAAATGATAACGTGAAGTTTGGGAAGCAGGCGCATAGATGACGCCTATCCTGAAGGGCGAAAAATTATTATCCACATGTGTGATAGTTGTTGTGATACATCTGCCACATGGGCTAAATAGAGGGTCAGTGAAGATAATGTGAGGGGAAAGGCATACAACACCGCAGTGTGGAGACCATAATGATGAAGAGGACCGAAATTGTTGGTCAAAGGTAGATTGAAGCATAGATGATGAGGCATGGGTTTCTTGCAGGGCTAAAATATCGATTCCCTGCGAGCGTAAATGGCGTATGAAAAAGGAGCGTGATTCAGGGTGTCCAACTTTGGGTAGACCCCTACAGTTCATAGTGCCTATTTTAATCATTGGTTAATGTTGGCCTCTGCACCGAGGGCTTTTGTGGTTTGTGGGTGAGTAAAGCGAGGAGGAGAGAGAGATGTATTGTGGCCTGTTGGACGTGCCGGCCGGGAAAAATGGAGATGAGCGTGGCAAGAGGCAGACTGGAGTCAGAGAGCCCGAGCCTCATCTCTATCCATGAGATTAGTTATCATTCTGTCATCTATCTCTTTGTCCCAGCCACGCGTGGGGGTGTCGACAGAACGGCTTTGAGGACGAGGGCCGGAGGACGTGGGCGTCTCAGTTGGTGTTAGTAGAGTAAAGGTGGTCTTTGTGGGAGACAGCTTAGACAACTCACGTAAAGCAGGTTGACGAGGGTTGTGCTTGGAGGCCTCCGATCCTCCGTAGATGAGTGAGAGCTCAGTGGGAATCAAAGGCTTGGGTGCAATGATGGGGCGATCGAGCTTCGAATTGCGGTTGGGGTGGCGGAAGCACTTGTTGGACGTCTTGGATGTCTTGGAAGGATCGGTAATGTATGGACAATTGGCTTGTAAGTGACCGGTCTTGTTGTATCCAAAACGCATTCGAGTTTTGGCTGGGCGTTTGGTGCATTTTGCGACGTCGTGTCCCATTTCCTTACAGTAGGTGCAGTGGGAGCCCATGGAAGGCCACTTACCAAGAATCTTTTGCGTATCGTTGTATGCAATTTGGTACGTCAGAGAATCTGATGGCACATCGTTGGTAGGTGTATTGGCGAGGACAACATAGCCAGAACCGTCAAAAAACCCATATGATTCATGAATGGCGATCTCCCGCACTTTGCCAAAAGGAGACATACATTTGGCGAGTTGTGTAGCCAGGTCATGATAAGGAACACGAGGAAGCTTGGTTAGGAAAACACGGCGAACAATTGTGCCAATGGGAACAGCAGGTTGAGCGGGGAAAGACGAATCGCCGACTACCAAAGGTTGAGAGCATGCTCACTCGCAGTCAGCACTGGTAGGTAGATGGAGTTCACATGTATCAGGGGAAGAGCGTGAGCCAAGAGTGATGCCCATGTTAACCTCGCAAGGATAGGCTGAGAGAAGAGCTCTCCAGAAAGGGTCAAACTTGGGTGAGGATTTGGGTGGGATGGTAAAAAAAACTGAAAACTTAGAGGACCCTACACGCCAGGTACATGGGGTGGTGTTATTTGTAGAGCTGAAGATAACATGAGGTTGCTTTTTGAGAAGTGGAAGTGCGTTCTGAGTAGCTACTTGCGAGTAAAGAGGTGTCGAAGAGGGTGAGATTGGTGTGAACGAGGTTGGCAATGGTGGAGATGAGCCAGTGGTGGAGGGGTTTTTGACCCCTGGTGGTTCCAGAGTGTTAGTGGAAAGAGCCATGACAATTTTTTTATATAACCGTAGTATTTTTTTTTGTAAACGTCGTACTTTTTTTTGTAAACGTCGTACTTTTTTTTTGTAAACGTCGTATTTTTTTGGCATAAAACATGGATATTTTTATTAGGCATAATTAGTTGATAGAGAAATAGAACACATAATAAGAAGTAAGATATAATGAAATACAAAGTAATAAAAAAAGAAAAGCATAAAGCAGTAAAACAAATAAAAAAAAGAGGGACATAAAGTGGTAAAAAAAATAAGAAAAAGAGGGACATAGAGTAGTAAAAAAAAATAAGAAAAAGAGGGACATAAAGTAGTAAAAAATAAAAATAAAATAAAAAAAGACATAGAGTGTAAAGAGCTTAAATAGACATAAAAGACATACTTAAAGCTTTCGCTCTCTGTTCAAACAGCGAGGAAAGAATGAAATGGCATAGTTAATCCAACCCAAACAGTCCAAAAGGGTGACAGTCTTAGCTGATTCTGTAATCCTTAAGATGAGCCCGTCTGACTCTGTAATCTCTTCTATGCGGACACCAAACTTGATCTTGGACCACATTTCCTCAATTGGATTCAGGAAAGGTGAATACACAGGAAGATATGCACACTTGTACCCACGGGAAGAAATAAAGTCTTTCACCTCATCGGCCTTATGGATAGGAGTGTTATCCATGATGAGATAACGTCCTTGCATACCCTGGCTGTCCAGAACGTCCATTGTATGACTAAGAAAGTCGAGGTAGTGCTGGGTTCTGGTGCCAATTCGGCCATTCACCTCAACGTTGGTGTAGATGTCCAACTTTCTCTTCTTCTTGGTTGCGACTGCAGTGGGTTTCTTCAATGAGAGGCTGACAATCCCTCTCTCGCACATTGCACCAAGGATGGTGATGGACACACCTCTCTGCGTCAGGACAGTTGTCTTAGCCGGGGTGCCACTGACGGAACGGCCGAAAGTTCTCTTGATGTGCATGTTGAAGCCTGCTTCATCGATGAACACACAGTTTGAAAGATAGCTGAAATCTGCAAGTTGTTGCCACTCCAAAATGCGGTCTCATCTCATCTCAATTGTGCTGACGTCGTCTCTCTTCTCAGGCAGCTTCTCCAACTTCTTCATCGTCAGGGCACACTTCTTCACCAAGTGCTTCTGGATTGCTGATTTGGTAATCTGCAGCCCAGAGAACTCTTCCATGACAGCTATCCTTGCTTGTTCCAAGGTAGCATCTGGTTTATTTTCGAAAAACTTCAAAAAAAAGCAGAGTGCGCCTGGAACAACTTTTGGTTGCCATGTTTTCATTCTTTAGGCACAGAAACCTCCTCAACCTCCATCGTCTCCAGCCCATTGGACTCATCAGTCTCCACTGTGGCAGCATCAAAATCGGCCTGGATCTTCTCTCTGGCCAGCCTGACATAGTTCTGGGCAGTCCAGACATTGATCTCCGTTTCCCTGGCAGTGGCAGCAGCAGTCTGGTTTTCCGAGAAAACCAAGGAGAAGAGCTTGTTCACCTGGTTTTGGTTGTACTTTTGGTACGAACCTCGACCTATGCTTTCTGCAGTGGGAACAGAATCAGGGTCGACCTTCTCTGGCAGATTCGTCTTCGGCTTCTGTGCAACAATGGTTTTGGTGGTGGCCTCGTTGACTTCAGTTGGCAAAAAACTTTTGAGACTGAGGAGGTTTGTGACTGCTGGGTTTCCGGCAGAGGTACGGGTCCATTCCATATCGGCATGGTTGACAAAGACATCTGTCACAGATTGGAGTGCAACTTCTCCATGCATTTCGTCAACAATCTCTCGGTTGAAAGCAATTCCAGAAAACTGGGTTTGGTCTGCAGAACCGCTGTGACTGACCATTTCACAGTGCTTGTTCATAACAAATTCGAGGGAGTTGTTGGAAGTAGGCATTTTTTTTTGAAAATAAAAAGGGTGTTAAAATCGAGGAAGAAAGATAACTGAGAAACTTTTATTAAGACACTGGGGTATATATACCAAAAAAAAAATTTTAATAACTTAAACGTTTCTACCAAGGTATAGTCTTGTCCTGTTGTCTTAATATATTTGGATAAAGAATGTGTTGAAGAATAATGAATGTTTACATATTAAGCTTCTTCACACTTTTAAGAACATTTATTTTATTAGCCGATTTACAGTGCTACCAGAGCCTTTATGGTGTCCTGTCCTCTGTCTCAAAGGAAGGGGTGGGATTTCTCCTCATGGGTTTGCCCAACCAAAAAAAAAAAAAATAAAAAAAAAAGTTTTTTTTTGTATAGAGCCAAGGAAAAGCTCGAAATTCAGTTATTGAGATTTTCAGTTTTTCAGAAATTTCTGCGGTTAGATACCATTTTATTTTCAGTTATTAAGATTTTCAGTTTTTCAGTTATTGAGACTTTCAGTTTTTCAGTTTTTCAGTTTTTCAGAAATTTCTTGCAGTAAGATATCATTTTATTTTCAGTTATTTGAGACTTTCAGTTTTTCAGAAATTATTTGCGAAAAAATGGTTATGTATGTTATAAAAATTTATGAATAAAAATGCTAGTTATACTATTTGGAGAATTATTTTTAAAATTGCTATTACATTTTTCTTTTTTTTATTTCTTGTGGTGATCCAGACACTCGGATGTTGGATTTATCACATATAAGAACATATTCATATTGGGATAGCGTAGTAGCTATCATCTTGTCAGTATAAAATATATATAAACGATTAAGTAATCAGCCCAATAATTATTACAGTTAGTACTGTAGATAATATCTTAAAGATTGTTAAGATAATTATATCATACTGCCGGGTAAACTGTGTCAGATCGATATGGAGCTAATTTAGTAGGAAGTCCTAAAGCTCTAGTATAAAAGAGAAAAGAATAGCTAAGAGCTAAAGAAGTACGATTTATGACTTGATGTCATAATTGTAACACCGACACTAGTTAAGCAGTAAATACACTCTAATAACCAAATATAGTAAAGGAAGAAAGCCTTAAGAAACTAAGACGTAATGACAAGAGCAGATTGTGTTTTCTTATAAAAAGAGACACTTTTTATTTATGAATAAAGACAACTAATATACAGTCTCAAAGTATTTCTATACGTCTCTATTATCAAATATTTTATTTTTCTATTGTTTCGTACCTGAAATACCACATTTCTCTTTTTTTTCTTTTTTTTTATTTCTTTTTTTTTATTTCTTTTTTTTTATTTCTTTTTTTTTTTTTTATTTCTTTTTTTTTTATTTTTTTCATCTCTTTTTTTTCATCTCTTTTTTTATTTCTTTTTTTTTGTCATGAGCTTGTGCTATTTTTTGTTACTGTTTTTGTGTGTGTAATATTTGGTTTTTTTTTGGTATTTTGTATCATGAGGGTTTCCAAAATTGAGATTGGGTAGTATTGTAGGCAAAGCATAATTCTTGGACCGCTTTCAGTTATTTAACAGATTGTTGGACATTTACTTGTTTCGAGTGCAGATTACAAAGAGTTGTTGAGTTTGATATTAAGAAGATCAGGATTCTGACATTGTAAAATGGTTGGAGCAGGTGCTGAATAAATATAGCATTTTTGGATTCTTTTTTGTAATGGTATTAGATGCTTGTGTAGGACCAAGTTCATAAGAAATACAATTGCTGTGGTAGTCAATCAGATTACTGGATATTTGAGATAAAAATTGGCAAGTTTTTGTGTGGTCAGTAGAGTGAATTCTACTGTTGGATTTTGAAAAAGTATGGTCGGTGAAATGCACTTAAAAGCATTATGAATATGTGTAGACTGGTTCCTATCGTACAGGTAGTTGTTTGATCTTGTAGTTTCTTTGTATGTGGAGGGTTGAATCGTCACGTTTTCTTTTCAGATTTATAGCTTTTGTTCAAAATATTATAGATTATTTAGAGATTAATATCAATGACTCCGAGGTATAGGCTTTATTTACATACAGAAACATAATGTGATCTGGAAATAATAAAAAAATCCATGAAGTGTAGAGCTTTAAGCAGTGTTTTTATTGTCAGAGTAATATTTAGTTGTTGAAGTGAGCATGAGAATGAGATTTATTGCTGATTTAAGAAGAGAAATAAAGAGTTTTGGTATATAAACACCAAATGGAAAGAGAGAGAATTATGATATCTCTTTTAAAAAAGAATGTTTATAATAAATTTATGGCTGCGGGTAATATATTGTCCTATTTATTTTTTATCTCCTTAAGTTCAATTTGTACTACTTTATTTAGTGGACCATGGAATATTATTTTTTGATATAAAAAGCTGAAACTATAATGACTAATACTATTTAACAACAACTTAATCTTCTTTACATCTATTCTTGCTGCTTCAACTTGTGTTCTGATTTTTATCTTGCATCTTAAGTAATTACTATTTAATTATAACTGCTATGTGCTAGATATAACTATATTTATATAAAATATGTCACTTTAACATATCTTCCTATTTCTTTATTTTTTTATCTTTTATTATCAGAAAACCCTACAATGTTACACAAAAAACTTGAAGAATATAACAGTGCCTTTAAAAAAATCATGGAAGAGCTTGAAGAGCCTGAAATGCCAGAAGATCCAAAAAGTTCTGCCCCGTCAACAACAGACGAAACCCCCAAAAAAAGTAGAGGGCAATATCAAAAGCCTACGGATAAAGATATAAAAAAGCTTCTTTATCTCTACTTCATAAGGGGATTAATTATCGAAAAAGCCAGCAAGATAGTAAATATGAAACAAACAACTGCTGGTGGCTATATTTTGAAGTGGAGAAAGTCTCCAGTTGTTTTTTTCATTAAAAACAACAAGGAGGCTACAAGTGACAAAAAAATGAATCTTTTATTCAAAACTTACTCTGCAATAAAGAAAGAATACAAATAATATCATTGCATTTTCAATTTTAGCATAATTATTATAATGAGATACTTGCTTTATTATCTTATAACTGCAGTAAGGTATTTAACTTTAACAAAGTAATCTGGAGAAAAGTTTGCATATTCTGTTAGTTCTCTCTATAGATATTTTCTATGACGTATCTTTGTAGAAAGATCTACATATATTGAAGTGCTATTACATTAGGCGTTTGGCACTTATATAAAAAATATGGCAGTTATATAAAAAAAATACAACGTTTACAAAAAAAAATACTACGGTTATATAAAAAAAATTCGACGTTTACAAAAAAAAATACGACGTTTACAAAAAAAAAGTACAACGTTTACAAAAAAAAGTACAACGTTTACAAAAAAAATACTACAGTTATATAAAAAAAATTGTAAGGCGTAAGGATAAAAAATTTGAGTGCCATGTACCCTTCCGCCAATAGTAAAAGGGGGGGAGCAAATTCAGATGGCAATGGGAGCAAATTCAATTTCTATGGAAGCCAATCAGATGTCAATGGGTTCTAATTAGATGGAAACGGATGCTAATTAGATGGAAATGGGCGCCAATTGAATGGATAAAACCAGTAATAGAGATATGCGTATTAAAGAAATTCTGAGTATTTACAGCAACAAGTGTAATATACTAAATAGGTTCTTGCTTTTACTTTTACCATCTTTCCATTAACTACACTTTATTCTTTTGCTTAACACCTAACTTCTTTTATATGTTAATAACTCTCTATATATACAATGAATAGATATATAAAACAAATATAATTAACAATCAACTCATGTATAACATTTTATTAGATAGCTTTCAGACCATGGTTAACAATTGTCAATCAATTGCCCCAGCTCCATCCCCGGAATATACTGAGCTTTTAAGAAGGCTCACCGCTATGGAGGAAAGCCTCAGGACCATGGATTCAAACATTGGCATTGTCATCAAGAGGAACAAAGATTCATTGGAAATACTTGATAGCGTTGCCAATGCCTCTGAAGAACTTCTTGCAGTTATTGCTCCTACTACTACAGACTTCTGACAGAATATTTGGTCATTTTTAACCCCCACCAAGACTCTTCAACTTATATTGTAGCTTTAAATTTATGATAAAAGATAGTAAAGTTCTATAAATCTCTGGTACTCTCACAGATAACTGTATAAGATGTAATAGATAAATTGAAAAAAAATTGAAAAAGCTTTAATAAGAGATTGGTCTAAATTTATGCATCTTAAGTTCAGATAGACGATTTTGCATATTAAGGCAAAACGTCATACAAGTCTCTACGCTAATTGCTTTCCACGTTTCTTGCAAAGCATTTTCCAATTGTTGCAATGTGGTAGGCTGAGGTCGTCTTGCGCAGATTTTGTTATCAAGAAGACCCCAGATATTTTCAATTGGACTCAAGTCCGGACTGTTAGGAGGCCACTCCAAAATCTTCAATCCAAGGTCTTTCTTGAACTTTTCTGCCAAGGTAGTCTTATGATAACTCGCGTTATCTTCTTGATAAAAGTAGTCTCTCTTTTCTACATTAGGAATACTTTGGTAGAAGGGCATGAATTCCTTCTCCAGAACTTTATTGTACAATGGGGCATTCATGTTACCCTTAAGCATAACCAGTGGTCCAACTCCTCCAGACCAAATACATTCCCAAAGCAATACAGAACCTCCATTTTCTAGAACCTTTTGAGTCAAGCAGTCTGGATGATATTTCTCTCCTTGTTCCTACCATACATGACTACGACCATTTTTCTTGAAAAGGGTAAAGGTTGCTTTATCTGTCCAAATGACAGTATCTCACTGTTTTTTCCAACCTTTTATTTTTCTATACCAAGCACGACGTTTGGCAATGTGCTCCTTAGTTAGAAGAGGCTTTGATTTGGTTACACAGTAGGCTAGATTCATCTTGTGCAACGTTCGGCTGATAGTTTTTGTACTGACTTTTTTTCAGTCTTTTCCTTAATCAAGTCTGCCATCTCAACCAAGTTTTGATGGCGATCCCGTTTGACATCCAAGAAGAGATGTTTTTTATCTCTAGCAGTTAATTTAGAAGGTCTTCCTGTTGGCTTCTTATTAGTAGCAGATCCGGTTTCATTGTATTTTTTTATGATACGCGTGACAGTAGTTCTTGGTATTCCCTTTTTCCTTGCAATGTCAGAAATCTTCATGTCATCTTCATGAAGTCCAATTAAGATTCCTTTTTCAATTTCTGAAAGCCTTTCAAATGACTTGTGAGGTTTACTGCTTTGTTGTCTAGGCATTATATTAAAAAGATTTTATTGAATTTAGCAGATTGAGTAAAGTGAAGTGTAAGGGTGTATTATGAAATAAATAGTGGAAATATAAAACGACCAAATTTTCTGTTCCGCAACTATACAGTTTGGGTAAATTAGAATAATTAGGAAGAAGGGCAGAGATAATTGGATATAGGTACTGGGATAGTTATAGGAAAAAGGATAGAAACTGAAATTAAGGAATACACACACTGAAGTTTTTTTAATATCAATGATGAAAAAGAAAAAAAAAGTGTCAATAAGGGTTTTCTTTTTCGGAAACCCAGACAAGTTTCGAGGGGGGTCTTCCTCAAATAGTAGAATTGGGGGGGGGGGGGGGGGGAGGGTGCAAACATTGGAAATTATTTTTTGGGCTCAAAAAAGATGTATTTTATTTTGTTTCAAAAAAAGAAGTAATTCTACTAAGTATTTCATAAGCTACAAGCCGTTTCTTAATGAAAGCAGCTTTTACAGATATGAGAAAGCTAATAAATAAGAAAGCATATTAATATAGCAATTTACAGAATGTTTATTTAAGCAGAAAATACCTTTTTATACTGCGTGTATATTTAATAGCTATCATTAAAAACTTACCTAAGAGAAATAAACAAATAATTAGAATATGAAGCATAGACGGTATACTGTTTTAATATATATATTTAGTCCATACCTAATGTTTCTATGGCAAAAAAGCCGATTATGTATCTGGATAAATATCATTGCTCTACTGATAAGATTTGGTTCCATAATCTCATCTTTGCATCGCCTTTGAAGTCTAGCAAGATTATGATTTAGTAAGAATTCAAAGAGATGTGTAATAGAAACAGTACTCACTTTAATAAACTTCCATGATGTAATATTCTCTGGCTAGATTACACTGTAGTTTACCTTTCAACGATAACATGAAAATAATGAAAAAAAAGAGACAAGTAAACAATTAGAAAATTAGCGTAAAGTCTATTATGTCCCTTTGTTTTTTATCAGTCTCGGGATCTTATGAGTGATGGCACTATGTCAAGAATCAGTGTATATGAGTACTTTTTTGCTATATTCTTAGCAGAATTACTATTAAATAAAGTCTAAATGATTAGGGAGTTTCATTAACTGTTTTAGATTTTATTTTATTTTTTCTGGGATTTAATAATCAGCCAATAACAAGCGATTTAAAAAACAGTTAATGAACCCCCCTTTTTATTTTATTTTTTTATGAATTTGCAAAACTGGAGTAAAAAAAAATCTTGTATAATATAGATGAGATCTTTCTAGATCAAGTTCAAAGTCAAACAAGATACAAGATTTATACACTTGTATATTTATTTAGTTTACAGAGATACTATTGTAGAGCACTACTTTTTTTCCTGTTAATACCAAAACAAAATGAGCTCCCAAAACAGTATGTATAATTTTATAGCAAGTGCTTAAGCAGGAAATCATAACATAAATAAATAAACCAATTTTTAGACAATACCAACCGCAGAGACAGCAAGCTTTGGAACAAAGATGGTGTAAATGGAGGTCTATCTTCCATTATCATCCTTGTTCTCTGGCTTTCTGAGGAAGCCAACTACAGGCGTTGGAAAGGAAGCAATGCTGGTGGGACCATGAAGGAGGCGCTGTGCTCAGAAATCAAGGAGAGATTTGCTGAGCACGGCATCCACCATTGCAAGAATGAGGACATTTGATCGAAGATCCAGAGTCTTCACGAAAAGTACCATGAGGCTTATCAGTTCTTGCACGCAACAGGGCAGGGTATCAAAGACAGTCTTGAGGAAAACGAGATGCCAGAGGAGGAGGTTGCCTCAACCATGAGAGGTATATGACTAAATATAATATACCGTTGTATTACTTAATTACTCATAACTATTGTTGATACCTTTATATAGAGACAATGATAAGAAAGTTTCAGTACTTTTACGACCTGGAGCCTGTGATGAGTGACAGACCATCTGTCATCCCTCCCTTTCCCATCTCCTCCAATGAGGAAGCTGATGTCAAGAGTGCCTTCTCTCTTGACACATTTGACACGTTTGACGATGAGGAAGTCCTCATGAATGGCAGACAGGAGATTAGCAAGTCGAGCAGCTTTGCTCAAAGGAGACTGTTTTCCGCAATCTCTCATGCTGCATCAAACCGCCCTGGGAAGAAGGTCTGCAAGACCATCGATGCTGGCATTGTGGACATAGTCCGCATGGCGGAAGAAATGCAAAGGGAGAAGGTTCAGCAGTTCTGGCAGAACCTTGCTGCTGAAGAGGTCTTCCAGAAGACGCAGCTGGTGCTTGACGAGAGAAGGGTGGCCGTGGAGGAGATGAGAGCTCTCACTGAGAGAATCAGGGCAGACAGTGAGAGTGCCCAGCATTAGGCAGCCCTTGTCCAGGCATTGTCTGCTGCTGGGTTCTCAAAACAAGAGATTGCCGAGCAGTTGAAGCAAAACCTGAAATAAAATGTGTTTAAAAAAAGTATATTTTAAAAGTTTAAGAGTGTATTTGAAAGTGTTTATTGAATAATTATTTGCTTTATTCTTTCTCTTTTGTTTTTGTCTAACTGTGATGATGTTCTTGGCTCCAATCTTTCATCATTCCTAGGTGTATCAGTGTTTCTGACACTGTCTTCTACAAAGGTGTCATCACCACAGTCCAACAACAAGTTGTGTAAAACATAACAGCATCTTATCCAGTATCCAATTTTCTCAATGTCGTATTTGTTATAGACACTTGTATGGAGACCTTTCAGCGATTCAAATCTTGACTTGAAAATACCAATGCAATGCTCGATTTAGACACGTAAGTTGGCATGCAGTTGGTTGAAAAGTACATTGTTGGCTAAGAGTGTACCATTGGGGGGGGGGGGGGGGGGGGGGGGCTTCTTGTACCCAGGAACTACTTCCATCGATGGTATATAGGCCGAATCTCCTAGCAAGTACTGGTCATTAGAGAAGTGAGCTTCTGGAGACAAAGCAAGTTGACTGCTGACATAGACCCTGGCATTGTGAGAACACCCTGGCCATCCAGTAAAGCAATGATGGACTCTTTTTTTGTCATCACAAACAGTCATTGCTGAAAGACAGTAAATCGATTTACGGTTATAAAAATCCTTGCCATCCCAGTTCGGCTTGTATTCCAGACGAATCAAGGTACCATCAACAAATCCAATGCATGAAGGGAAGTCTGTTTGCTCTTCAATTCGCTGGCTAATAAGCACACGTTCATTTTCATCTGGCCAAAACACAGTGCGACTTCAATTGAGATAATAGCAGCAATGAATCTGCGAGTGTATTTAACTACTGATCCTTCTAAAAAACATTGTTGTTTTATTATTTGGTATATAGAAACTCAAAAACGTACAAATAGATCATACATACCACTGACGCCAAAAGATCTTGCAACATAACCTACAGAAGCACCAGTGCCATATTTTCCTAGTCTTCCCAGGGTCATCATCATCTAGATTATTGGATGTTTCTGTGTTCGTCCATTGGTGTTTTTGAATACTCAATGATCTTGGATCTTTCCTAAGATAACAAAGGAAGAGTCTCTGTTCATTCTAAGTTCTTGTCTAAACCTGTTATTATCCAATTCAAATAAGAGCTAATCTACTTGGCTAGGTGCTCTGGGAATATCCAATCGTGGGCTAAGATATCTCTGTTCTGACACCAGCTGGAAAATGAAAAGTTCTGAGATGTTTTCAACAATATTCTGCATTAAAAGATCATCGCAGACAACATGTTGAACCAGATTAGTGTAAATTCTCTTTTTAAGAGAAGTCAAGATCGATTTTCTGTCACTTATTCTAGGCATATTGGAAAATAATATGTATTTTAAAGAGAAAGAAACGAGAAAGATGGGCAAAACAGTTTTTTTTTATAATTTATTATATTTTTATGCGAAATTTGCTATGTCAAAAATAAAATAAAAGCTTAAAATTATCAACACAAGATTTGAGATTTTATTTTCTTAGATTTTATTTTTTGAGAGATTTTTACCAGCCAATCATTGGCTTTTTTCAAGCCCAGAAAAAATAAAATAAAATCTAAAACAGTTAATGAAACCCTCTATTATAGAAGAGTATAATAATATTAATGGTACATCAGAAATAATATAACAGCAACAAAATAAATGTAAACTTTTGTCATTATTGCTGACAATTACTGTGACATTGCGAACTTATATAATATAGTTGTCATTAAAACCTACTATAGTAATGTTGACATTAGCTAGGTTATTGTTATTTACTTCTATCACTCAAAAAATAATAGAAAAATATTTCTTAATGCTGTATATTATGGCATGCAGTTGAGGATGTTCATTGACATGGCAAAAAAACATAAATAATGAAAATGACTTAAAGATAAATTATGTTTTCCAATAAATTTTGTCTATTTAAATCTTCTGTTTTCCAACTCTATGTCATTCTCTCCCTATTTTATACATTTATATCATCTGAATTTTATTTATGGTACACGAAAATATTATTTCATCCTTTTTTTGGCACTAATCTCATTATTTTGCTCCCCCAAATCTGTAGTTTTTCATGTTTAATCTCAATTTATACTCTAAGCCAATAGAAATTTTGATTTCAATAAGAAATTCCCATATTTAGAAGAAATCTCAGTGGGTGTGAAAGAAGAATTGTCAGAACTGGATTGTAATTGACACTCATTCCCAGTATTATCAAATCATAAGACATTGCCTTATTAAGAATGTTAATAAGCAATGACTAGTAGACTAAGTAATAACAAAGAAGTAGTTGGTAACAAATCACTTAGTAATACCTACTTAGCAAATATTGTCTCTTAGTCATTCATCAATTATATCATATATTCCAAAACATATAAATATTTTAAATATTCCAACAAATAAACATTATCTTCATCTTCATATTCATTCTATTCATATTCTCTTATTTTGTGACTTTTGGCACATTACAGAATTGTTGTGTGCCAGACATGGCACAGCGGAGGTACAAATAGTAAGAGAAGAGAATTCAATAGTAAGAAAAAGATAGTCTTTATTGATTGATATTTTGAATGATATTTATACTATTTGTTAATTGCTAATTGCTATATAAGTGTTGAATAATGTTACTATTGAGGATAATTCCAATGATCGATATTTGGGGATTATATAAGTGGTGTGAGAATATGATATGTTAAGATAGTTATAATAATAGATATATTTAGCTACGTAGATGTTGTGACTGTTAGAGCATCTGCTCCTAACAGAATTAGATCACATAATCTCGAAATAGGGAAAATAATAGTCCCCATTTCAGTTGTTTCTTTTGGAATCTTAATGTTTTTTGTTACATTTTTTTCTCTTTATCAAAACATATTATTATAGAATATAATTGTAATTTTTTATTATTTTTGTGTATTAAGATTTATAAAACGGGAAGAGTTTGCATTTCTAAAGGTGTCTATACAATTCATTGCTTCTCCAAGTAAATTACTAATCACTTGTAATTTGGCTTCATCAATTTCCTGGAACATTCATCAACTGCTGTAAGTCTTCTCTTTGATAATGAAGTTTTGTATTCTGGGCCATAATTCTTGGCAACCAAACAAAATTGTTTCTACCACTTATAACAACTGTGTTTGTTTCATTTTCAACTTCCTCATTAACAACTGCCACTTCATACTCAGATACAATCAATCTTTGCAGTTGAAGGTGGTTGTTTTCTCTTTGAACTGTATACGCAAAGTCTAGACCAATAAATCTCATTAGAAGATATGCGTGTTTACAGGGAATTTGACATGAAGCAAAATTGGGACAAATGCAATTTTGTATCAAATTGTTGGATACATTAATCTGATACTATTGTGCTTCATCTGTAAATGACTTTACTGTCCACTTGCTGTTAGAGTTCTCCATGCTATTGCCAATCTCATTAAGAGGATTAATGATCATGAAAGGGAGCATGTCATCTTGTATGGTATTAGCAGAAAAAGAGTGTCGAGCAAGTTCATTTTCAATCAGACCCATTCATCCATTTTGTATGTGGATTCGTTCCACTTCTTTGTCGTAAAAGAACTCCATATCTTTTGTCAAAATAAAGACAAGACAGTCCAATCGTCTTATGCAAGTATGGCCAAAGTATATTGTTTTCAATTGGTTGTGCCACGATTCGATATAATTGTTTATCAAATATCTTTTGTAGTCATTTGCAACATATGGCCTTCCCCATCTTCTCAACAATTCTTCTATTCTAATCTATTTACGTTTGAAATAAGCCAGGAATTGTTGCTGACTTTGTATACAAAGCCTAAACTTCTGGATTTTTCTCAAAACTTCATCCTCATCTGATTCAATAAGTATATTTTTGAGATTGACATTGAGCTCATACTTGTATTTGCCAAGTTGTTCTGATGTGTATGAAGCATTAAGCTTTACTTTACTGTCTAAATTATGCTGTCAGGCATGCAAAACATGAAACTGGCAGAAATGGATGATGGTCTGTGTCAATGCTGCTGTAATTGCATTAACTTCAGCAATACTACAATCAATAGTAATATATAAGGGAGTGAAACAGTTTTCTCACGAAGATGTACAAGTCATTGATTAATGGGGCCAACACAAAGATCGTTTTTAATCATATATGTAACAGGAGATCTTTTTCCAGTATCAGGATGATGAGTAACAAGCTAGTATAATATTTCAATGTTGTGTTCAGAGATGTTATTTGTTGCGTCAAGACAAAATGACTGGGAAATTCTCATAAGCATCATTTGAGATGGTGATTGAGATCCAAATGCAAAATGCTGTGCATTATTGCTGTATGCAGAAAAATCGCTTGTAAAGATACAGTAATTCTGTGATAATAACTTCTCATGTATCTAAATATCCAGAGACTTATTTTCATTATGGTGAAACTTATACAGTAAATTCTTTATCTATATTTTTTATTTAACACTTTTAAATAACTTCTCTCTTATAGTATTATTCACACACCTTTCTCATTCTGTTATAGATGTCTTCATAATTGGTGTTGTATTTGGGATACTTTAATATCCGATATCATGTATGAACCCAGACAGAAGTATCTGTCAAAGAGGTCATTATAAATGATTATCTAATATGAAGTCCTATCTGAAACATAAGAGCAATATGTCTGATCCATCATTGGATCATCTTCAAGAAGCACTTAAACTATTATCGCAAAGCTGTTACGATGACTCATATTCCAAGTGACTAGATATATCTCAATAAATATAAATATCATAGATAAAATAACTTTTATTAAGATAATTGAATTTGACTGAACATCTCTTATCAATAAAAAAGAGTCTCAGAGTACTTGTCATCCCAATCTCTCCTATTTTCCATATATAAATATAACAATTGGGCTTTCTAATGTCTACGCCCCACTCTTCAATTTGTTTCAAAGCTGAAATTCTAGTATTTCTACAGATACTGCCCCCTTTTAACTGATCTTCAATAATTTTGATGGCCTCAGAAGATATAGGCAATGTTTAAGTTTCAGAAGCATTGCCAAAAACATGGTTGATATAATTGTTAATTATACAAATGAAAACTACTGTAGGGTTGTTGACGTATTGCTTGATAAAAATAGTAGCTTCGCAATAACAAAGCTTAGTGCCTTTCTGAGCAAGACAAACATTTCTGTCTGATATATAAAATCCTGCTCAGTGACATTTTTTTATCTCTCCATACATCAATTCTCTGGTACGAAGTTTTTTACATTTATTCTACTTTATTGAACAAAGTGATTGCATGCGGTCAAGGCATTGCTCCCATTCACTGGATTTTACTTTTACTACAACATCCAAAGAAAGCAGTTTTATTCCTTCCATAGATGAGTTGACTAAAGTATTCTGCACATTTGAAAGGTTGAATATAGTGTTAGAGATTGGTGAGCTCGTATTATGATAGTATATGTAATTAAAATAAAGATGAGAGAAGAAAAAAAACATAGCAAAAAAAATGTTTTAACAAAAGCCTCCTTGCAAAATCTCTATTTGAAAAAGCCACATTCTTATAATTTAAAGCCCCTTGCAACATAAAAAAGAGTACTGTTAATTCCCTAATCAGAAAAGAAAGTCACAACTTAAAAGATTTTTTGATTTTGATTTTTTTATAAAGACAATTTTAAAAAAAATAACAATTAAAAATAAAATAAAAAAAGATAGTAGTTGATAATATATAATTGATAATTGATAATAAAAAAAATTATGTTTGTCAAGGTGGATGGGATTGAGAGGGAGAGCCATGTTTTTTCAGCTTGTTGTATGCAAATTTCAACGTATCTAAGAACTGGCTCATGTCTTCTGGGATTTCCTTGTACTCGGCTATCTTGCTGTCATGTTCAACAGAGTATAATTAACAATACTTCATAATATCAGCTTCTATCTCATCAGAAAGAAGGGAAGTGTCAACTACTGCTTTAGTATCAGTATTAGATACATGGACAGCAGAGGAGGAGGAGGAAAGATTTTGGCGCAAAGAGTAGGGAATATCTAGCATACAATTGATGAGAAAGATATGCTTGCAAAGCTTGGAAGTATCAGGGCAAGTGCAGTTTTGCAGAAAATCATTCTGCAGCTCAATGTTGTATATAATAAGATCAATTGTGAATGATCTGCAAGTGAATGCAGTATCACTCAATTTCTCAACCATTTCCATAGCAGTATCACTATCTAACATGCATACATTTCGCCTTTTTTGCTCTTCTTGGTGTGTAAGACGTACTGATTAGAATCCATATAACATCTTACCGCTCTCTTGTCTGTAGTCAAGAGTCAAGACTTTGGCCAGAAGATAAATAAGTCTATCTACTCGAAGAGATATTAGACGTCCAAAATAGAAAGTCTTCAGCTGATTGTGATAAGATTCTATCAAATTATTGGTGTGAAAAGTTGCAGCCTATTGCTTATATTACATATTAGAAACGGGCTAATAATCAATAAAGTTTCATACCAATCTCCATGCTTTGCATCATAATTCTTTTTTTGGCAACAACATTCTGTTAAAATACAAAATAAAGTTCTCGTATTCCCCAAATTTCACAAGAAATTTATTATATAATATATCATAGGCAACAGAAGTTGTCGCATGCATCATATTACTCAATACAGCATGAACACTGTTATGAGCTATGTTCGAAACATGTGTTGAGTTTTGCACTTTAATCTATATTATAGTGTTATATGAGATATACACAATTTTCAATAAATATGCTACTTACATGCTTCTTTAAATTAACTTCCCATGCTCTTTTAATATGCCAATAACATAACAGAATATTAATACTATTACCAAAGACTTCTTCAATTGCACCAATTTCGATGGGGCTGCAGTCAATCATTATTCTTTTCACCTTTAATGTAAAGGTGTTCTTTACCCATGTTAACCATTGATTCAACGTCGAGGTATATTCATGATCAGTTATAAAGAAGCAGACAGACAATCCCTTATTGGTGATAGGGTTTTGCATAACAATTGTAAACAAAAAGCAATCTTCAGATCCTTTACCAGCTACAGTATTGAATGACTTGCTTGTTTTGTGTGTTGAGTCAATGCACCACTCTTCCAAATTCTCCAAAAACTAATACAATAATAAGATGTATAAATAGATGTATAGAATAAAATATAAATATTACATGCTATTTATTTCTTTCTGCCACTCAGAAACCCACGAAACAAGGAAGGGACCATTCTTATGAACTGTGAAAAGAGTAGTATTTTCACTTTCGTTCAACTCTTGAACCTACAGTTTGATACTTTCATAATAATCCACATGTTTTTTTGAGAGTTTCATCATTCGAGCATTGATAACATTTCTCACATATTGATAATCAATGAGAAGAGAAGAAGGGAAATAAGATCTATTGCCAGCTTGTTCAAGCTATGTAATTTTAAATAAGCAAAGTCTCTCAAAATATACTATATAATATTTACTTCAAGAAGTCTGTCTTCACTCATTCTAAGCATGTTTTTGATAGATTTTCAATCCATGTTTTGGCTGACAAGCCCTTCTACCCATTGTTTTAATTCATCTGGCAATCTTGACAAACTGATCTCTTCAATCTTAAATGGATCATGGTTTGGGTGCTGCCAGCTGTATTTGATACAAACAGTATCATCAGTCATGGTATGCTTACACTACGGGAAAAAACTCGGGATTTTTGAATTAGTGACTTTCTTTTTGGTCTATAATAATTAAAAATTCACCAAAAATTCAAAATGAAATAAGAAAGTCTCTGTTTTTTGAAGAAGTTGATAAAAAGCAAATTGACCACCAAAAATTAAATCTCCTGATAGACAAAAGTGCATTTTAACTACAGACTTTACATTTTTAGTAAGTGTTTATTGCAATTGATGACTATTACAAGTCAGAAGTAAAGAGAAAGAAAATATCAAACTTTTATTACTTGAATAAAATATGTGAAGACAATTCAAAGACATGCTAAAAAATTAGAATAGGGAAGTGTATGTCATCATTGTAAAATTATTATATTGATATTTCATATCAAAGAGTAACCAATACATTTGTACAAAATATATGATGCTAATGACGACTTAGAAAATTTTTCTTTCTTGTTCTTTCTTTTGTTCATAACAAACCCTGACGCCGGATTTTTATTATTATCATGAATAATTAAGAAGATTCAGTAATTTATCTGCTTCAAGATATGCGAGAAACACTTTGAGATATACAAGAAATGCTTATTATTTTGCAGAAGGGCCAAAAAGCACTCTAAAAGTAACAGGCATTCTACGACTAGAGATTTCTGAACTACCCAATGACATAAATGAATACACACTTGAGAAGCCCACCCCAGACTATGATGTAAGAAATAATAAAGCAAAGAAAAACATATAAGCTAATATAAAGCAATATAGTTCTTTGATGTTCTAATCTCGAGATTAATGCTTGTATTAAAACTATAACTTTGAAACACGACTTTAAAATGATGAGTCATGTTCTTGGTTTAACTCAACAAGAAAAACAAAACAACTATTAACACGTTCACGTCTTATATGTAATGAAATAACCGTCTATCTTTCTGTACAATCTTTAGAAATAAATCCAAATACAATGTCTATCTCAAGAAAACAAGGGTATAATGTGCGCCAAACATATGTGTCTACTTAAACAAAGTTGCATCGGCTTTACCACATGTCACAAAAACCAGATATTTGTTGCAAAAGTCTTTCAGTCATAGAAAAACCGCGTGAAGGAAAGAACTTGTAAGTTCATGTCAGGTAGGTATAATAAATTGTATACTTAATATGAAAACATGAAATTATTCAAATGATATTTAGCCTATACAATTAATGAATAAAGAATTGTTGTTTTTATAACAATTAATAAAAGTATTTTTAAATAAAAATCCTTTATGAAATGAAACTTTTTTACCCAATTAAAATTGTGAACAAATCAGAATATATATAAATGAGGGCCATTTGAGAGAATGTTTCTGTTGAAATGATCAATACCATTGAAGTATATACAATAATAGAATGTATTTTATCCAATTAAAATAATTATAAAAACCAAAATAATATTTTATTACTAATTTAAGAACTTATTTTTTCATTCTTACCAATAGAAATCTTTTTATATTTTTTTTCCTACCAATGAAAATAAGGTTATAGCAGATCGATAAATATAGCGGGATATGAATAAAATCTAACATCAATAAGTCAACGGCAATTAAAATATATTACTTAAAAGGGAACTAGAGATTCCACTGCGATTCGCGAGAATTGCCAGCTCAATCCCAAGCTGAATCTCCAGCTGAATCCCCAGCAGAATCCCCACTTTTTTCCCATAGTGTTATAGATACTAGCAGGACAGCCAATCTTGATAGACTTGGTTGTTCTGACGCATTTCTGAGCATGCTGAGAAGTTTTTTTCACTTGTGATTTTCCAGCATAATCACACAAGTAAACTACTGTCTTTACTTTGAGAGGATTTTCAAGAGGCTTCCCAATGAAGACCATGTTCTTCTTATGACTGTAAGATTGATGGTAAACCTTATTGGCATGTTTTTTAGCTATATCATTTAACCAATTTGTAAATTCATCTTCAAATGAAAGGTCAAAGGAGTTGACAGCTTCTATATAATCTGAAATTATGCGATTGTTGTAACTAGCAGCAATATTAAAGGTTGACATTTTGAAAATGGCAAAAAAAAGGTGTGTTTGGAAAAAAAATATTAAGGGGTAAGCACGTAATAAAAGTTTGCCCAAACAAAACAAATGAAAATAAATGTGTGGCTTGCTTTTCTGATTGGGGAATTACTGTCACTGCATAAAAAGTAGACTTGCTAAGTAATTTAAACTCAGTGCACAAGGAAATAAGTAGGTACCTCACAATTGTATGTCGTTCCTAACACAATTGCTATTGACTCCACTCCAACTTTGGATGTCATTATAGGCTTTCTAGCCGCGCTTTTATTCTCAGATTATAATAAATAAATTTATTTTAACTATACTCCTCTCCTTTATAGTCAATGCTCGATTTAGTGATATAGTTGGGAGTTGCAGAACTTTATCACTATCACTAAATCAAATGTAATATTTTCTTACTCCGAAAATTTTTGTGATATTAGAACTCCGTTGTATGTGACTGCTGCTTTTCTCATAGCAAGATGATCGTATATTCTTTTCTATATGTCAAGATCAATAGTAATAAAAGTCATTAAGTATATAGAAATACATTAAATACAAGATGTTAATCTATAAAGTAAAGTCAGTACTTTAATAAATAATTTTAAAGAAAGATAGATAAATGTATTAATAATAAAAGTCATTTAAAATTATATTCATCTGTTAGATATTTATATATTATATAGACAAACACTACAGGAAAAGACAGGCAATATAAGACATATAGAATATATGTTCTATTAATAATTGTATATTCTTTTATTCAACAAGTTATTATAACATCTTTATAATGAGATACATAATCTTAAGGGCCAATAATAAATGAAACATTATTTGAAACATCTTTGTAAAAAAAATTGATGGTAATGATTGTTTTATATATTCTTAATCCAATAAAACTTAACCAAGCTTACATATCTTCCAAGACATAGTAAAAATCAATCGCGTGTATTATCATGTTTCACTTTATATCATACAATTGAACTTATACTTCTTCTAAGAGACAAAAAGCTTAACCAATAATCTCATTATACTTTATCCATGAAAACAAAAAATATGATTGGTGTGTTATAAGCGCTATTTCTTGTTTAATAGTAATATGTTTCATTCAATAATAATATGTTTAATATAAAAAAAATATCGTAAAGCATATTTTTACTGTTATCTTTATTGATAAAAATATTCTTAGCTATTGTTGTGGTGGTTGAAGTTGAAGAAGTTTTTAAGAGGAAGAATTGAAGATTTGAAATTAGGAACGAAGATTCGTGAGAACTTGTGTAGGTTTTGTTTATTGAGAAAGATTTTGTATCAAAGTTTGACCAGGTTCCTACACTGAACTACTACTGCTATTTATATTATTTTGGATCGGGAAAATTATATGATTGGGGTCAGGTAATCGATCCTATCTGAGCCATAATCAGAGCAACGTGATCTTGTGATAATTAATGTATAGTTAATTATATAAATGTGTGTAGTCCCAATGAAGTATTAACATCGAAAGTAAATGTGTTTATGAGTTATAATTATGCTTATAATAATCCACTGATGTATCCCATATTATGGTGATATCATCATATGAAATATAATCACTATCATGCATGCTAAACCTGTGTGTTAAATAATAAAGTAATCGGTAGACACCTTTGACTGGAATAGCTGAGGCCTTATATTATTTCCTTCAGACTTATTCTCAATTACAGCAGTAGTCAATACTCATTTACAACAGCTATAAACTCTTTTTAAACACATACTCACACACCTTCAATCATTTTATTTCTTCAACATGCCCAGAGTATCTAACATCTCGTACACTTCTTCTGACAACAACAGCAATGTCATGGGTTGTGTCTATCTTAATGGAAATCAGAAGCTTGCTATTTGCGATAAGTCTAGACATGGACTTAACCAGAAGCAGTTGGGAGTCTGGGCTAAACAGCAGTTTGACTTGCCCAAGATCTCATTCCAGGCAGCCATATCAAAGATTTTGCAGGAAGAAGAGAAGATCCTAGAAAGAACCGAAAAGGAGTTGAAGAAGACATCCACCAAAGGGACAACCTACCCTCAGTTGAAAGAAGACGCCCATCAGTTAATTTTGGATATGGAGAAAAAAGCAGTTCCAATCAATGTCCACTCAATCAAAAACTACGCCAAGGTAATTGCAGTAAGCAAATACAACATCACATAGGAAGACATGCCAAGCTTTTCAGATGGGTGGATTGCGAAGTTGAAGAAGAGACTTGGAGTAAAAAGCAGAAAGATGTATGGCAAAAGTTGCTCTGCTCCTAAAGACACCAAAGAAATTAACCTGAGAGTAGAAGAGATAAAGAAGAAGTTGAGAATGTATAAGAGAAAAGACATTTTCAACTTTGACAAAACTGGTCTTTTCTATAAGCAGCCACCAGTTTCAACCATATTAACAGCAGCAATTTCTGGTCGGAAGACCAATAAAGTTCAACTAACAGTTACATTGATTTGCAACTCGAATGGCTTCTGGAAGCTGAAGCCTTTCATCATTGACAAATATGCTAAGCCTTGCTGCTTCGGCAAGAAGAATGGTAAGTTATTACACTATTTATATGTGCTGAAATCAATAATTTTCTTGGTATATTAAATGTTCTGATTTTATAAAACAGACCCAGAGCATGGCTTTCAGTATTATCACAATGATAAAAGCTGGATGACAGGTGCAATATTTAGATATATATGCAAGATAATTAACCGTCGAGCAAGAAACTTGGGCAGAAAGATACTTGTTCTGCTTGACAACGCAGCCTGTCACAATACATATGACAACTATACCAATGTGGAATTCCTATACCTCCCACCAAACACTACATCATACCTTCAGCCACTAGATGCCAGCATTATACAGAACTTTAAAGTCAAATATCAGTACTACCAATATATCCTTGCCACTCAAAGATATATCAGCAACATGGTCATCAATTCTGATGGCTATTTCAAGCTTTCACAACTGGAAGGCATGAATTTTATCAAGTTGGCGTGGAACCAAGTGACTCCAGAAACCATAACCAATTGCTTTAAGCATACTAGATTATTTGATGACAACATACCCACACCACACAGCATAACCCCAATTATATCTGAGACTGTCAATATACCCATTGAAGATATAACTATTATACCTGGATGCCGACATCTTACAGAAAGCAATATCAAAGTTTTTGATACCCCAGAAGAATTTCTATGTACCCTAGAAGATGATATCCTTGATGAAGAAAATGAAAATGAAGAAAATGAAGAAATTGAAAATGAAGAAAATGAAGAAAATGAAGATGAATATTCTTCTAAAGAAAAAAGAAAAATAGTAAAAGAGTTAGTAGCCAACTTGATACATTTAGTAGTACCAAATAGTCAGTCTTATCAACATACAATGATGAAGACACTTTGTCAATTTATGAATGATATAAAAGCTGAAGAAAATTCTAAAAAAACTCTTCAAAAAAATATAAAAGAATACTTTAAATAATAATTGTAAATAGTAATAGTTGTAAATAATAATAGTTGTAAGTAGTAATAATAAATAGTAATAGTTGTAAATAGTAATAATTGTAAATAGTAATAATAAATAATAATAATATATTTTATAATAAAATCCTTTTTTTTACAAAACGTTATCTTTAAATTTATATTTACTAAGAAAATTACTGTTATTTTTTTTTCAATATATATCCCATATAGTTTATTTAATTTTAAAAAATAAAAATAAAAATAAAGCTGTAAAATAACATTTTGATAACTCAGTGTTTGGTATAGAGTATCAGCGCACTTGACATTACAATCAACTGTGTTTATCCTATGTAAAGATAAAGTAGTCTAACTTGTCATGTTTCAAAAATATGGAGTAGAAATTTGTACTAATTTTTTTTTCACTATAAAAAACAAACTCAGCATTCGATATAGTGATATTGGTGAAATTTTTTTTTCATCACTATCACTAAATCAAAAAATAGTGATGATTAGCAAGAAACGGACAAAAAATCTCAAAAAAATATCACTAAATTGTGATTATTACTAAATAGTGATTATCACTAAATCAAACATCACTAAATCAAGCTTTGACTGTATGTTTTTCTCTGGTTTTGAATTGACAGGCTTTTATAGCATTCCTGTTTTTTATTTTTTAACCAAACTAAAGAAAGAAAGACATCTTGTCATAATTTATAATAGATTTGAATCATATGTAAATCAACAACGTGCTGAAATAATATAATAATTAGAATAAATTCAAGAGAATATCTTCTTCAAGTAATATTAAATAATAGAGTAAAATCCGTGTGTCAAGGCTCAGTAAGATGGCTTCTTCAAGTAATAGTAGCTAAATCAAGTAGAATATAACTGTAAAAGTTTATTAGAATGTCTTGTTAAAGTAATAAAAGTAAGGTGACAAAAGAAACAGTCAGTTGTCAAAGTAGTGTGAGTTAACCTTTTGGAATTAACATATATATCGAATTACAAATGCTGCAGAAAGTGCATGGTTCAGTATAATCTCTTGGAATTACCATGTGTATTGAATTATAAAGGCTGCAAAAAGTGCACAGTTCAATATAGATTCTTGGAGTAACACTATATATAAATTCTTGAATATTCAATTGTCAATACACAATCATATGTTTCATTTTACTTTATCAGTTATTATTAAAAAATGTAATATATAATATTGATGATCTTTGCTTTTAAATTAAAAAGTAGTAATAGCCAACATGTTTTTTTTTGTTGTTAATTTATCCAAATCCAGATATCAGGGCGCAGCACAATTGTAACATACAAATGAATCATTATTTTTATTTTATGTTTATTTATTATTTATATTGAATAGCTTTTGGTAATAGCTAAAACAATATATACATATATTCTCTTTATTCTTTAGATCGATATTTTTTTATTACAATTACTATACAATTAAAAATGATCTGATTTTTATTTATTTATGTCTTAAAATCTGATATATGATATATAATATATAAGTATAGTAATAATTATTGGTAGTAATATAAATATACTCAAAGAGCTTTGAGCAATCACAGAGTTAATAGTATAGGCATTCCATTTTTTATTGCATGAGATTATATTATTTGTGCCTGAATGGCAATTAAAGATTTATTTATATAATGAGACGTTACATTGGAAATAAATAGCTCAAACAATATTTTCTTTTTTATATATATACAATAGAATATGTTTAATAATTTTAAAGCAATGTATATACTTTGTATATAAGTGATAGTATGTAATGGAATATATCACTTTATCATGTGACTTATAACTCTCTGTTTCTTTGTAATGTTCGAGAAGTCACATAATAAAAGAATATGAATAGAACGAATATGAAGATAAAGATAATGTTTATTTGTTGAAATATTTGAGATGTTTATATGTTTTGGGATATATGATATAACTGGTGAATGACTAATAGATGATATTTGCTAAGTAGTTATTACTAAGTGATTTGTGATCAACTACTTCTTTGTCATTGCTTAGTCTACTAGTCATTACTTATTAACATTCTTAATAAGACAATGCCTTATGATTTGATAATACTGGGACTGAGTTTCAATTACAATCCAGTCCTGACATCTTTATATCATGTGACTTATAACTCTCTGGTTTTTTATATCATGTGACTTAGTAACATACTAGCATGTTATATCACACTCAAAGACTTTTGATCTGTTTATAGTAATTTTTTCCCCAAATTTTAGATAAAGAGTGCTAATTGGCTATAATAAGGTTCAAGTTCAAAAATAAAAAAATATGTAGAGGTTTTGAATTTCAGACGATTGCACAAACGAAAATATGTATTTCAATTGGATAATTACTTGTAAATAAATAAATAAAAATAAGAAAAGCAGAAGAAAAAATGACTCTAGACTATTTTGGGTGGATTTTGCACACAAAAATATTGTTTTTGCGACAGAAAAAAAAAAGAAGAAGTTTTGTGACAGAGAGAAAGTAAAAAATAAATTTTGTGACAAAGGACATTTAAAAAATAAAAGTGAGAGATTTTATTGGCTAAGGATATCCAGAATTGACCAAAGACTTTTATACTTGTAAATGCTAGCAGCCAAAGAACTTGTTGTGATAAAATGTTTCTTGGAAATAGCTTCCTATTCCTTTATTTTATGTTTTTTTTCCTCTCATATTTATTATAATGGTAAGTGCCCAGTAATTTGTACCATAACTGGCCTATACATATAAAAAAGTACTTGCAAAGACCGTAATTATATGAACATTTTAAAATTTGTTATGTTGTAAAAAAAATGCTAAGTAAAAAACCAAGAAAAAAATTGCTAAATCGCCAAAAAAAAATAACAACAGATGTCACGCACTTGGCATTTTTTAGTGAAGCGCTATCTTTTTCCTTTTATTCCCTTTTTCTTTCTATTCATTTTTAGTTCAAGTGAGTACTAGTAAATATAATATTCACTTACTTTGTTTTTAGAAGTCATTATGCTTTGATACAAGGTATTTCTCTCAACAGACTACATTTATAAATTTATAAAGACTTTACTAATACTTTTTTTTTTTAGATTACAGTCATTTTGAGAAACTCCATCGTGTTCTGTAGCAAAGATAAATATCTTTATCTTGATAGTTTGAGCTTTATTATATTATTGACTCTTTTCTTCCTTTTGTTTTAGGTAAGTTATAGTGGAATCTAATCAACTACTTTCAAGAGATAACTTTCAATGACTGAACATGTCATGCTTTATCATGAATACTAATCTTTGTCTTTATTTTAATATTTTTTTATATTCTCCATTTGCTGTTGTTTCTTTACTTCCTCTGTTTCTATCACAGTATACTGCTGCTACTACTATACTTTTTGGCCTATTATTACATGGTTTTTTTTACAATGTTTACATTATTATTTATTATTGCAAGGGTATTTTTGCTCCTATTATACTGCTGCATTTTTTTGCGCTTTTTTGTTCCCCATTTATTTCTCAAAAATAAAAATTTCAGAGTTTTCAGACCAGATTTTACGTAATGCAGATTCTACAAATAAAGAACCTTTTTTGCACATTTTTCTGAATGGGGGTGGGGAGGGAGGGTCCTCCTGGTTGCTATGTGTTCTATATTAGAAAGCTAAACCCTCAAGAAAAATTACTGTTTATAGAATAGTACACTATTCTGAAAATAATGTTAAGGTTTACAAGAAAAATCTTTGGGTGTGATATGAAAAAAAGCTTTATGCTGATTGGCTTGCTATATCACGTGATATATAGGGCTGGCTGATTTTAATAATATGCATGATGATAATAATAATAATAATAATAATAAAATAATTCCATTGTCTACTTACAACAAAAAATGGTTCTGTTTAGCCACTGCAAAATATATACAGTAAAACACTACTATTCAAATTGTATTTCATATACTTTGGATAGTCTGATATATCTTAGATAACACTTTTTATCTTTTACTGATTTCTACAAATATATCAATATTTGAGAAAAAATTAAAATAAATAAATAGATATAATATTATTATAATTCTTATCTTTATATAATATGCTTGCTTGTTTCATAAAGCAAGCTTTTAATCTAAATATATATATTAAAGAAGATATTAATAGTTAAGATCTATATATAAGAAAAGCAATAAAACATAAGCACTATAGAAAGTTCTTATTGTATAAGAAGAAAAACTTGAGCAAAGATTCAAGTCATATAACATGAAGCTAATTCGAATCTTATTGATACAGCCAGAATGAGCATCCTGTTAGAAATCTCAGAATGTCTATTTTACGCAATATATTTACATATAATAGAACAATTCCTGAGTATAATATATCAGTACAAAATTTTACTATTAATTTTTTTCTAAAAAAAAAAGGTCATAGATTATTTTGTTTCATATTTGAATGTAAAGAATTGTAGATGTGATATATTAGCTTCAAATTCTTGTAATTACAACAATAGCAATTATAGGAAGGAAAGAAAGAATAAAAAACATAAAAAGAAAAATTATAAAATAAGAAAACAAATGCACTAAAGACAGACTAAAAAAATCAAACTCAGCCAATCACAGCAGCCAAACTACGATCTTCAGCTTCTCTTGCGAGCAGGCTCAACACTTGCCATAGGTGGAGGAGACCTACATAAAAGAGTAAGAAGTTTATATTAGTTTTGTATTAACAGTGCATGAGAAAAAGCAACAATAGTAACTTACAACACATCTGCCATTATAGGCAACTCAACATCATCAGTTTCTGACATATCAGGAGAAGAAAGCAAAGAATCACTTATGCCTTGCCATGTCTATAGCATAATAAAAGAGAACAATATCAATTAAAGTCTATAATATATATATTTGTTAATTGATAAACTTACTTTGTTTTTCTCTGCCATTCTTCTTTTGTATGTCTGGTTGTTGCTCTCGAAGCTTTCTTGAAGAAAGCTTCTTGCAGATCACATTCTTTTACATTGGTGAATGTGAAATCCACTATTCTTTGCCAACCTCTCCAAATGCATCATATAATATTCCCTGTTTTTCTCTGAGATATTCTTCCATTCTTTTTGAGCAGCAGGATAATCTTGGTGAATGATATCATGCTTTACCATGTGGCCTAATGTTTTGAGATGCAGTCTTTTTACTGTAAAATCATAGTCTGAAAGAGAAACTAACAGGGGCAAAGGCTGCCCTTGTAGAACTTCTTTGCAGCACGCCTTTCAGTCCTGCTCATAAAGAATCTGAAGCAACAAATTATACTTTTCTGCTTTGTTTTTTCCTTTGAACTCACCGCCAGTATTGATTACTCACTTACCAAGCTGATCAGGATACTCTGTGAGCTGGCCTCTTTTCACAGACCCGGCAATGTGCTCAAGAGCTACAAAAAATGTATCACAATATTAATAAAGTAAGTAAACATCTAAGCACAGAATATATATGACTTACAACTCTGCTCAATAATGCTTTTTTGCATTGTAGTTAGATTTTCTGCACTGACTGCTGACGCAAATTGATTGCTGAATTGCCTTTGAAGTTCACATAATGCTTGCTTGATTTCAGCAAGATCTACCTCAATCTTTTGAATTGAGTTGAGTTGAGAAGAGTTGTGTTAATATCGGACATGTTTAATTTTTTTTAGCTATGAGCAGTGAATTGAAAAGAAAAGGTGATAGTTTAGACAAGTAGAATAAGAGCAATTTGAGTTTGAGAAAGGCAACAATTTATTACTAGTAATTGATAGCTATTTATATGAAAAAGATACAGACAGATATATAAACAAAACATATAAAAGATGGGATGTTTATGCAATTGTATGCACCTGTCTGCAGTAGCTCATGTGAACATGATACAGCCCTTTTGTGTCGACACAACAAAAGTGTAAGAAATATAAAGATAAAATGAGTTAGACTTTAAGTCAATATTATATGTATAGATATTCATACTTTGCACTATTCACATATTAAAAGTTTTAAAGTATATGATATATCAATATAATTCTATACATATTGCAGATATAGCATGAAATTTGATTAAAGTTCTTGATGACAAAACCCTGTACCAGTTAAAATAATAACTTTAAATATACTCTACAGTAGCTATATAACATTTGAACGTCATATAGTTAATTAACTCTTTTTTATCAGCATTAAGATAAATTGTATGATGCTCAAGTCCATATCATACTTATTATTATTATCAACTAAAATGCGTTTTAATTGATGCTGTCATCAAAGATAGAAATAATTTTGACTGAAACCGTGCATTTTTGAAAAAGATGTGCTTTAATATGCATCAGTACTTTCAATTAACACTGTTATGTATGAGGTAAAAATAAGATATAAAATAAAACAAGTGCAGACAAGAGTACGGTGAGACTTTGTTTTATTAGAAGATGTGAAAGAATCAGAAAAGAGATGCTGTTCTATTGCTATTAGTATTGTGCGTTTATATAGATATTGTATTTAGCTGGGTGATGATATGATGATATCATTTAATATCTGTTTCCCTACCATTATCTTCTATGATTTAGTTCTTATGTTTTTAGTGTTATTAACTAGAGTCTTAGTATTTGTCTTAGTATGTTCTTTACATAATTTCCTTGTATAAGGGAAGATATATCTTTTAGTATCGTTACTAGTTGTCGGTAACTCAATGTATGTATTTATTGAGTGTCTGTACTTTTAATTTAAATCTACGATTATGTTGGATACAACAAACACTCAATTCAATCAGTAGTGCTTATTTTGATGATGTCAGTAAAAGAGTATCAGACTATAGTCCTCATTATCTATATGTATTTCTTTAAGTTTTAGACATAAACACAAAAATAATGCTATTAGCTAAATATATATTCCCTATCTCAAAAAAATTATTAACACAACACAGATAACATTAAGATGTCTCTTCTACTAATGTGTTTAGACAGTACTACTTTTTTTTAACTGTTAATTATTAGAAGGCTGTTTTTCTTTACCTTTTGTATTAGAGAGTAATTGATAATTTATTTAAAAAAAACCTAAATTGTTTGGTTGTTAATTATTTTAAATATACATATATCTTTTTATAAAGTCCAAATAATATCTAGTTGCTTACAAGTGAAGAGTACTTGTCTGTTTCAATGGTGTTCTTTTAATGATACTCTCTTGTCAACCAAGAAGTACTTTAACTTACATCATAATTATTAATAAAGAAGAATCTTTCTAAATACAGGAAGTATTTACTGACAGGTGTCTCATCTAACTTTGTTATTACTGTAATCATTAATATATCATTACTATGAGAGAGAAAGAGAAAAAGAGACGCAAGCATTTTGATCAAAAATAAATAGTATATAAAGATGTCTTTACATTTAATAAATAGCATCAAAATCCTTTTTGCAGTTTTATTTTATATATTACATATATATTAACCCAATCAATATGTTTTCTTCCAACGCCAGCCAGCAGAGAGATAGAATATCTATACAGCAATATCAATGTGATCAATGTGTCTTGTTTTTTGATAACTATCAGAAGCTGCAAAACCACAGGAGAATTAACAAAGAAGATTCAGCAACAATGACTGAAGTTGATCAGTCTATTCTGAATGATGTTGATATGTATCATGATGGAAATGATACTAGTAATGAAGATGAATATGTTAGCAATTCAGATAATGAAAAGAGCTGTAATTGTATTATTTATTTTCTAATTTTTAAATAATATATTACAGAATATACTATGGAGTCTATGGAGCTTGATAATATTATTTCATATAAGTGAGCATGTAATTTTGAGAATAGTGAGGGTGAAGCTCACATTTACAACAGCAGCCAAATCAGTACAAATACTTTTACCAAGGCCGATTTTATGAGTATTCATCTGTCTCAATTGATGCTACAGCATAGAATTGCTAGAGCAGCATACAGAGACAGTGTTCAATATATAAACACTGTCATCTGAGACCATGATGATATAATGATGGGTAAAATATTATATTTTCTGTTACCTTGTACTTTAATTCCAGATCACTAACATGTAGCAATATCATTTCTTTTTTTAGAACCTGGCGCTAAGATCAGTCACAGCAAAACTGTTGATGTTTTTCTGAAGTCAAAGTCAAGAGTCAAGGGTCATGAGTATGATGTCTGTCCTAGTGGTTGCCAATTGTATGGCATTAATGACGACCAGGAATCTTGTGTCGACTGTGACAAACTATGATACAATACTGATATTGAGCAAAGTCAAACACCAACTGCCAGTATAAAGTTTATGTCAGTTGAGGATATGTTTTCTCAAATGTTGGCTGATTTAGCCACAAGAGAACTTCTCCATTACAGAGCAAACTGGGAATCTGTAGCTGGTCAGCTAACCAACATTTTTGATAGTGACATCTATAAGCAGCTGGTGCAGCAGAGCCTTTTTTCTAATTCTAACAATATTGCCATTGGGTTTTATACCAACAGGTTTGTCAATAAAAAAAGGCAAAAACTCATATACCATCATCCTTTGCATAATAATTAATCTAGACTCATTCATCAGGTAATAAATTAATTTATTACTATTTGGTATTATTATTACAATTTTTTAAAAAAAGTTACTAATAAAATACTTAGATATACTAACAAATATCTTTTGCAACTGGCAATCTTGCTTGGTCTCAAGAAGCCAACTCATTTGGACTCCTTTCTTATATCCATTATTAATGAATTGCAAGGTTTTGAGGTACATGACTTGGTTGTCAAGCACAATTGAGTAGAGCTTTGCAGATTTAAGATCTATTTGTTGCTTTCTTCTGGCAATATTCCAACTGTAGCTGATATGGCTCACATTGGTTCCCATACAAGCTTATTTGGTTGTCATTTTTGTGAGACAAAAGGCAAATGCCCTGCTAACAGACAGCACGACATGTACTTTGATAATATTTCTGCTCTGTTAAGATCTTTGGAAGACTTCAAAGTAGGCAACTCTGTAAGTATACAAATTTTCAATTAGCTATCTTTTTTTCATACCAAATAACTGCTTGTAATAGTCTAAGAACATATACCAGCTGAGCTTATATACCCAACTCTCAACCTTCTCTGGATCATCATTTTTTGTATTAGATGAACTTTATTTAATTGCAAGAGGAATTGAAAAGCTTGTGTATAACCTGATTACTGTCATCCTCACAAAAAAACATATTTTATTATACTCATCCAGACAATACTCTCAATACCACCGAATACCCTTTTCATATACCAAGAGCAGACCTTGTAGCAATTAGAAACTGTATCACCAGCTCAGAAAAATATGTACCCATCTCGTCTCTAGACAGTTTTGTCAATGTATTTGTCAAGATCGATAGTACTTGCACAGTTGACTGGCTTGACTTTCTCTTATACCTTGTCTCCACTTTGGTCGTACATTATTTACCAAATAGGGCTGTCAAAACAGCTCTATGATCTCTCATGAAAAGTTGCGCACTTGCATTGCAATAGACATTGACACCAGAATTGCTTGAGAAGATGGAGTCGTAAGTTATTATATGTCTCATATATTATTATGACAAATAGCTGATTATTATCATTTTTTAAATATTAATAATAAATGCTTCAAGCACTGGCACTCGTTTTTTATACCAACAAGTCCAGAATAATACTCTGTCTCATAGTGTTTTCTGACCAGTGCAAAATTACCTGGTTCATATACCCTATATCATCAAGCAGCAAGGCCTTCTGCAATGCTACTTCACTCGCTCAATGAAGAAAGTAATTGGCGTCTTCTCAAAATTGATAAAGTTCAAATAAAGGGTGTTGGAATGCTAGTTTTCTCATTGAGCGATTTGCAATTCACAATTATACCAGCATAGCAATTAGTATCTGTGATAGAATCAATCTCATTCAGCCAAAGCCGTATAGAAGAGAGAGCTACATAAATCTTCCTAATGATCCTAGTGGTTCGTAGTTGTGGGGGCCATTTCATCAGTTTGTTAATTTGAACAATGATTTGATGGAAGGTGTAGGTGGCCCTAGTGTGAAGGAAGCTTTATTGAAATACTACTGGAGAACAACTGGCTTGACTGGTCACAATTTTTGTGACTCTGTTGTTATTGTAGCTGCACGTCTGTGGATGAACTCGACTATATATTCCTCATACATGTACCAAAGAAAGAGAAACGAGATCAGCCGTGGCAACTATTACGTGATGTTTACTTGCCTCTATAGAAAGTAAGTATAATATTTTTCAATATACAATCAAAAGTTGCTTATATTCTTGTTGTATCCAACATAATTGTAGATTCAAATAGAGTGCACAGACAATAAGACAAAGACATATTGAATAAGCAACCAATATCAATTATACATTATTTCTCACACTATCATTAAATAAAGAATATACCGATAACAAGGTCACACATCTTAGTCAACATCACTAATCACTCAAATAAGAGCGTTGGTAATAACTAAACAATATATTATCTATGATATAAGAAAACAGACATCACATGATATACTCATATCATTATTCTAAATACACACGCAATGTCTATATAAACTCACATAGCAAATAGCAATAGAGGAGGATCTCTCTTTTCATCAATAAACAAAGTCTCACCGTACTTCTCGTCTGCACTTTATTTTTCTTTCTTTTCTAAAAATATAACAATTCTATTTATTTATTTACTTTAGCAACCTTAATGTAATTGTCTACAGCTGACTCATTAGTACAGTATAGTTCTATTTTCAGCATATAGATTTCAATGACTCCCCACACTTTCTTGCTTTCATGGAGGTCATGAAGGAACATGACGCAGCTGGCCGTGACTTATCAGTACCTATTGTCAAACAATGCTCACAAAGCATCTACATACCAGGCCACCAAACGCAACCAACTTATGCTGTTATAAGTGTAAATGACATTTGTCATCAAGTTTGTCTGGTCCAATACCTACCAAATTGAAACCAGTTTTATATAATCGCGCCCTATTATATCTTTAACAACAACATGCACATTAGTAAAGGCAATCTTTCTATTCTGTAATTCTTTTTATTTTTATCTTATTTTTCTATATGCTTTATATCCTTACATCTTTTATATTTTTTATATTCTCTTTGTATCTTATATTTTTTTTTAAAATTTTTTCTATGTATTCTGTTATTTTAAATTTCTATATGGTCCGCCTTTCTTTTCTTCTTTATATATTCTATTTTTTTTTACTCTCTATACACTTTATGCTTTTGTCTTCATTCTCTACATGCTCTATACATCATTACATAAGTTAAATAAAATCAAGTTGCCAATTCATCAAGATAAAAAGAATATCTAAAAAAAATAACATAGTTTAAAAAATAAAAAAAATGACAGTTATGTTATCATTTTATTCACGCATTCCAAAAATTATTAATCTTTATTATATTTATATAAGAAAAATAGAAGAGGTTGGAACGGCAAGTACTTTGAGACTCTTTTTTGTTGATAAGAGATGTTCAGTCAAATTCAATTATCTTAATAAAAGTTATTTTATCTATGATATTTATAATTATTGAGATATATCTAGTCACCCTAGATATGAGTCATTGTAATGGCTTTGCAATAATAGTTTAAGTACTTCTTGAAGATGATTCAATAATAGATCAGACATATTGCTCTTATGTTTCAGATAGGACTTCATATTAGATAATCATTTATAATGACCTCTTTGACAGATACTTCTGTCTGGGTTCATATATGATATCAGATATTAAAGTATTACAAATACAACAATATTAATAATTGTTAACATTTTTGATATTCAATAAAACATATATTTCAATATGCAAAGTAGTCATTACAGCTTATGGACATTTTTTTACAGTATTAAAAATATTGTACAGCAACAAAAAAAGTGCTTTCATGTTACTTTTTAAAATTGTTACCAATGACATTACCATCTTACAATAAATGGCAGAGATTTTATTGGGGTTCAACCAAAAAAAATGGTAGTTATGTGTCTACTTTTGGCCTAACTGCCATTTATCTCACCATAGTGTTTGTCTATCAAGAGATTTAATTTTAGGTCATCAATCTGCTTTTTTTCAGCCTTTTCAAAAAACAGAGATTTTGTTTTATTTTGAATTTTTGGTGATTTTTTAATTACTATAGACTAAAAACAAAGTCAAAAATGCAAAAAAACCGCTCATATTTATCATAGTGATATAATAACTACTGCAGATAATGTACAGTATTGGTTTAGAAAACTATATAAGACAATTCAACTCATATCAATAAAAAGTATCCATTATCCTCTCTTTGATTTTATGTATACTCCTTTGTCAGAGTTGACATCATGGATAGAAATCTTTAAGTCAGGTATCCAATCAGTTATTCCTTTTAGCATATGCCCTCAATGTTATACTGATTGGTTTCCCTTTTTGTCAACTAAGACATATTATATTGCCTTCTATAAATGTAAAATCAATATGTCTTGGGTAAAATAATTAGATTAGATAGTTTCACTTTTAAGAAATCTGTATAAATACTCCAAGATTTATATCAATAAAAAGCATTCAATTCTCTATATTCCTATCTGTTTCTATTTATTCACAATGTCCTAGTTGGTGGTGATCTATTATCAAAACTTATACAAGTTAAAATAATAGAAAGATACATCCAGTCGAGACTTGACACCTTGATCCCCAGTGGGTTTGACCTTTTGACTTTGTTATAGTAAAAGAAAGACCAACCCAGATTGGGAACGACAACTTGACAAGAATTCAAAAGTCTATATTTTCTGGTAGATGATAAAATATTAACCGAAATGGTGACTTCCAATCTTTTTCTTTGTTTTTGAATTGTTTATTTGAAACAGATATTCTATATCCATTAAATTACGCGTTTTATTAAAATACACACTCTCACCAAATATGTCAATCAGCAACACTCAATCTAACGAAACCATTTACACTTTGGCAACAATCTCCCAAGTCTTGGAATGCTCTTCTGTTCCAGAAGTGATGACACTTAGATTAGAAAATATTATTAGAGTAAAAACATCTGAGTGGAAAGAATGTTTAACAGAGATTGGGAAAGCTTGTGCAGTCAAGTGGGTCATTTGCAACACCAATAAGCAACCTACCAACATTACTGCTGAAGAAGCCAAAGCAACTGGTATTAATTGTGTTTTTCTCAGAAGTATTCCTGTCATCGTTGGGAAACCTATAAATCTAAGGCAGCTTTGCGTGTGATTCAAAAGCGAACAAAGAAAAACAAGTGCCCTGCTCTTCTTTGTGTGAAAGGATTCTTTAAGACACCCAAGTTTTATAAATTTGTTGTTACAAAAGATTATGCAGAGCATACTCCTGGTGATATGCGTAGTGACATTTGCACCCTTCCTCTTGCAAAGAAATATCTTCACGAGTTGGCTCAGCAATTAAAACAGTCATCAAAATCTGCTAGTCAAATTAGAATTGATATGTTGAGAGCTGTAGATTGATATGGTAGAAAGTCTGAAAGAAAAGTTAACTATTATGATATCTGGAATTTGATGAACAAAGTAAGCTTTAAAAATAATATATCTTATAGCATTTACTTTAATATATTTCTGTAATAGATCAATAAAAAGCTGTATCATTTTGACAAAGACCAAATGACTTCTTTCTTAATCTGGATGAACAACAAACTTTCTGCCTTAAACTTCAACATCTTTAAGGCAAACACTTCATATTCTCTAGATCCATCAGCCTTTGCATATGGTTTTATGTCACCCATTCAGCAAGAAAAAATGAAAACCGCAACTTCTTTCTGTTTGGATGTTACTCATGCAATCTCTAGCAACGTGAATGAGATTCTTTATACCCTTTTGATGCGTGATGAAGATATTGGTAGAGTATGGCCTGTTGCCTTTATAGTAACCAATGATCGAGGTGTAAGCCCCATTGTGCAGTGCCTGCAGTTCTTGAAGAGATCTTCTTTGCTTGTTGACCCAAAGCAATTTACTATTGATTGTTGTGCAGCAGAAGTTCACGCCATTCAGACAACTTTCCTTGCAACATCCATTCAATTTTGCATCTTTCATGAAACCCAAGCATGGAACCAAAAGTTATCTGACAGTGTGAAGACTCCTGGATCCTTACCATCAGAGGCACGAATTTTACGTGGTGTGATGATAAAGTCTCTGCAAGAGATCATTTATGAAGAAGACATAGACGAGTTTCATCATAAAATTGTACAGTTTAAAGAAGACTTTGACGACTAAGAAAGCTTCTTGGATTACTTTGAGAGAAACTGGTGCACAGAAGCAAAGTTTAAGATCTGGAGTAGAGCATACCATGAACAACAATTCTCCCATATGCTCACAAATAACTATATCAAGTCCTGGCACAATCAATTAAAAACAGTTTTCATGAAAAGATCTAGAAATAAGAGACTTGATAAGCTTGTTTTTGTTTTACTACATGATGTTGAGTATTATCTCACCCAAGAATATGAACGCGTTATGTCAAACAATGATCCAATGAGTTCTTTTACTAGACAACAAAGAATACATGAGATGGGAGCTGAAGAAGTCAATGATGATGACAGGGAAATGATGATTGTTGCGCCTGGTACTGCAGAAGATGTAAATTGGCAAGTTTAATCGTTTGTAAATGAAAATACAGCATATGTTGTTCAGGTTGCAGAGCCAAACTTGATTATTTCATGCATCTGCTTTGATTATCAGCGAAGATATAAACCTTGTAAGCATATGTATTTGCTTAAAGTGCATACAAACTGATCTTTCTACTTCTCTCCACTTTCTGTCACAAGTACAAACGTAATACAGCCAGTCTCGATCTCTGAAACAGTCACAATCACACCAACTATCAGTCGTACATCTGCTTTTATACAGCAATGTATTGACATCAATCAAACACTCCGGTATGCAAACCAAGATCTACTGACTATGCAATAGTATATGACTGAAGATGATAGTCAGACTTTGTTTGATATATATCAACGCTCTCTACAAGTCTTTCAGTCTATAAAAAACAAATATGAATTTCATCTTTGCAGATCTCATACACAAGAATAAAATTATAACTATCTAGCTTTTTTCTCAAAGAAATGTTTTGTAAATTGAAACAACTTTCAAAACAACTTAGTAAATTATCGCATTTTTTATTTTCTAATAGTTGTATTTTTTGTCTTATTTTCTGGTAGATAAGCCTCAATTTTGGCTAATACTTTACTATCTACCAGAAAATATAGACGTTCAAGAATTTGGGTGACGGACATTATTTTGATGAATCTGTAAAATCTGAAGATGGTTAACCGCAGTACCTCATTATGCATAGTAACATCTTCCTGAGCATTAACTGCAGTATAATGACTCTTCTTTTATTTAAATATAATATAATAGCTACTGCAGATAATGCGCAGTATTAGTCTAGAAAACTATATAAGACAATTCAATTCATATCAATAAAAAGTATATTTTATCTTCTCTTTGATTTTACGTATACTTCTTGATCCCCAGTGGATTTGACCTTTTTGTCAGAGTTGACATTGGTAAACAAAATTGGTAGTTATAAGTAACCAGTAAGAGTTGACTTTTTAGAATAAAAGATTTTGACTTTGCCAATTGGTATTTCATATATGTTTTAGATGTTTAAGATGGTGAATATACACTATGCCAAAAAAATAGGAGTTTTAGAGGTGGTTTCACAGGTGGTTCCGGAGGGGAAGCCAGGGCACGTTTTGTGTCCTCCCCCTTTTTTCCATCTCTGAGTTCATGTGCATTTTAATACATCTCCGCTTACCGGTAGTGTTAAGATTCTATTAATATATTGATAACCTTATCTTTTGCTAATATTTGTCTTTCAATTGGACAAAACTTCTTTAAGTATAGTCGAAATATTATATGCCATTGGTTACTACTAATTCATTATTCTTTTAATTTAGATTCTTTTAAATATTTCTTACTTAATCATTGTTTTTATTGGATAAGACATAATTGCACTGTAGTGTATTTTATAAAAATACATTTTTATTGGTTTCTCAAATGGATATATTTTCTATTTATCGTTTTTATTGGTTATTACACTATACAATTACATTATATATATCACTTTTATTGGCTGTTATGATAGACATTACATTTTATGCATCATTTTTATTGGTTATAAACAGTCAAATACATCATATACTTTCAATATTAAATATACTACTTTACACTGCAGTGGATAGTTACTTACAATTGCCTCCTTTGACGGTCTTTTCAGAGATGACTGACTCTTGCAATGGATGCCCAATTTTGATAGCATCTGGTGAAATTTATACCAACCCTCTTAAGCATGTTTGCATGTTTATTACAAATCGTTGTTCGATCACATGAAGATATAGACCTCCAACTAGGACGAGGGCCAAGAGCTCATACAGAAGGAAGGGTGGCTAACTCGTTACATATAAGTTTTGTACAGGTCCTGAGTGTTGTGGGGAGAAAATAAAGCAAAATATAATATAGACGAAAGAATTTGTGAGAACTTGTGTAGGTTGTTTATTTCAAAAGAAAAGTAAAGAATGATAAAATTGCCTTCTTTTTCTATACGGAACTATCTACTGATATTTACATGTTTTTCTAATTTGTAATTCAGTGTGTGCTTAAGTAATCTTTATCACAATGAGTCATCTTCCAGAAGTATTGTTCTTCTGGAAAGATCCGGAAAGACCAATTGATATGATACTTCTCTAGTCAGATCAGTCCAAGAGTTTTGGTAAAGAAGAGCATTTATGCTATTGATAATATTTTAGTATTCTGACCCAGATACTCGGGTAATGTTTCATAATATTAAATAGTTGTAGTTGTAGTCTCTCAATTAAGTATTTGTATAATAAAAGAAATATGTAAATGAAATATAATGATGCCATATATATAATGTATATGTATTTGTATATCCCATGTCATAGTGATAATAATAAATAATCAATTATGTGTATTATGATCTGTGTATTAGACAATATCATAAAAAGAGATCCGTTTGACTGGAATAGCTGAAGATATTATTTTATCCTTCAGTCTTACTCTCAGATTCAGCAGTAATCAATACTAATTTATAGCACTGAGTGTTGCTTTTTTGGATGCTGTAACTTTGATTCCAAGATTTTGACTCATCATTTGGTAAACATGTTCTAAAGTGACATTATAAATGTTGATGAAAGGTTTGAAAATAAACCCACTTGAGGTCTATTGAAGTTAAAGTTAGTTTTCAGCAATACTGTTTTGAGTTGAACTTACATTAATAAACAAAGAGAGATTTTGCTTTGGAGATCCTTTGATCATTATTTCATTTCCAAAGCTGTTAATATCTATCTTAATTTGTTCTTGATTGGCATGTAAGACAGCTAACTGGAGCTGAATGTCTAGGAGTAAAGATTTGATAATATTATCTGTGTCATTCATATTGCAGATATTGTTTGCCTGAGAAAAAAGATGTTGTTGTGAAAATAAGATATAAAGAAAAAAAATTCAATTATCTATTATTAGTTTCATAGCAATATAGATTGAATCTATTGGGTTGGTTGCAGTGAATATCAATTTTGCTTACCATGCTTACATGACAACATGATATATATATGTTTTATTTTTTTCTTCTGAGCTTATATTCAAGTTACTGCGCCATTATTGTCTTCAAGTTAATTATTATAAAAGAGTTCAGACTTGAAAGCAAATATCTCTATTCTTACTCATACTTCAAAAGAATAAATTCAAATTAACAAAATGTCTACAATCACAAAGCTTTTCCACCACGAGTGCAGTATCTGCCACAAACGCTACATAAACAAGAAACTTGTAGCCAAGTGTGAAGTTCAGTACCTGGAAAAAGTTTATAAAGAGATGAATAACACCCAAAGTTCGCAAGTTGCTTCTGTTTCTGAGCAGAGTAATCTTATCTTGAATTTCGCATCTAGCTCAACCTTGGAGTAAGTCTACAAATTATAATGATGCAACTAAATAAAATATATTAATTCTTTAATAATTAAACAGAGAAAGCACTAGCATGAGCATCGACAAGGATATTACTCCTTCCGTTATCAACGAAATTGATGAGCCCATGGTAAGAAAGATAAATATACAAATACATCCAATGTACTAATTATTGTTTGTCTTATTAAAGTATGATATTGAACATGAGTATTCTATGGAAAATGATTCAGCAATCATGGATGTTACTGAAAATGCTATTGATGATACTCCTTCTCAGTTGGTCTATGACTTTAGTGCTCCTGTTCCTGTTCCTGGCTATGACGATGCAAAGAATCTCGAGCTTATGAAGATCATAAAGAAGTTTGGAATTTCCCAGAAGGCTCACATTAGTCTGGCAAAACACTTGAATGAAATTCTCAGCAGATCAAGTGAGATATCATACAGAGCTTGCACTCCCTACCTTGGTACCAAGCTTCTTTCTCGATTTATTGGTGTTGATGAGGAGACATATCACGTTTGTCACAATGGGTGTATGCTGAACAACAACAATCAGCAAACGGAATGCCCTCATTGTGACGAAGCCCATTACAAGACTGGTGAGAGAAGCCAAGATGCTGGTGAGAATTCAATCCCTGCCAGCACAATGATACAGCTTCCTCTGGGTAGACAGCTTGCAGTTGCTTTGGCCAGCAACCGCACCAGAAAAGACATGTTGTATTGCCACCATTATACGCAAAAGGCTGATGGCAGCATTTCTGATGTCTTTGACGGACAGGCATATCAGTCAAAGAAGCATCTTTTCTTAGGTGAAAATGACATTGCCATTTCGCTGTCTGTTGATAGGTTTGCTCCCCATAGTGTTCCAGGTCCGGTAACCATTGTCCACGTTACCAACTTTAACCTTCCCCCAATGATCTGCTACGAGCGCAGCCGTATGATCCAAGTCGCGATCATCCCTGGTCCCAAAGCACCTGCCGATTTCTGGTCATTCCTGGAGTCTGTTCTGAAAGAACTTCGGGTTCTCCAAGCTGGTAGAATGGTTGTGAAGACACCATCTGGAGATATTAGTGCAAAAGTCCATGTACTAATGACAACTGGCAACATCCCAGCTCTGGGAAAGATGGCTTGTCATGTGGGCCATATGAGTAAGGATGGCTGCCGCATCTGCCACATTGTGGGTCAATCTCCTGGCCATGGCCAATATTTCCGAATGCCATCTGCCATCACCATGCGCACACCAGAAAGTTTCAAGCACTTTGATGAGGTGGCCTCATCCAGCAAAAAAGGGTTAACTGGCCAATCTCCCTTCTCCTTACTGGATTCCTTCTCTGGTCCGTTCTTCTTTGCATTGGATGAAATGCACGGCATTTGTCACGGCATTGGCAAACAGGTCTGGGGGCTCGTGTGTGGCAAGTATGGAAAAGATCATCCTCTCTCTCTCTCCTTTGCTGCTCAGAAAGAAATTGGTACTGCCATGGTGTCAACCAGAAGAAGTATTCTGACATCTTTCTACGGTGCATGGATCAACATTGCAACAAGATCAGGGTACTTCCGGGCTGTGGACTGGGCTGACTTCATCTTGTTTGTTATCCCCACACTTGTGGCAGAGTGTGTCCATTACCAAGCTGCCTGTAAGGCATTGCTTGACCTGGTGCAGACATGCAACCTACTCATGAGCTGGTAGTTATCAGCAGAGGAGAAAACCTTGATCAAAATGTAAGCTTTAATTATAATTAATATTATTATTTTATAACTTGTGTTAACTTATCTTTTTTTAGAAATCTTGTCACATGGAATGCGTATCTGAAAGCCTTGCTAGCTAAAGGAGAGGTCCAGCTCAAGGTCTTTACAATCAACCAGCACCTCCTGCAGCACTATCCCGCAATAATAGAAGCATATGGTCCCCCCAGAGTGTATAGTGCACGATCTGTTGAGAGGGCGATTGGGGAATACTCACGAGCAATAAAGAGTAATTCGGCAATTGGAATCAACGCTGGCAACATCATGCTTGGCTTGACACAGATTCGACAGATGAGAGTTAAAAATTCAATAACGACAACAGGAACATTAACAGCAACAACTCTCCTTCAGTATGACAATCCCTCTGCTGATTGGCCAATTGACCGAGAAGGTAGTAATGTTGGTACTGATTCTGACATTGAGTTCTTGGGGCCTTTGAGAAACAGAACGATTGTTGATAGTTTTGGAGGCATTTCTTGTCTTCCAGAGCTTTTTCAAAAGTTCTACAAATCAAAGGGGGAAGAGTGTAGTATAATTGAAGCAGCCATTAAAACAAGCTGTAAAACATTTGTAAATGGTTGTGTTATTGACTCTGCACTCAACCATAATTGTGTAAGAGAGGCACATAACGTCAGACTTCAGGTTCAGATTGATGAGAACCGCAACATTGGGCAAAGCTACTCTTCAGTCTATAAGGATTTCTTTGGGAAGGTTGTCGTTTTCTTTGAGCACAAGCTCAACAACAAGAGGTGGCTGCTTGTCCTTGTCAATATTTATGCAGTTCGTTTGGTATATAGTATACCAGCAATCAACAATGGGCAAATGAAGCCAATGGTAGTTCACCTGGCAGATGTCAAAGAATTAGTTGGTTTGGTGAAGTCGAACACAACTATAAACACAATAACAACAATAGCAACAACATATGTAGTGTGGCCAGAGCTTAACCGCGGCCCAAAACTGTCACTTGGTTCTCTTGCAGACTTATAATTTTTTTCTTGTAATATATTATTTTTTTTCAAATTGTCTTAACATATTTTATCCTCCCAGCAAAAAGTTTAGATATTTCTCTCTCTTTTGCCTCTGACTTTTAATAGCCATCAATTGCAATCTACATTTACTAAAAATGTAAAATCTGTAGTTAAAATATACTTTTGTCTATCAGGATATTTAATTTTAGGTGGTCAATCTGCTTTTTGTCAACCTTTTCAAAAAACAGAGATTTTCTAGTTTCAAATTAGATTTTTGGTGATTTTTTAATTATGATAGGCCAAAAACAAAGTCACAAATACAAAAAATCATTCCGATTTGTTGTAGTGATACTTGTAGAAGATATTACTGGGCAACAGGCATCTAAAACATATTATTGTAGCTATTCTTTTAGCCAGAAATCAATTATCATTTTGTATAAATAGTCAAGAAATATATTTAATAAAAAGCATGTTTATTCTTATCTAAAAACTATTCAAAAACTTGATGATCCCAGTGGTATTGATTCTGCGACTTAGTTACAAGTGCCAGAAAAGAAATACCAGATCGAGACTTGACATTTTGACTTTGTTATAGTAAAAGGAAGACCAACCCAAAATTGGGAACGACACAAAAAAAAATAAAAAAGTCAAATTGATTAAATCACAATTTCTACCAACAACATTTGAAATGGAGAAGCTGGGCGTCGATCCCAGTGCCTCTCGCATGCTAAGCGAGCGCTCTACCATTTGAGCTACATCCCCACTGCTCTTTCGCTTAAGCATTTTATTTGTCTGGTTCCAAAATTTTATTTTTGACGAATCCACATATAAAGTGTATCCATCCATTAACATCTTTACGCAAAACGATCCATCCGTCACAAAAAACGCACCTCCCATTGCCAAAAGTAGTGCAGTCCTTGTCCTTGGTATTCCAGCTGTCAGCAAAAAAAATTTCAGCTAAATCAGACAACATCACGCCATCTGCATTCTCAATCCCAATGGCTAATTTGCAAATCGGCAACATGCAGGGATTGCCAACCGAGCTTACCTCATTCCTGACGACATTGCAGGCACAAATCATGAATGTGCAAAACAGAACCGACCAGTTGGAGCGACTTGCAGCAGAGAATGCAAGATTAACCACTGAATTGGATCAAGCTAGAACAACAATTACTAATCTACAGAAGCAATTAGGATCCCAGAGTGCACCTGAAAAAAACTTTTCACAAATTTCACTTTCGAACCTAGCCGGCACAGTAGGTACTTCTGACAAAAACAAAGAACCAGGTCTGGAAGCCTCCACTTGGGCTAGTAAAGCCAGTGTTTCTCTTCCTGTAACTGCACCAAAAATGTCTGCTGTTCCCTCTGCTCACCGTATTGCAGCTTCTGTTCGTATGTTTGCTCTTCCCTCTGGTCCTTCAGGTTATGAATATGTTTATATTCCAAGATCAAGACGCCTTAAGCACAAAGAAGTCCGTTCCTCTCTCCGCACTCTTGGGGTAGATTCTTCTCGACTTTTGGACATTAACTTCCCAGCCAGAGGTGTCATTGGCATCCTTGTTCATGTCCAGTATGCTGATACATTTAAGACCAAAGTGACAACTTCTTCCGTTGAGATTTTGGACGCATTTGATCCACTTGACCCTGATAATGTTGCTGATCCTAAGTATGCATCTCTGTCCACTCATGAACTTGCCAACACTGCTGCAATGCTTCACTATGATAGATGTCTCCAAGCCCTTCAGTTCTTGCGCCCACACGTTGCTATCCCAGTTGGTCACTTCTTTTGTGAGGAAGGGTGGATCAGTGAAGATGAAATACCAACACGTACTACTCTTACCAATGCCACTGGCGGGTCTTTGTTCAAACGTCAGCGCAGCTCATCAGTCACTATGTCTGAATGAGTAATCTCAATATTGGATTATGGAATGCCAATGGCCTGCAACCCAGAGCCATTCAAGATACCCTTCAACACTGTCAATCCTTACATATGCTCTTCATTACAGAAACATGGCTCCTCTCCCCCTCACGTCTTCCCACATCATGGTCACAAATTCACTTATATGATTCTCCCATAGCTGGCACCTATAGGGGCTCTATGGGTGTTTCTGTTCTCATCTCACCTCACTGTCCTTATGCTGTCACTCAAATACCTATGCCCTCAAAATATGCTCTGGCTGTCAAAATTGGCTCACTCAGAATTGTATGCTTATATCTTCCACCAACTATGCCCACTCATGATGTCCTACATGTACTCTCTTCCATTCCTTTAACACATGATACCATTCTTTGTGGTGACTTCAATGTAAGACTTGGCTCTGTTACTGGTGACTATGCATCAAATTCTCGTGGACTGGCACTATGTTCTTGGATAGAAGAGAGATCTCTATCAGTTGTAAATGCAGATCTTGCACCTTGCATACCAATATATATTTCTTTCCGCAACAACTATAAAATCAGCAGTATTATTGACCTCTTGATAACTAATATGCCACTCATCAATCCTTCTCTTCATATTGCTACTGACTTGTCCCTTGGGTCAGATCATCGCCTTTTATCACTTTCCTTTACCTATGATCTACAGCACTCTACCAATATGCCACCACCATTACGCAAGACATGGAACCTCTCACGTCTCAATGAACCTGATGTCCATGCTCTTTATGCTCATATCTTCACTCAAAACTCAACCTCCATCCTTTCCACCTTGCAAGAAATTGTACTGAATCCGCCACTCACCAAACCTGACATTGATGCTATAACTGATAAGTTCAATTCACTCATTTACAACTCACTAAATAGCTCAATTGGACATCGACCCTCTCGCCCCAACCATTGGAAATCCTTCTGGAATGTGGCATTACAAACAGCAGCAGATCATCGTAACAAATGTTACAAAAAATGGCGCCTAGCAATAGGTATTGACAAAGTTGTTTGGTGGACTAAACACAAGCATGCACAGGCTGAATTCCGATCCCAAGTTCAGCAAGCCAAACGCCAGTCTTGGCATGTGTTTTGTCAGTCTATGGAACGTGATTTCAGCAAAGCAACGTCAAAAATAAAACAGTTAAAACGCCATAGACAGCCACAACATACCTTCCAGCATGACGATGGACCAGCCGTAGCAGCAGCAACAATGTGTGACCATTTGGCAACAGTATATAGTGGACATATACTTCCAGCAACCCGACCACCAGCACCAACAACGACTTATAACAGTGTGCCTTTTGCCTCTGATGACTCTCCATTTAACTCATCAATTGTGGAGGAATTCATGCAATTTATGCCTAACCGCAAGGCACCAGGGCCTGATCATATCAGAGCTGAAATGCTAAAACCTATCAAATCACTTATCTCGCCTGTTCTTGCTTTGTTATTTACAGTTTGCTGGCAATGGTCGTATGTCCCAAGTCTTTGGCGCCAAGCACAAGTTTTCCCCATCTTCAAGAAGGGTAGTCCAACAAATCCGGCTAACTACCGGCCAATCTCCTTGACTTCTGTACTGCGTAAGCTTTTTGAGATGTGTATAGCCCCCCAGTTGCACAAGTACTCTCCTCCTTTGGATGTGGCTCAAGGTGGTTTTCGTCCTCGCCGTGGTGCTTTGGATCAAGCTCTCTGTCTCCATGATCTGATGAAAGCCTATTATCACCGTCATAAGCACTACCCTGTTGTTGCATTTCTGGATATCAAGGCTGCCTATGATACAGTAAATCGACGAATCATCTGGCATGCTTTACAACAACGTGGCACTCCACCAGCCCTTTTGGGCCTCTTAGTTAACATGTTTGACAATGTCTCCATCTCTGTCCTTCTAGATAACTTTTCTTCACAATCGTTTTCACCTGCCACTGGGGTTCTCCAAGGTTCTGTCCTCAGTCCACATCTGTATTCAATATATATCAACTCCCTGCCCCCATTGCTCCGCACAGTTGCTCACTCACAAACTACAACCCATGTTCCATCACCCTCTCCTACCTCATTGGATGCATATAATGCTCTTCTTGCTCCTTCAGGTGTAGATGGCTTTGGACATATTCATTTCTCAACACCCATCAATTCTCTGCTCTTTGCCGACGATGTAGCTATTTTTGGTTCTCTTTCAGACGTTCAGGCCATGCTAGACCTTGCTGCAGACCACTCTCTTACTCTTGGATATCGATGGAGCCCCACCAAATGTGAAGTTATATATCCCAAAACACGTGCAAGCTCGCCAGTTCCTCTTCTTTTATATGGTCAAGTTCTCCCTGCCACTGACCTGTTTATTTATCTGGGTGTTCCTTTTGCCAATAAGGGTATTTCTTCCAAGTCCATTGCCACTCATAGACGTTCTGGTACACTTGCTACAATGGCAACCCTAAACTCTGTTGGTGCTTGTCGTTCTGGTTTTTCTCTGCTGTTCAGTTCACGATTGTATAAGACCTTTGTCCGCCCAAAGTTTGAATATGGTTTGGCAATCTCCACTCTACTGAAACAAGATATCAAAGTGCTGGAGCCCATTCAAGATAAGTGTCTTTGCATGATTGTTGGGGGGCATGCCACGTCCTCTACAATTGTGTTGAAGCACATCTGCAATCTGCCAAGTATGAAGTTTCGTGCCAATGCTCTTATGGCCAAGTTCTGTATAAGATCACACTTTTTGCCGGCCCAGTGCCTTCTGTCTCTTTTGCACCATCATCATACCGTCTATTCTTCACTTGTCTCCTTGGGAAAAACCCATCTTCTGTCCAATATCCCTCCAACACTCAAACTTCGAAGCCCTAGTGCTGTAAAAAATCATTTTGAAAGCATTAGAGAAGCTGGATTTGCAACCTTTCTCCAGTCCAATATGCAAGTTCTCATTCAAGCTGTTGTAAGTGAGTATTGACTACTGCTGTAATTGAGAATAAGTCTGAAGGAAATAATATAAGGCCTCAGCTATTCCAGTCAAAGGTGTCTACCGATTACTTTATTATTTAACACACAGGTTTAGCATGCATGATAGTGATTATATTTCATATGATGATATCACCATAATATGGGATACATCAGTGGATTATTATAAGCATAATTATAACTCATAAACACATTTACTTTCGATGTTAATACTTTATTGGGACTACACACATTTATATAATTAATCATACATTAATTATCCCAAGATCACGTTGCTCTGATTAAGGCTCAGATAGGATCGATTACCTGACCCCAGTCATATAATTTTCCCAATCCAAAACAATATAAATAGCAGTAGTAGTTCAGTGTAGGAACCTGGTCAAACTTTGATACAAAATCTTTCTCAATAAACAAAACCTACACAAGTTCTCACGAATCTTCGTTCCTAATTTCAAATCTTCAATTCTTCCTCTTAAAAACTTCTTCAACTTCAACCACCACAACACAAGCATGCCGCCCAGTTCTTGGAGTTGATCCAATCTTGTTTTTGCCAGCCTCACGTGTGGAACGTGGCCGTTTGATTCGTTGGAGAATGGGGTGGTTACCAGGCAAACCAAAGGAATGTCCTTGTGGATCAGATCATACCTCACGCCGCCATTTGTTGGATTGCCCACTTGTTCCTGTGGCACTATTTGAACAGTTGCCTCAACCTGACCAAGATCAGATACACAGAATTGATTTTGCCATCACATCCTTGCCTTTGTCATCTCAAGAACCTCGACCTGCTTACTGGATACCACTGCTGACTATTCTCTGGCACATAGATGTTATATGTAATCCTGATGGTGACTATTCACATGAGACTGAACATGGTGCTCTTTGGATATAATTTAGACTTTTTCTTTTCTTTCATAGCTCTTCACTTTTCATTGTTCTTTACTCTCTTTATCTCTCTTCTTTCTCCTTTGTCCTTTGCTGTCTGAAAAGTTCTTTGTTCTGCAATTCTGTCTCCTCCCTTTCACTGTTACAACTATTTTCACAGCTGCAAAGTGGAGAGCAGATTCAGCCATTGAAGCTAGTATGATTTGATCTTCTCTTTCCCCTCTCTTTTTTTTGTCTTTTGTGATCCCTTGGGACTTTTTTTATATCTTCTTTTTGTACTTTGGAGGCTATATGATCTATAGATCGCCAGCAATATCTCCTTTAATAAAATATAATCTTTAATCTGAGCTACATCCCCGATCTCTCTTTCACGTAAGCTACTGTTACACAAGACATAACAAAAAAATTGGTTGCATCCATACAAAAGCTTCATCAATCCGTCCTACATCTTGTTCAAAACGTTACATCCATTGTCAAAAACATTGCATCCATTACCACTGTTGCCTTATCTATCAGCAGAAAAAATTTCAGCCGATTCTGACAACTTTTCATTTTTGTGATCTCAAATCTCAACATTGCTGCCATTCTCTGTCATGCAGGGAATGTCACCCAATCTCGCCTCATTTCTGAGGAACATGCAGGCCCAATTCATGTCACTACAACAACGTACCAATGAACTTGAATCTCTTGCCGCAACTAATGCTAGATTAACTGCTCAATTAGTTAATGCGGAAAAGCTAATTGCTGATCTCAGATCTCAATTAGCATCTCAGGGCAATTGCCAAATTACAACAAATGCATCAACATCATCTGCACCAACCACACCCAAGGAGCCTGGCACTGAGGCTTCTACATGGGCTACAGCTGCTGCTGCTGCTCACAACTCTGTTGTTGTTCCTACTGCTCTTTCTGTTCGCAAGACTCTAAGACCTCCTTCTGTTCGCCGGGTTGCTGCTTCTGCTAGAATGTTTGCCATTCCCACTGGTCCCAAAGGATATCAATATGTGTATATCCCACGTTCACGTCGTCTCACACATAGAGAAGTGCGCAACTCTTTGAAAACACTTGGTGTTGATACTGGCCGCATCTTGGATATCAATTTTCCTGCCAAGGATGTAGTTGGCATCCTAGTTTACAACCAGTATGCTGAGAAATTCCAGACCACTCTGACCACAGTTGCCATTGAGATCTTAGACACGTTTGACCCTTTGGATCCCAAAAACATTGCAGATCCCAAATATAAGTCTCTTTGTGATTCAGAGCTAGAAGAAGTTGCTGCTGAACTTCATTCTGATCGTTGTCTGAAGGCTCTCAAGTATCTTCGTCCTCATGTTGCTGTTCCTGTTGGTCATTGCTTTTGTGATCAAGGCTGGATCTCTAAGGAAGATATTCCTGTTCATTCTGTTTCTGGTCCTGGTGCTGGTATTCATGATTTCCAATCACCATCTCGTCGTACCTCTGTTGCAATGTCTGAATGAGTGAAATCTCATTAGGACTATGGAATGCTAATGGTCTGCAGCCTCGTGCAATTTATGATGTTCTTCAATACTGTCACTCTCTACATATGCTTTTTATCACTGAAACATGGCTTCTCCCCCCATCTCGTCTCCCCACTTCTTGGTCCCAGATTCATCTTTATGGTTTACCTGTAGCTGGCAACTACAGAGGTTCTATGGGTGTTTCTGTTCTTATTTCTCCATCCTGTCCTTATCCTGTCACTCAGATTCCTATGTCATCTAATTATGCTTTGGCCATCAAGATTGGTTCCCTCAGAATTGTATGCCTGTACTTACCACTCTCTATGTCCAACCATGATGCTCTTGCAGTTCTCTCATCCATTCCTTTGACCAATGACACTATTATATGTGGCGATTTTAATTCACGTTTGGGTTCACTTACTGGTGACTATGCTACTAACACTCTAGGTCTTGCTCTTTGTCAATGGTTAGAAGAACGTGCTCTTACTGTTGTCAATGGCCAGCTCTCACCATGCATACCTACATTCATTTCATTCTGCCAAAATGTGGAGATAAGCAGTATCATTGATCTGTTTATCACTAATATGTCCCTCACCAATGCCACTCTCAACATTCATACCGACCTCTCACTCAACTCTGACCACCGTCTGCTTTCACTTTCATTTACATATGCCATCAATCCAACATCACATGCACCACCACCATCTCGCAAAACATGGAACCTCTCACGACTTCAAGAACCTGATGTTCTCAAACTATATGCCCACACATTTGTCACTAATTCCACCAACCTCAAATCCACTTTGCAATCGACCTTCGAACACCCTCCTTCCTCACGTCCACCAATTGATGCACTAACTGATGAATTCAACTCACTCATTTATAATTCTTTAAGTAGCTCAATTGGCAACCGTCCTCCCCGTCCTTCCCACTGGAAAAAAGTCTGGAATTCAGTACTTCAAGCAGCTGCAGAGCACCGCAATTTCTGCTACAAGAAATGGCACTGTGCATGTGGTATAGACAGAATTCATTGGTGGGATAAGCATCTCAAAGCGCAGGCAGAATTCCGACATCAAGTGCAATCATCTAAGCGCCAATCATGGCATGCTTTCTGCAAATCAATGGAACAAGACTTTTCCAAAGCAATATCAAAGATCAAGCAACTCAAACGCCAACGGCAGCCTCAGCACATGTTTCAACATAGTGATGGACCAGCAACAGCAGCAACAATTATGTGTGAGCATCTTGCATCTGTATACAGTGGCAGTATCCTCCCAGATCAGCGTCCTCCTCCTCCTCTTCACAGTACTAGTCTGTCTTTTGCCTCTGCCAGCTCGCCATTTGTTTCTTCAGTGGTAGAGGGATGCATGCAATTTATGCCTAACTGCAAGGCACCAGGCCCAGATCACATCAGAGCAGAAATGTTGAAAGTAATTCGACCACAAATTGCTCCACTACTCTCACTCTTGTTCACCATCTGTTGGCAATGGTCATATGTATCTGTTATTTGGCGTCAGGCTCAAGTTTTTCCCATTTACAAAAAGGGAGATCCATCAATTGCTGCTAACTATCGACCTATTTCACTAACTTCTGTTGTGCGGAAACTGATGGAAATGTGTATTTCTCCAGTGCTTCACAAGTTTTCCCCTCCTCTGGATGTTGCTCAGGATGGTTTCCATCCTAGACGTGGTGCCATAGACCAAGCTCTCTGTCTGCATGACCTCATGAAAGCACACTTCCACCGCCATCACCATTATCCTGTTGTTGCATTCTTAGACATAAAGGCAGCTTATGATACAGTAGACTGACGAGTCATTTGGGATGCTCTTGCTAGACGTCACACACCACCAGCTTTACTTGGACTTCTTGTCAATATGTTTGATGATGTCTCTATATCTGTTCTTCTTGGTAACTTCTCTTCTCATTCTTTTTCTCCTACCACAGGCGTCCTTCAAGGTTCCGTTCTCAGTCCACATTTGTATTCAATCTATATCAACTCCCTGCCACCAATACTTCGCACAGTTGCATCACCACTCACCTCAACACATATCCCATCAACCTCTCCTTCCTCATTGGATGCTTACAATTCTCTTCTTGCCCCATCAGATGCGAATGACTTTCAACACATTCACTTGCCTACTGCCATTAACAGTCTTCTTTTTGCTGATGATGTTGCTATCTTTGGCTCTGTCACTGATGTTCAGAGTATGCTTGATCTTGCTGCCCAACACTCCTTCCAGCTTGGCTACCGTTGGAGTCCTTCAAAATGTGCTGTACTCTATCCTCCTTCACGATCTTTACCACGTTCTACTATCTCTCTGTATGGCGAGTTGCATCCTGCAGTAAATGAGTTTATATACTTGGGTATACCTTTCCGTAACAAAGGCACCTTTGGACCGTCTGTTGTCACTCATCGTCGTTCTGGAGCATTGGCTGCTATGGCAACTCTTACTGCTGTTGGTGCATGTAGATCTGGTTTCAGTTTGCTCTTAAGTTCACATCTGTTCAAAACCTTTATACAACCAAAATTCGAGTATGGTCTTGCAATCACATGTCTTTTGCAAAAAGATGTTTTACTTCTAGAGAAAATTCAAGATAAATGCTTGCAAATGATTGTTGGTGGCCATGCAACTTCATCTACTGCGGTCTTGAAACATATCTGCAACCTGCCCAGTATGGCTTTTCGCGTTGACATTCTTAAAACAAAATTTTGTCTTCGGGCACACACTCTTCCTTCTGGTTGTCTTCTCTCTCTGCTCCAATTTCTTATCATCTCCAAGCATCAACACTATCCACTCTTCACTCAAACCCTCTTTTTGCCAGCATTCCTCCTGATCTTAATTGCTCCAGCCACATAAAACTATCCAAGCACTTTGAGTCTTTTAGACAAGAAAAGTTTGCTCACTTTCGTCTCACCAACACTAAGATTCTCATCCAAGCTTGCCACCCTCTTCTTGAAGTTGATCCTGTATTGTTTCTTCCTGCTACACGCATAGAACGTGGCAGTCTAGTACGTTGGAGAATGGGCTGGTTGCCTGGTAAGCCAAAGGAGTGTGCATGTGGCTTTGATCATACTTCAAGACGCCATTTCCAATTCTGCATCACAATCCCATCTCAGCTGTTCTCTCAACTTTCAGCACCACCCACAGATGAAGACAACATCATTGACTTTGCTATATCAGCACTACCAATCTCGTCTACACATCCAAGCCCTCTATATTGGAAAGCTCTTCTTACAATACTATGGCATATTGACATGCTATGCAATCCTAATGGCAACTACACACATGAAACCGATCATGGTTCTCTCTGGCACTAGCTCTAATAATTTAATATCTGTTTTCTTTTACTTCTTTTCTTCTTATTTTTTGTCTTCTTATTCATGAAATGTTTCTAGATCTGCAATTCTGTCTCCTCCCTTTCACTGTTACAACTTTTTACACAGCTGCAAAGTGGAGAGCAGGTTCAGTCTTTTAGCTTAGTATTGTTTATTTCTCTTCTTCTATTCATTTTTTTGTCTTTTGTGATCCTTTTGGACTTTTTTTATCTTTTTCTTTTGTACTTGCACTGGAAAAATAGGGTAATTTCATCTGGATCAAATGTACCAAAAATGTAGATGATTGAGCCGATATCATCACAATTTTTGTGATATATCATTTTGAGCAATGGTACAATATCATCTATGGTGCTGATGTGTATCATCATAACAACGGGTATATGAAAACCCAATGTAGAACGATTGTCAGTCCGCAAACTATGGAAACTGAATAAATATTGTAGTTACGCTTTACTCCTATCGAGTCTACCTCTTTATGTGTTATATTTTGAGGTCTATAAAGAGTTAGCGTCCCATATTATTATTTTTACTGGGTTTTTTTATTGGCTGTAGAAATGCTTTAAAAACTATCAAAGAGATGATTGTAGGTTTTTTACAATATAAAGAAATGATGATAGTTGGTTTTTTATACATGCTCAAAGTGATGAAACTAGGTTTTTTATACACACAAAAGCAATGAAACTAGGTTTTTTTACAATGGAAAAGAGAAACAAAGCATGGGTAGATTTTTATAAACAAGCCTCTTTGGTTTGTTTATTTATTTTACTTTTATTTATTTATTTTTTGGAAAAACATTGGGTTATACATTTTTTGTTCAATTTTGTTTTATTTGATAGGAAAATCTTTTCTAGATAAAAATTCTAATTTCACGACAGTTTTGATACTATAGCTATTATAATCGCTAATACTTCTTGCTCGCTATATATAATTTAAAGCCTTTTGGGAGTAGACATGGAATACATACTTTAATAGCGGGAATCCTATTAAAAAATGATTAATAGAAAAGAAGAATTAGTAAATGATTTAAATTGAAATTTCTTCATAAATACTTACAAGGCGGAGAAGACTTGACATAAACTTGATATAAACATGTTCTTCAGAATTATCAAGACAATACCAGTAGTCTTTGAATAGAGATACATTCTAAAAATGAATAATTATTAATATTGTGCGTAGTAAAGGCGTATTTATTAAATATATTGTAGTTAACTTACCAAATATTACTGATTATACGTCTTTGTGCATAATATTAGACATAACTAATAAATCATAATAAAAATAAATATATATCTATGAGTACGACGAAAGGATAATTTGAATTTTTTTTAAGAAAAAAACTTACCATGTTCAATTAAGAGATGATGAGACTCAATGGAAATGAGTAGCAATGGCAAGACAAACAATATGATGAGTAACAGAGATCATTAAGAGAATAATATCTTACCTTGATATATCAGACAGAGTATAGTCAAACAAAGAGACACATATTTGGTATCGAGCTATAAAAGAAAGAAAGAAAATTGTAAGTGAAATTGTAAAAACATAAGCAAAAGAGAAACAAAGAAAATATCAATAATAAATGTTGTTAAAAGAAAAAAAAAAAGAAAAAAAAAAGACTTGTCTTAAAATCCAGTTTGACCCTGACAAAATGCGGGCTGTAAAAAGTAATACTCCAAAAGAAGATGACCACCGTCATCTTGAAATACTACTTTGTGTCTCATTGAGTTAGAAAAGAAGTTGTCTAAATGTGGATCAAGCGGTTGGGAGATGTGCTTAAATATCAAATGAAAGGTAGAGAGTTAATCTGCACCGCTTATCCTCTTTACTAGTATGTGAATTTTAAATATGATATAACAAGTGTAGTGAATTGTACAATATTAGTTGAAAATTATTAATATTTATTTTATTAACAGAAAATGACAAAGCGTATTCCTACTGCTCCCCGCCGACCCAACCTACGCATGAATGCTGTTCTTAATAGCACAATTGCAGGTGTTGTTGCTCCAATTGATACACCAACTCCAGAAGTAGCAGTTGACACAGCCCCTGAAGTTCAAGTCGCTGTGACCCCAATGGATCACGTCCTTACCTTGTTGGCAGCCAACAATGTGTCAATGCAATCTTTGCAAGAAAATACAAAAGGAGTGACTGATGCAATAACTCATTTGAAGAATGGTCTGGATTTGTCCAACAAGACAAACGAATTTTTGAAGAACTCGGTCCTTCAGCTCATGACTGAAAATGCTGAAATAGAAAAGGCAATGACCAGCCAAAATTCCATGATGCCTTCTGCTGTACCAGCAGATTCTTCTTCTTCCATGGATGATGATCTTGACCTTGGAGCGAAACATCATCCCTTGATTTCTGTAAGTAAATTGATAATAATAACATTACTGATTCATATATCTAATACTGTTTTTATAGCAACTTATCAATAGTTACATCAAGAAACCGAACTTTGTTAGCACAGACCTGCTCAAAGTTGCTGAGAATAATAATAGATCAGCATGGTCAATGACTGGCACGTATGGCAACAAGTACAACAAGACACTTGCACTGGCTCTCTTCAAGTACCTGAGACCTCAAAGATGTTGCACAAATGTGTCAAAGAGTGTCATTATGAATATAATAAAGAATCACTACCAAAATCAAGTGCAAGTCTTCCGGATCTCAGCAGAGAAGATTATGGCTAGAAATAAAGCTGGAAGAAGACACAACAGAAAGAAGACCGTAAGTTTTAAAATAAAATTAATTTACTATTGATTTAATGTTTTAATACAATACTCTTTGGTAGCTTCTTGACCATCGTATTATCACGTACCAGACATATACAGAGGCTATTCATGAGGGCATGAATCGATATGATTGCGGAAATATTCTTTCTATTGACGTGATGTCTGATGGTGAGTCGGATAGAGATAACAAAGTGCGGGCATATCGTCCCAGCTGGAGAACTGATGAGGTAATGTTAAACATCTATTTATGTTTTAAAGAAAATAATAATACTTTATTAATACTATTTATTCTTTAAACCAGCTCCAGACGTTTATTAGTACTATTGATGAACTTACTGTTATCCGTTTGAAGAAAAATTCAGAAAGCTTGAAAAAGCGCATCCCTTATGAGAAAGAAGTGAGCATTCCCGAGAATTTGGCAGTCACTTTACCAGATTGGTGCTTTTCAAAATAAATCATTTTTTTCTTGCCAACTATTTTAGAGTCTTTTTTCTACTTGTTTATGTTTACGGATTAGCATGATGTATACAGATGCATGTATAGCATGCCAAGTACAAACAAAAATTTATAGAAATAATAAAAAATAAACGTGCAGCTATATATATTAGTCTGTATTAATTAATTTTTGTATTTGAATCTAAATATATATTTTTCGTGGCAAAGGAACTACACACATCTGAACTTCACCTTCTAGACCAAGGTGCTCGCCTACTGCAACTGGATAGCAGATTCTATGCACTGGGAGAATGCTGTTCATGCTGTCATCTTCGAACCCCACCTCATTCACCTCAACTCCTTCTCCTGCTCTGGGCTGAAGTAAAACTTCCTTGTACCATCGTACATATGCAAATACATGCTGGCTCGCATGACCAGCAAACGAGTTTACAGCAGTATTGACAAAGAGGTACTGAATTTGGCCCGCGTATGGCTTGGTACTTCTACCATCACTTGTCTCAAACAAGGCTTGCATGAACGACCCATGCTGATTCTTCGTTTTGCTCTTGTAGATTTGCCCAAGAAGATTGATTGATTCAAACTTCTGTATCCGATTGTTAACAAAATTATCGGAATGACCAGCCTGACGATAATGAACAAGAGTTTGATCATTGTATGTCTCGCAATAGTATTCCAACAAATGCTCATACTCGGATTCATCCATGGAAATCTTCCCCTTTAGAGCTAAAGGAAGTGTGGAAGGGGGCAAAGGCTCGTTTCCCTTGACGATATCAAAGTTGATCTCAGGAGAATCAAGAAAAGCATTGATATCGAATTGGATTGAGGTGGCAGTGGAAGTGGAAGTGGCTATGGAATTGGCAGTGGATGCAGTGAGCTCAAGGATGATCGCCGAATGCTCAGGTCGAATTATTGGCAAAGTTTGGCGAATAAGATCTCCCTGGTATGCTTCTTCAAGATACTTCTTCATATAGGTTCCCTCAAACCCGTCTTTTCTATTTGTCGCATAGTTTTTCAAGATACCATTGCATCTTTCGAAACTAAAAAGCCAATAGCCATAAACCGGGCCAAAGTTCAGTACAGTCTCTCGCAGATGAAGATAGAGATGCATGTTTGGCGAAAGGAATGGGGCTTTATACAACTTCTCGCACTCTCTGCAGAAAGCCTCCAAAGATTGATGGGCTTCATCAAGGTGAGCCATGGATATGCTTGGCATTGAGAGGTACTGGCATGCATTGACAAACGTTGTCCAGTTACCGAGATGAGCTTCAGGTAGACGACCACGCAGGAGAACAGGAGAGTACACCAAGCACCAAGACTTCCACTCGTCGGCCTTCATGAATGGGAAGCCACGCCCGATCTTTGTCCCTAATGGCGTGTAGTCCTCTGGCAGTACAAGCTTGTCAGCATCCAACTGCATTTCGGCCAAGTGTGCATCTGTGATGAGACCTGAAGATCTCCATTTCTCCATTATTCTCTTTGCTGTTCCGAGGTACAGGTTGTGCATCGGATTGATGACAGTGCACTCCACAAGGTTAAAGTAAACCAGGTCATGCAATTCTGACCATCGGACACCATTTTCCCTCTCCAATCTCTTTCTCTGTGCATCACTGCTGGCCATTCTCCACAACTCAGCATCACGGCGGTTTTCGGCATCAGTGCAAGGCACCCACTCAGAAAACACGAACCCAGAGTAGTCTACAGCATTGGAGTCTGGAAGGCGAGGGAACTGTCGGTTGCACTTATTGCATGCACATGTGCTTGAATGAGAGGTGAACCCACAAGTCTTACGGGCAGCAGGAATGTCGCAGGCAACAAGAAGAAGGACAGCACAGACAAGAGCACCAGATGGGCACTGTACGGTAGGCATCACCACACCGCCATACAACTGGTTGAGTTCTGCGACAAGGGGACGGAGGTAGTGATTGATCTCACTTGTCTTTGCTTCCTTGGGCCCTGGCATGAGACCAACGAGAACAACATTCTCCTTCTTGTACCATTCCGATCTTGGCAAGTTGTTGATGCAAAGGTATATTGCACCACAGGAGTAAGTGACCCCATCGAAAGGTTGAAACCAATCGATGTTCATGGTAAGCATTATGGAGCACTCATGATTCACAAACGGTAAACCATTGCTATTCTTCAGACTGTTCCACTTCGTACCATCGTAAATGTCAAACATCATGCCTGGAACTTGCACTCTGATTCTCCAATGGTTGATGATGTCTTCGAATCCAGGGCAGCAAAAAAGGATAGACAATGTTTTGATTATGAAGTTATACATGTAGATCTTTTTGGGGATAGTCAAGGCTCTTGATGTTGCAAAGAAAAGAGCGTTTCCACATTCTCTACCAGAGAGTCTCTCGAAATTACAGCACTCTGGAACAACATCGGACTCTTCGTATACTTTGTTACAATTGCCACATGCAACAAACCGCTGGACACCTTGAGTCACGTTGCTGAGACCGGTCATAGAGTTGACACCGTTTATACTGAGGGGAAGACGGAAAGACTGTCCAAAGTGTGCCAATACTTCGTTAAGAAACTTTAACAGAACAGCACCACCAGAATTGACAACATATTTGGATATGAAGAAGGCAGCAAAAGAAGCAATGAAAGCATGAGTAGGATCAACTGGCATATTGGATGAAGAAAAGTGCTCTATTTGAAAAAAAATCAATACTTGTTGACTTTATTGATTTATATGTGCTTTTTGTACTAACCTCTAACATCATCAGATTCATCGTCAGAAATATCTAAAATGGTTGCTTCAATGACACCCTCATCTTCGCTTTCAGAATCAAACAAGGAATCAATGCCAAAAAGAGGTAAGTCTTCGGCTGTTTTGTTAGGTAAAAAAGAATCAAATTATTAGATATTATAAATGATTATAAAACTTTAATAAAAATACTATGCATACCTTCAACTTGATCTTCGGCATCAACATTGTATTCAAAGTCAATCTCCATGTCATTGTCATTCGACATTACTTCTATAACTGAGGCTATATTATATGAAAATAAATATTTAATTAAAATTGTCTCAATAATAATTTTCTTAAATTTGAACTTACAAGAAGATCCTGACTGATATTGTCTCACGATATCCTGTTGTGCATGTCTTCTGAGTGTTTGGGTAGACACCAAAACAAATCCCATGCTATTGGAAGAGCATTTAGAGCACTTGTATTCTGAATTGTTGTTGTTTTTTGACATATTGTGTGCATATGTTTTATTTTTTAAGTCTTTAGAATTGACAAGAATAGAAAATTGTTCAGGAACACAATTTAATATATATCTTTCCAAATTACACCAGCTTCCAAAATGACATAGTTTATTCCGGCTGTTAAAATGGGCAGTTCTCTAAACAGTAATTGATTGCCTCATTCTAAAATACAATAATACACACTTTTGTTAAAACATGTCGTCATGTACATTTTATTAGCTGTAGAGCATATACAACAAAAATATTTGTAGTAATATCACGACCATTAACCTCATCATACTTATAAATAAATATTACAACAATAAAAATCTTTATTATCTCACTCAAAAGATATCATTTGGTTTAAGTTTCCTACAACTATTGACTCTGCAACATGGCTACAAGTCCCAAAAAGAAATCTCGCAGACATTTTTTACAAAAAAGAGTAAACTCGTTTTTTTATCCAATAAAACAGACCAAGCATTATCATCGCCGTCGAAAATAAAAAAGACAAAAGTGATGGAAATTTAAGCTACCACTCCACAAATAATAGTACCCTACACCATAGATGAAATTACCCTATTTTTCCAGTGTTGGGAGGCTATATGATCTATAGATTGCCAGCAATATCTCCTTAATAAAAATAATCTTTAACCTGAGCTACATCCCCCACTTCTCTTTCACGTAAGCTTTATGTCTTTAAATTTTGGGTTTTTCAAAGTTTGCATCCATACAATTCTATCATCAATCCATCCAAAATATTGCTTCAACTATTGCATCCATTGTCAAACACGACGCATCTACCCTTCCCACCACCGCATCCATTGTCAAAAAATTTTTTCTATCGTTCCTGCCATTTTATCACCAATTTTCACTTTTTCTCTGCCGATTGCTGCCATCTCAAGATCATCGCCAAACATGTCGCAATTGTTGCCTGCTAATTGCATGCAAAGTCTGCCAGTCGAACTTGTGACGTTTTTAACCAGTATGCAGTCACAGTTCAATGCACTTAACGAACGTACAGCACATTTGGAATCTCTTGCTGCTGAAAATGTCCAATTGCATGCTTAATTAGCTAATGTCCGGCAGGAGAATGCTGATCTTCGATCTCAATTATTGCAAAATAATGTGACTGGTCCTGTTCTCAACTCTGCTTCTCTTCCTGCACCCCAGTCAACTGAAGATCTTGGAACTGCTGCCTCCACTTGGGCCACCAAAACAAGCTTGATTCTGCCAGCCAAGACATCTCGAGTTCCTTCTGCCTGCCGGGTTGCTGCCTCTCAAAGACTGTTCTCTGACAAAACTGGTCCTGATGGTTTTGAATATGTTTATATTCCTCGCTCACGTCTTATTATGCACAGTGAAGTGCGCCGCTCTCTCCGCACTCTTGGTGTTGATACTGGTCATCTGTTAGATATTAACTTTCCTGCTCATGGGGTTATTGGAATTCTTGTTCATGTGCAGTATCTTGAGGAATTTAAGTCCCAATTAGCTAGTGCTAAGGTCTCTCTTGTCAACAACTTTGATCCACTTGATCCTAAAAATGTTGCTGATCCCAAGTTTGCTAACTTGTCTGTCTCTGGTCTTGAAACCCAGGCTTTGGTTCTCCAAAATGCCCGCTGTCTCCAAGCCCTCAAGTTTTTGTGTTCTCACTTAGTTCTGCCAGTTGCTCACTTCTTTGTCCAGTCAGGATGGATTGGACTTGAGGAAATTCCTGCCCGACCAGTAGCTGAACACTTTGGTAATGCTCCAAACAAAAAGCGTGCCCTTGATGCTCTCACTGCTATGATTGAATGAGTGACCTTTCAATAGGATTGTGGAATGCTAATGGACTTCAACCTTGTGCAATTAAAGACGTGCTCAACCACTGTCAATCTCTTCATATGCTTTTTATAACTGAAACATGGCTCTTATCCCCAGCCCGTCTTCCAACATCATGGTCTCAGTTTCATCTCTACGGATCTCCTGTTGCTGGCAACTACTGCGGATCAATGGGAGTGTCATTGTTAGTCTCTCCTTCCTGTCCTTATGCTGTCACACAAATATCTATGCCCAACAACTATGCTCTTGCTGTCAAGATTGGTACCCTTCGACTTATATGCCTTTACTTACCACCCTCTATGCCCACTCATGAAGCTCTTGATATCCTCTCAGCCATTCCTTTAACTGATGATACCATTATATGTGGAGATTTTAATGCACGCCTTGGTTCAGTAACTGGTGACTATGCATCTAACCCTCGTGGTGTAGCTTTAGAGCAATGACTTGAAGAACGATCTTTAACTGTCCTCAATGGAGTTCTCTCACCATGCACACCCACATACATTTCCTTTCGTAACGAAGTTGAAACCAGCAGCATCATTGACCTTTTCATCACCAACATCAACTTCGCCAACCCTTCTTTACACATTGCAACCAAACTATCTTTAGGCTCTGATCACCGACTTCTCTCACTTTCCTTTACTTATGACCTGCAACACTCACCACCAGCATCTCCACCTATGCGCCAAACTTGGAATCTGTCACGTCTTTATGAAGATGATGTCAGATCATTATATGACACCACCTTTGTCACCAAATCCGCCTCCCTTCTCACCACACTGCAAGACCTTGTTCAGAATCCACCAACTATATGTTCACCCATTGATGCTCTTACTAACTCTTTCAATGCACTCATTTATGACTCTCTTAGTAGCTCAATTGGTTCTCGCCCCCCTCGCCCCTCACATTGGAAATCGTTTTGGATCCCTGCATTGCAAGCTGCAGCCGACCATAGAGATGGTTGTTACAAGCAATGGCGTCGAGCTTGTGGCATTGACAAGATCAATTGGTGGAGCCGGCACCAGCATGCACACAAGGAGTTTCGTCAGCAAGTTCAGACAGCAAAGCATTTGTCTTGGCATGCTTTTTATCGCTCAATGAACTCGGATTTCAACAAGGCCACATCTAAGATAAAACAGTTGAAACGGCGCAGACAACTATAACACACATTTCAGCATGATGATGGCCCAGCAGTCGCAGCAACAGTTATGTGTGACCATCTTACATCTGTCTATAGTGGACATATTCTTTCTAACATTCGACCTTCACCACCACTCAACACCTCTCTCATGCCTTTTGCCTCTGTTGACTCCCCATTCACCTCATCAGTGCTGGAGGCCTTCATGCAATTTATGTCTAACCACAAGACACCGGGTCCTGACCACATCCGTGCAGAAATGCTAAAGCCCATTCGGTCTCACATCTCACCTCTCCTTGCCTGTCTTTTCACCATCTGCTGGCAATAGTCATACACTCCTTCTCTCTTGTGGTATTTCAGATACGAAACAATAGAAAAATAAAATATTTGATAATAGAGCCATATACAAATACTTTGAGACTGTATATAAGTTGTCTTTATTCATAAATAAAAAGTGTCTCTTTTTATAAGAAAACACAATCTGCTCTTGTCATTACGTCTTAGTTTCTTAAGGCTTTCTTCCTTTACTATATTTGGTTATTAGAGTGTATTTACTGCTTAACTAGTGTTGGTGTTACAATTATGACATCAAGTCATAAATTGTACTTCTTTAGCTCTTAGCTATTCTTTTCTCTTTTATACTAGAGCTTTTGGACTTCCTACTAAATTAGCTCCATATCGATCTGACACAGTTTACCTGGCAGTATGATATAATTATCTTCACAATCTTTAAGATATTATCTACAGTACTAACTGTAATAATTATTGGGCTAATTACTTAATCATTTATATAAATTTTATACTGACAAGATGATAGTTACTACACTATTCCAATATGAATATGTTTTTATATGTGATAAATCCAACATCTGAGTGTCTGGATCACCACATCTCTGGCGCCAAGCCCAAATATTTCCTATATTTAAAAAGGGTAACCCTCTAGATGCTGCGAACTACCATCTCATCTCCCTTACTTCTGTAGTGCGCAAGTTATTTGAGATGTGCATAGCTCCTGAGTTGCATAAGTTCTCTCCTCCTCTGGATGTTGCCCAAGGTAGATTTCGTCCTCACTGTGGTGCTCTTGACCAAGCTCTCTGTCTGCATGACCTGATAAAAGCTCATTTTCATTATCATCATCACTATCCAATTGTTGCTTTCTTGGATATTAAAGCTGCCTATAACACTGTGGATAGACGTGTCATTTGGAATGCCCTTGTCAGACGATCCATATCATCTGCTCTACTTGGACTTTTAGTCAACATGTTTGAGGATATGTCTATCTCCGTTCTTCTTGGCAATTTCTCCTCACATTTATTTTCACCAAAAACAGGCATGCTTCAAGGTTCAGTTCTCAGTCCGCATCTATACTTGAATTTCTGAAGGTTTATCGGGTTTTAAAGCTCCGAATTCAAACTCTGCCCTTTGCTTACAGTGTCATAAAGCAATCTGTAGATCACTAGTTCAATTCCCACAAAAGACATATAAATATTTAGTAAAATATAACATAAATAAATCATTATTATTAATTATTTTAAAGTTTGTTTTCTCTATTAATTTGTGACTTCTTGTGATGTGCATATACTTAAAACAATGCCGTGAATGTAAGCTATATAGCTTCAGTTTAAGCGTCACATAACGTCACAAATTGATAGAGAAAATATAATTATAAAGTTTATAGTATTTATTTTACAGCAGTCTTAGGGGACGGGGGGTTTTTGGCTATGGGGACGGGGGGGGGGGGGGGGTAATGGCACCGCACAATTTAAGGTGACTGCGAGTCCGAGGCCCGGCTATAAAGTGTCTTGAAGAACCCCCCGTCCCCATTCTTTATAAGCACATCTTGCTCTATTGTTATAAGTACACCCCTGTCCCCATCTTTGGATCATTCCAATTTCCCGGGAAAAATAAAAACACCCCCTTTCTTAAAGTCATTAACATTTAGTTGTAAGAATAAAAAATAATATTTTCAAATAACAAGATATGATGCCTTTTTTACGTTATGTACATTGCATACATTGCATACATGAATCAATAAAAATACTTATATAACTACAGTGCTCTTTTATTAAATATGAAGACCAACTTCAATACCTCTATTGAGAAGATGTACTTGCTTAAAACCACTCTCTCATTCTCCGAGAATGGTTATCCTGACAAGCAGAGTGTTCTTCAAGCCATAAAAAATTACGCCCTTTCTAATAACTTCACCGTTAAGATTAAGGAAGGAAAATTCCCTATTCTTCACATTGCTTGTTCAAAGACTGGTGTTTATCATGACAAGTGCAATATAAGTGATGAGAAAAGAAAGAAGACGCCCAACTCTTCTCTTACTGGATGCCCCTATCTCTTAAGATTTTCTTATAAGAAGAAGAGCAAAATATATCTTTCTTTGTTCACCTATGGAGAAAACGAACATTGCCACAACCACCCTGTCACCCCTGAGAATTTGGCTTCTTCTCACCAAGGAAGAATATCTCTTTTGACTGCTGAAGATGCCACTATTGCAAAGACAATGTTGGAGAATCACGCCAAGTCCCGTGATGTTCAGAAGGCAACAAGTGACAAGGTGACAGGAATGAGAAAGCTGAGGATCAGCGATATCAACAATCTCAAGTACAGTGCTACTCGTGGTGATGAGGAGTCTGCCCATGGCGCTACTGAGCTCATCAGAACAATAGAAGGAAAGGGATTTTCCGTTCTCTACGAGTTTAATAAGAGAAATAGACTCACTCATATATTTTTTACAAACGATATAATGATCAAGAGAGCTTGACGTTTCCCCAATGTCTTTATTGTGGATGCTACATACAAGACAAACTGCGCGAAGATGCCATTGGTTTGCGTAGAGGGTGTCAGTAACCTAGGTGGAGAAAGGTTGAAGAGCTTTCCTGTGGCCTTTGCATGGGTAGCCAATGAGATAGAGAAGAGCTATGTTTGGTTTGTGAAGTCTCTGAAAGCAATTGTTTTGGAGGGGGTTGATAAAGCCCCTATATTTGTTACAGACAAATGTAAAGCATTGATGAATGCACTTGATTCCGAGTTCCCCTTGGCCAAGAAGCTTCTGTGTGGTTGGCATATGATCAACAACATTGCCAAAATGGCAAAAAAAACAATGAAGCCAGGAAAAGAAAAAGAGTTGTGCACACATTTAGTCAACAAAATGATCTTCGGAGATAAATGCGATGTCTTTGATGAAAATCTTGAACTTTTCAAATTGCTGTCATCTCGGAAAGATTTCCAAAGTAAAGAGCAGCTAGAAGACAATGATGATAATTCTACGAAGGTTGTAGAAAAAAGAACTCTAGAAAAGTACTTTGGAGATGAGTGGATGCCATGCAAGGAAAAGTGGGCTGGTTACCTCACTAGTCAATTAAAACATTTTGACTGTGTGACAACACAACGTGTCAAGAGTGGCCATAATGCTCTGAAAAGAAAAATATCGGCTCTTCAGTCATTGAACTCTTCATTTGAGCAAATTTGCTCCTATCTTCTCCAGTTTGAGGGCGACTATCAGGACCTTGAGTTGAATGAGGCAACTATCACAGATGCCAGAATATACCATGAACCTTGCCTCCATAGATTGATTCACCACGTCTCCAGAATTGGTTTGATCACCATCCGTGCTGAGCTTCTAGAAGAGGTTGTACCTGGTGAGCTTTGCAATTGCAGAGTAAAAGTGGTGTTTGGTCTTCCTTGTCACCATGATCTGCCAAGAGATCATATGTTGCTATTATCAGACATTCCTGAAAGATGGATTCTGTCTTCTTCTTTGGGTGAACGTTTGAAGCAACTGGAATGTGACGTTTCTCTACAGAAAATCGACATTGAAAAGTCTGCCCCATGGGTGAAATGTATAACAAAGCTTGAACAATTGTTTCGTCAGTGTGAAGGGAATCAACAAGTCCAGAATCTTATGGCAATGGTTGATGAACTTTTTGACAATGCTGGTGAAATAATTGACTATCCAAATGTTGTATTTCCTTTGGCAAGTGAGGTCAAAGCTCCTGGAAGACCTAAGCATGTCAAAAGGAAAACTGCTCTCCCAAAGGACTTTGTCCGTCACAAGCACAGACATCTTCTTGTGCAAAAGAACAAAGTAAGCATGCAACATACACAAACATGATATCACAATCTAATACATATTTATTCTTTATTTCTTTAGAATGATATCAGAAGTATTTTGAAAGAAGGACTTAAAGAAGTGATGAAGGAGTTCTTAGAGGAAGAGCCTCTCAAAAAAAGTAATTTATAATTGTTTTTTTTGTGAAATTACAATGTAATATCTAATGCTTACTATCTCTAGTCATAAAAGAAATAAAAAAAGAAACCCAATTCACTGAAAAACAAAAGCCTCTCGAAGAAGGTAATTTTTGATAACTTATAAATGAATCACAAAATATTTTGTATGGTTTGCTCACACATTGCATGTTTTCTCTATAGTTAAAACAACCAATTTTGCTAAAAAGCAAGAGTCTCTCGAAGAAGGTAACCAATAAGATATTTTACTAAAATTAAATGCTAAATGTTACATTGTTTTTTGTTTCTTCTTAGCTGAAAAATATTCCTCTGGAATTAAAAGACCTAAACATCTCCAAGACAACTACTGGTACGATTTGCCTAGTCCAAGAAAACAAAACAAAAATGTGCATGACTTTGCTCTGCCTGCTCAAATCGACCAAGCCGTCATTTCGTTGACATTTAACCCCAAGTCCGATGGTTGGTGCGGTTTCCGTGTATTTTCACACCTGAAAGAGGGTGGAGAGGATCAGTTTCCTTTGGTGAAGAAGAAGATGTTGGCCACGATGGCAACCCACGGTAAACTTTACAAGCACAACTTTGGCATGGATGTTGCCAAAGTGACAGAGGTCATTGCCTTTGGCTCCGAGATTGACCCTGCTCTTGGGAAAAATATCCCATCTTGCCCTTCCTCTATGTGGTTCTCTGCACCAGACTGTGCTCAGATAATAGCTGACACCTATAACGAGCCTGTTTGTGTGTACTTGGACAATCGGAGCATCTTGCCTGTAACTTTCCTTCCCCTTCATGATCGGAAGCCTCTCAAAAGAAAGCCATTGCCGATGGTCTTGCACCATGTACATGGGTGCCACTGGAAAACAATTAAAGTGAAGCCTCATGTACATCGGTCCTGGCCTGAGGTAAATGCGCTGTATTTTGATGCTATCCGTAGAGGGAGTATCATTGACTGCTTTTCCACAAGTTGGAATCATTGGGGTCAGTTCCCAAAGAACAAGTCTTATCTTTTACCCTCCACTACTACAACTACTACAATTACTACTACTGCCACTAACTCTCCTACAAATTCTCCCATAAATTCTTCCGATATTATTGACCTCACACATATATAACTTATCTATCTTTCTATCTTTTAATATACTTTACTCCTATTTTTTTCTTTAATTTTTTAACAAACACAATTGCACCCAGTCTGTCCTTAATTTTAATGTTACATGTAAAACCTAGATACAAATATTATTGGCATCCAACTAATTGGAAGACTATATAATTGGCTTTTATTTTTTGGAGTACAAAGTCTGTGCATTTATAAGCAATCTGATTAAGATATTCATCCAATCACAGACGTAAATTTTACCATAAAAGATGTAAAACAGAAACAACACATAGCTTTTGATAGATTTCTGTCTTAATTCGAATGCTAAAGCTTGGATATTTTGCCGTATTGCTGAAAAAATACATACATCTCTATATCCAAAATTTGAAGTTAATTTATTATGTTTTGGTTGAATAAACAAGCAAAATATACACTTTTTTTCACATTTTTAACCATTTAAGATAGATTGTTTTTTGCTAATAAATATCTTTTCTACATAATAATATGGTCTAAAACTTTTACTGAAACATTTTTTTACTATTTTCTATTGATATAAAGCACTTGCAAGTGATTTTTACTAATATTTTCAAATTGTTGTTTTTTTGTTCAATCTTTCACAAATGAAATGCACAGAACTTTTGTAATTCACTCATTAAACGTGATTCAAAAAATATTACAAAACAAACAAATACTCACTTTATGCAGAAGAAATCAACAAAACCAACCATTTTACTCTCATATTTCTATCTATTTTTTTGAATGAGTTATGAATTTTTTAAAAATAAATAAAAATGAAAATGAAAAGTTACGGACAAATGTTCTTCCACTTTTGCATGATTTTTCTTAGTGAATAAAGACAAGTGCTTATACTGGATGGGGACAGGGGGGTGACTGGTTTTTAGGGGACAGGGTGTTACACACAGAAACGATGGATGTCTGCTGGACAAGTTAAAAGTAGTCACGCCTCTAGTTATCTGCCAGACTACTCACTACAAGCTTGTGTAACACCCTGTCCCCATCATCCAAAAACCTCCTGTCCTCTAAGATTTACGTTTATTTTAAGTGTTATAATCTTATAAATAATATAGTTTGTGTGGCTTAGTCACGTGCCACGTCACAGAAAAGTTTTTTTGATGGCTTTTATTTTGTTTAAATATTATATTCATTTGTTTTTTTTTTGCTTTCTTTTCTTTTATTTCCACTTTATTTATTTTCAAATGGATAATCAATCTTTTTTATCAGTTTGTCTATTATCTATTCCTTCTTTGCGCTATGTAATGGCGTCAACATATACATCTGAAGTTGCAAAACAGTAAGTAAATAAGTTATTTTTAATTATTATATATTAATATTTAATATATATAAAGATATTTGATTGCATGAGGTGCTTTATATCGAAGAAATCATATTATTTTTACTTGTTCTGGTGGCATTTCTATGGACTATATATTTGAAAAAGACAGAGGCTACAGTTACAGATGCAATGGAGTAAATAGCATGGGAGCAACATGTTGTAAAAGAGAAAGAAAATCTGAAAGATTGAATTCTTTCTTTGCACAAAGACATCTTTGCTATGATATTGTTATGCAAGGAATATATTACTGGTTAAACCGGATTCCTAGAATGACAATGGGAGTTATGCTTGGTGTTTCTCCTGGACCTATGAGACATCTCATTGCTAGTATTCACTAATTGATTCAAATGGATTTAACGAACAATGACATGAGAATTGATAAGTTTATAAGAGTTAAATATATATAGATATATTAAATATTTTTATAGGAGGTATTGATGCCAATGATTAATTCATTATTGTTGAAATTGATGAAAGCAAATTTGGAAAGAGAAAATATCACCAAGGACATTGAGTAGAAGCTGTTTGGGTTCTGGGAGGTATTAAGAAAATAGCAGAACGAAAAACATTTTTGGTGACAGTTCCTCAGAGAGATGCTGCAACTCTCCTTCAAGTGATAAAGAAGTATGTAAAGCCCAATAGCATTATTCACACAGATTACTGGGCTGCATATGGGGGATTGACATCAGTGGTTAATATGAACTATACTCATAGAACAGTCAATCACAATGGTGAGTATGTTACATCTAATGGTATTCATACCAATACTATAGAAGGTAAAATATTATAAAAGATAAAATTATTTTATTAACTTTTATTACATAGGTCTCTGGAATGAAATAAAAATGAACTGCAAGGCCAGATTGCGAACAAAACAAATGGTGCCATGGATGTTAATAGAATTCATATGGAGAAAAAAATATGAGAACAGATTGTAGCAAGGAATGCTAAAGACGTTAGCTGAGGTTTCTTTTGGAAGCCTTGTTGAAGACCCAATATTTACAAATTATGAATATTTAGAAGATGATGAAGATGAAAAATATATTAATTCTACAATGTTTTAATAAAAAAATTTAAGAAATATGGATTTAAATTAATTTGTTTTAATAATATTAAAACGATAATATAAAAACAAAACATAAATACATTTTAATTCAAATATATCAAAAGAACAACATCATTCAACATCTAATATTAGGTATAAGATAAGCTTTATATCTTAAAAGAATCCAATAAAAAATATAGAGTGCAAAATGCATTTAGCCAGAATCAAACCAGAGTCTCCACATCAGCAAACCATAACTGTAAAAAGTAGGCCATAAGTATATGTAGTCGAAAAACATTTATTATGTGAAATATATAGCCCCTAATTTAAAAACATATTTGTTACCTTTCTTACATAAACTTTGAAACTGCATTATCTTCACAACAAAAAACAGTACTAAAATGTGACAACTATTGATTAATATTTACAAAATTCAGGCTATCCAAATCTGGTTTTGCCATTATTATAAGACAAATATTTGCAGAGTAATTTTTAAAAAAGATATTAAAACACAGATATATAGAACACAAAAAATGATTGGTTTTTAGCTTAAGAACATTGATCTGATTTTGAAAACTCATAAAGATATTATCCATATCGGTAGTTTAAATCCGGCTTTAAAAACCCCATAAACCTTTATTCAACCAAAAAGATGATATCTTTTCAAATAGACATTTCACTTCTGTTGCAGCAGTTTCTGGAATTGCACTTCCAGTAAAACTTCTTTCTACTATCACTACAGGAAAAAAAGTGGTCTTTTTGGTGGTCTTTTAGATGATATTTTAGGTGGTTTTTTGGGTGGAAGTTTTGGTAAAACCAGCAAAAAGACTATCCCTATTTTTGGAAATATAATTAGATCTCTGTTGACTGATGGATGTTAGGTTTTATTCATATCCCGATATTTAAATTTAAGTATTATTCTTCTTGTTCTATTGGTAGAAAGAAAATAAGAAAGAGCTTTCTTATTGGTATAGATGGAAAAAAAGAATCTTTGTATTGTCACTCATAAAATACTTTCATTATACTGCTACTTTTAATTGGATAATATAAACTTTATTGCAGTATGCACATTGATAGTATTGGTCATTTAAACAAAAGCATTCTCTCAATTGGTTCTCATATATATATTCTGATTCATTCACAGTTTTAATTGGGCAAAAAAAATTTATTTCATAGAAGATCATTATTTAAAAATGTTTTTATTGGTTGTTATAATAGAAATAATATTTTATTTATGAATCGTACTGGCTAAAATTCCTTCAGATTATTACATATTCTCACATTAATTACACAATTTATTGTATCTACCAGATATGAACTTACCAGAGTATTCTTGCTTCTTACACCCTCTCCAGAGCTGGCTAACCCTTGCAATTGATGCCCAGTTTCTGTGGCATCTGGTAAAATCGATTCCATTGTCTCTGAGTATGATGAAATGATTGATACACAGCCTGTTTTTATTCTCTTGAAGAAGCAATGACCAGCCAGAGTTTGTTCCAAGATCCTGAACAGATGGAAGAGCTGCCAGTTGATCACATATGACCTTGGTACATGTATTAACAATTCTCTTGGTTTCCTCAATCAATTTTCTTCTAAGATCGTCTCTTATCATCTTGTATATATGCTTTAAAGTTATATCATTGATTTTTGATACGGGTCTTGGAATGATGCCAGTAAGAGTCTATTATGTTTGACATTAATTGAAAGGACTTTAGTTGTTATAGTATTTGCTTACACTAGTAGAGGTTACAATAGTTCTATCTGGAAATTCCTGATCTTTAAATTCATTGTAAAAACTTGTCATTTGAAGTTGCATCGCATCTTGTTTTTTTTCTAATGCTTCTTGACGGCCTAGCAATGCTTTTTGACCACTCTTTAGAGAAATAAGTGCAGCTTGTATTTCTTGAAGCAACTGAATCACTGTATTGTTTGTATTGTTCATAATTGTAAAAAGAATCAGTTATGTGTTTGTTATAGAAAAAGAAAGAAAAAGAAAAATTTTTACCAGAAACTATTATTAGTTTCAAATCTTTAGCTTCAATTTTTTAGCTTCAAATTATTAGTTTCAAATTATTTGTACAAATCTATTGGTTACTCCTGAAGAAACATTGATTTAGTAACTTCATTGATGACATACAGATAATTCTTTAAGATCCCGAGCATATATTCAGAACGCATATAATATCATTGTCTTTATATAATTAAGTATAAAGCTATATATTCAGAAAGTAATTAATTCTATTCTTACTTATATAACAAAGTTTTTTTTTACCTACCTAAAACATGTCTAAAATTACAAAAGCCTCTTGTTACCAATGCCGTACTTGCAAGTCAATCTTTAATAACAGTCGAACATATAAAAGATGTCTCGAACGATGCATGACAAATAGGGCAGAATTACTTGACAATGGCGAAGTTTCCCAAACTGTCTCTCTTCCTGATCAAAGCCAGTTTACATCAGCAATGGTTCCTAACTTGGCTTTTGGGTAAGTTTATCAAAAGCAAAAACACAACACGATAGACAGTATATTAATTAGCTGTATACTTTGATAAACAAACAGAGAAAACATCAACATAAGTAGTAGTGAGGATATGGATATCATTGAAAGTACTGAAGATGATGAGTCCATGGTGAGATACATAAATACATATATTATGATAATCATACTTATTGTTGTTTATCTTACTATAGTACGATTTTGGAGAAGAATGCAAGAATGTCATTGACAAAATTGAAGGCACCACACCCTCACTAGACTTTGATTTTAGCCAGCCTCTTCCTGTTCCCAGCAATGATGATAAAAAGAATCTCGCGTTCATGCAGTCGATCCAAGAGTTTAGAATTTCTTGTTGAGCCCACGAAAAGATTGTAGAACACTTCAACCAGATCCTTGATTGTTCTATCAATATTATGTACTGAGCATGCAGCCCACACCTTGGAAACAAGCTTCTTGAGCACTTCTTGGATATCAAAGCAGACGGATACAACATTTGCATCAGAGGTTGTATGCAGTTCAACAACAAGAATGATATCACATACGTAAAATGCAGTGAAGCAAGATACAAAAATGGCCAAACTAGCGAAAGTGACACCAGGGTTCCTGTGTGATCGATCGTACAGCTTCCTTTGTGCTTGGCTGATGACAAGACCAGGGCTGAAATGTTCTATCGTCATAACCACCAATCCAGCCATAATGGGCAGAAAGCAGATGTTTTTGATGGTCATGTATACCAATCCATGAAGTATCTGTTTTCTGGTGAAAACGATATTGCGATTTCGTTGTCCATGGATGGGTTCAACCCACACAATGTACCTGGATCAGTAACCATTGTTCATGCAACTGTCTTGAACTTGAATCCGACGATCCATTATGAGAAAAACAGGATGATCCAAATAGCAATGCTTCCTGGTTGCACTAGTCCCAGTGCCATCTGGTCTTTTCTTGAGCCAACGCTGAGAGATCTCCATTTGCTCCAGACAGAAGGCATGGAAGTAAAGACACTGACAACAACAATCAGGGCAAAGATACATATCCTCATGGCCACTGGCAATATTCCAGCTCTGGCAAAGCTGGCATGCCATGTTAGTCACACAAGTAAGAATGGCTGTCGTATTTGTCATGTAGTGGGCCAAACTCCTAAACATGGCCAGTACTTCCGCATGTTGCCTGGAACCCAGACGCACTTACTGGAGAGTTTCAGAAACTACAATTTGGCAAGCAGTGAAGACAGAAAGGGACTCAATGATCAGTCACCGTTAGCCTCAATAGAAACATTCTCTGGCCCGTTTTTTTTCGCGTTAGACAAGATGCATGGTCTGTGCCACGGAATTGGTAAACAGGTATGGGGACTTGTATGCGGAAAGTATGGAATCAAGCATCTTCTATGTCTTTCTCTTGCCACTCAAAGGGAGATTGGTGCTGCAATGGTAGCTGCAAAATCCACAATCTCTACATCATTGCATGGTGCCTGAAGATACGTGACAAAGAATGCCGGTTTCTTTAGAGCTGTGAATTGGGCAGACTTTTTATTCTTTGTTGTCCCCACGTTGGTTGCAGAGCGTGTCCAGGACTTGGTTGCCCGAAATGCATTACTTGGCCTAGTTCAAACATGCAATTTACTCATGAGCTAGGAGTTATCAGCAGAGGATCAAACCTCAATAAGAAGATATGTTTAATGCCATATTTTATTTCATTTTTCATAGTAATTTACTTTTATCTTTTTTCTTAGTAATCTTGTAGAATGGAACTTATTTCTAGAGAGTCTTCTTTCTACAGCAGATATTGACATTGGCGTGTTCACAATTAACCAGCACATTATTCAGCATTATCCTCAGATGATTGATCTATATGGCCCGCCAAGAGCATATAGCACACGATCTGTGGAAAGAGCCATTGGTGAGTACTCCAGGTCTATCAAGAGTAACTCCCAAGTCAGTGTCAATGCTGAAAACATCATGATCAGACTGGCAAAATCGTGGCATGTAGCGGAACTGACAACTGTTGCAAACACAAAAACTCCACCAGCTAACCTTCTAGTTTACAGTGCATATACTGATGGGTGGCCTGTTACAGAAGGAGGTGATCCTGCCAATACTGAGTGTGAGATTGAGTTCTGGGGGCCTTTGAAGAATTTAACAATTTTCGATAGCTTTGAAGATAGATCTCATCTTTCTTTGCTTCTTAAAACGTTTTATGATTTGAATGGGGAAGAATGTAGTATGCTTGAGCCTTCCATAAAGACAAGCTGCAAGACCTATCTTAATGGTTGTGTTATTGACACTGCATTCAACCAAAGTTCTACAAGAGACATATGTCATGTTCATGTGCAGCTACAAGTGGACATGAACTCCAGAAGATCCCGCTCTTACCATCCAGGATATAAGCATTTCTTCGGAAAGGTGGTTATATTCTTCTAACATGTACACAACTCGAAGAGATGGCCACTAGCTCTCATAATCATATATAGTATGTATTTGAAAAATGGATTGCCTATTACATCTGTAGTAAAGCCGAAGACTATAGTGATTCATGCCAGTGACATTGTAGAGTTGGTTGGCTTGATGCCATCAAATGTCAATGGTAGTCATTACATCATTTGGCCTAGCCTTAAACGTGGCCCAAAATTGACACTTGCACTGCAAAAGACCGCTGATTTTAGTTCCTGAAAACCTGCAAAAATTTTACTACAATTTTCGATTTTTAATTTTTTCAAATAATTTCTATTTTTTTCTGTTGTGATTTCAGATCGCTCTTTTTTAGCTGTAAAATCACACTACCATCATTTTTTTGGCCATAAAATTACAAAATTGGGTTTTTTTTTATATTATACACTTCTTTGATATAATTCTAAATTACATTGAAAAAGCACTTATACAAAAGTTAATATAATATTTAATAAAAATTATATATATTCTTAAGGTTTCACTTTTTCTATTTCAAAATAAATCATTTAAATATTTTTTATGTATTATAAATGTGAATATAAAAACAAATATTTAATCCATATATTTCAAGGGAACGAGACAAAAGGTTGTGATTTCATTTTTACTGTGGCAATATTTTTGCGTGATTTTTCCCTTTGATATATGGAACTAAAATATCAGATTTTTTTATTTCACATGTTGTGAGAGGCGAATGTTTCATTTTTGGATTATTTTTCGTCATGGTCGAATCATCGTCATATCAAATATTATAATTCTAAAAAAAGACTTTTAAAAAAAATTGCGTACACTTTTAGTAATGTGCGCAGTATTTGACTTGGTTAATGACTTAACAATATATGAGTATAATTATGATGATATGTGCGGTAGATGTATCAAAGAATTACTTGGCATACTATAGTCATGGCATGGAGCAGTATTTTATCTATTTATAATTTATTTTTTTTGGTATATAAAGACCTTGATCAAGATCTCTTAAAATCTATACAATTTTTTTTATAATTTAAAACAATTGACATGTCCAATAATCAAAAGAAAGACAGTTATGTTATCTGCGAATGTCTAGACTGTACAAAGTTGGATAGCTGTGGAAAGAAACAGAAAAGACAAAATGCACAACGACACTATGAGAAACATATAGTGCCTGTTGCCAAAGATGATGCAATGGGTAAATAACAAGAATAACTCGAGCTGTACATGTAAAATTAATATAAATTAATTCATAAAATAGATGTTCCTGAAGAACATTTTGACGACATGGAAGTAGATAGTATTGACAGTGACAATGACAATGATTATGATTACGAGAACGAAGGCAAAGGCGAATATGAAGACGAAAATGAAGAACAAAACATTGAATTTGATCAAGAAGGTAAGAAAATAAAATAAAATAAATGAACAAAATAATAATTGAAACTGATATATATTTTTTTTATTTTTTATTTTTTATATGATTATAATTGTAATTATATTTTTATTTCTACATCTTTACAACAATTATTCCTTTCCAGTTGACTTACCTTTGTCCCAAGAAGAGTCCATCTTTACTGCCAAAGATACAATTACAGGAGCATTTGTGGTTGATGGCGATGAGATTGAAGAAGGCGATACCGGTTTTGATTTTGAACAAGAAGAAAACTTTGATGAGACCAGTGGGACCTTGATAGTAGAATCAGGTATGAATTAATACGGTATAGACAATTAATCAATATATTAATTTAAACTAACTTAACCTTTGTCTTCATAGTTCATCCTTCGTCTTTTGATAACATGCCCTTGTATATCTGCTTTGTTGCAGTATTCATTGTCATATTTCACTTGATCTTTTTGGTGGAAAGCGGTGGATCGATTCTCATTGAATTTTGTAATACTCTACTGTCTCTCTGTGATATGTCTGGTGCCCTTCCACTGACGATCAATAGCTTGAAGCATAAGACAGGATTTAACATGGCAACAGACGGAATGACAGTATACATTGCATGCTCACAATGTCATTCGATTTATCCTCCGGAAACAAGTCAAAGAGTCTGTACATTTAAGAAATTCTCTCAATCTGCCATTTGCAACAACAATCTCTTTAAAGTGTCAACCGGAAATCGTTCTCTTCCAGCAATGGTATATCCATTCAACTCTCTGAAGTACGCCTTGCAACAAAAATTCTCCAAGCCAGATTTCGTGTCCAAGATCAATTTGTGGAGAAGTCGTCAAATAATTGAAAACACCAAACTTGACATTTTCGATGGTGCAGTTTGGAGTGATATTAAAGACATCAATGGCAGACGGTTTGTTGATGATAGCCGATCTTTAATGTTGACTCTGAATATCGATTGGTTTCAGCCATTTGATGGACGAACACATTCCAGTGGTGCGATATATCTCTCTATCAACAATCTCCCACGGAGTGAACGCCTTAAGTCTGAAAATGTCATTCTTGTTGGTATGATGCCTGGGCCGAAGGAAGCAAGCACTGACAGCATGAATCATTACTTGAAGCCGCTCGTTGACGAATTGTTGGAGATGTACATTGGTGTAGAAATGACAGACTCACAAAATAGAAAGATTGTTGTTCGTGCTGCATTGATGTGTGTTGCCTGTGATATCCCTGCCGCTCACAAAACCTCTGGATTTACTGGCCACATGAGCACATGCGCCTGTCACAAATGTCAACGACAATTCACGACTATAAAGAAGACCAGCAAGCTTGACTACTCTGGATTCAAGTATAGCAATTGGGTGAGACGCACGAAGACAATGAATCTGGAACACGCTGTCAGCTGGGCAAATGCATTGAACAATACTGAGCGAACACGCCTAGAAAAAGAAAACGGCACTCGGTGGTCAGAGCTTCATCGGTTATCTTACTTTGACCCAGTCCGCTTTACAGTTATAGACCCAATGCATAACCTCTATCTTGGAACTGCAAAGCGAATGATTCAGATATGGCACGAGTGTAACTACATCAATGAAAAGAATCAGTTAACTATGCAAGAGCTTGCCAATGGTATTGTTGTACCTTGTGGATATGCGCGTATAACAAAGAAGATTGCCGATGGGTTTTCGTTCATGAAAGCTGACGAGTGGAAGTCGTGGTGCGTCATATACTCTCCATTTGTTCTGAAGCATGTGCTCCCAGCCAAGAATCTCGAAAACTGGATTTTGTTTGTTGACGCATGCCGCTTACTCACAAAACCTTCGATCAATGACAAAGAAATAGACGAAGCCCACAGTAAACTCCAATTGTTTTGTACAAGATTTCAGACACTGTATGGAAAATCGGCCGTGACACCGAATATGCATCTACATCTTCATCTTGGCGAGTGTGTTCATGACTTTGGGCCAATTTATGCTTTCTGGTTATTCAGTTTCGAGAGATACAATGGTTTGTTGAAGAATATCGAAACAAATCAAAAAGGCGGCTTCGAATCAACAATGATGAAGAGATTTTTGGAGAGAACATACATTGGCAGCTTCATACAATCTTTCGTCAACCATCTTCCCCAGTTCGCAATTGACTTTCTGCATCGCATTTCAAATAGTCAAGATCAATTAGCAGCATTGCATCCATCTTCTACTGCCAGTACCTTTTCTCTGTCTGACTTTGTTGAATATTCGTTAAACCCTCGTCATTCTGCTTTGGGTTGTGAGCCGTTGCCCCCTTCAGTGTTTCCGATTAAACTCGACCAAAGGATTACAATGTGCAAGGGACATTATGAATGTTTACTGGAGTTTTACAGACACGCGTATGGCAGTCACGATCTTTTTGGCCATTATTCAAACTGCGAGTCTAACCAGATTTTTGTCAATAACCGAATTGAGAAAATGAAACGGATATCTCTTCTTGGACAGGAATACTCTTCTGGATCTTATTTCCGCGCCTATTATCTTGAGAATAACAGTGAAGATAAAGCAGCGTTTCCTGGCCGTATATTGTATTTATTTCAACATTTGATAACCATCAACAAAACTGTCATCACCCATACTTTTGCGTTTGTTGAGTGGTACTCTAGTTATTCTTCGGGGAGTTACCAGCCAATGTTAAATGAAGGCATTGAGCTCTGGAATGAACCTTCTTCTGTACTTAATTATGAATGTATTATTCCAGTACATCGTTTATATTCACCAATCGCAATTGCTAAATATAGGTTTACTATAACTAGTGAATTTAAACGTTTAGTAATCCCTTTACCCCAAAAAATAGAAGCTTAAATAATATTAATAAAATACCACTTTGCACTCTTTTATCAATTTATTAGAAAATGTTTGATTTATTGTCTTATTGTTTCTTTGACCATGATGGCAGCTTGTTTGCCTTGGTCTTACTAAGCTGCTTATCTCTTATTCCTTTAAATTTATGCTCGAATGGACGGGTATTATTTTTCTTATCATGAGCTGCCTCATAATCCGCATCAAGTTCATCAACAAACCTATCTCCCTATATGTCAATGTAAGTATTATTACACACCATCCAAAAAAATAGATTTTTGTACTATACCTCTTCGCTTCTCCAGCTTGGGCGGAATCTCCAAAAAAAACTCTTTTCTGAGGACGAATCCTGTTCCTCTTCTTCTCTTTCGTCATCACTCTCAAGGTCTGACATGTAATCAGCATGGAGAATACTGTCAACATTCTCTCCAAAGCTGTTCACAAAGTGTGCCCGATTGGCTTTCAAGGCAGATTGTCTTCTTTCACATGACTATATATAAATATATAATATTTCTAATTTAATATCACATCTAGTATATTGTGTGCGTGTGTTTTTTACCTTTACACGTCGCTGACGAAGACAGGCCCGTCGATTCTCTTCCTGCTTCTTTTCTCCTGTTTTTTTTTCTTGCAACTTTCTGTTGCCAATGTGCCGCACAATCTTAGTTCGAAGAGTTGGCAAGTCCACCTTTTTCCCCTCTTCTTGACGATGAAGGTAATCGGTAACAGACTTCAGAACGAGTCTGTTTCCCTCACTGTTTTTATTTTCATTGGTATTGTATTGGTCATACAATTTCTCTTCACTCAAATAATCGCGCAACAATTGCTATAATATAAATGTATATTAAATTCTATCTACATAAAAACATATTATGATTACTTACATCCAATGTTGGTTGACGTCCAGGCGACATGTCTTGCTCAACTGCATTACTAGCAGTGGCTTCGGCTTTCTCAGAAGATGTGTTCTTCAAAACAGTGTTTAAGACACCATTCATGGTATCAAGTTTCTCGTACACATC